CCAGGAGCCACGGAAATTGAAGACACGTGGCCTCTTGTTGCAACATCTCACGCTTTCCTTCTCTCTCTACGCCCCTGACTTTAAACATTATATATACAGTACATGTCAAATATGAAATTTTCCTTTTTATTTGTCTTCTTTCAGGTCTGAAGGTATGGCAGCGTGTCCGGTACATATTTTATAAAGGTTCAACTATGACATTATTAATCAGTGGTTGGGGCCGGTTATAGTCACTACTGGGCATCAAGGATTCACTGACGTCTACAAACTAACATTATTTTTAATGCAAATATTTGTATGTATTCATACTGGTTAACTGTACTAGTTATGATTAATTGGTCTTCCTTCGAGGTAGTAGATAATGACGAAAATTACGATGTTATTTACTGAGACTTAAGCAAAGCATTTGACAGAGGACCGCATCAGAGGCTTCTGAGAAAAATTAAGGCTCATGGTTTGGAGGGAAAAGTTTTAAATTGGATAAAATCATGGCTCACCGATAGAACGCAGAGGGTCAGCGTAGATGGTGTTAAATCTGAGTGGGGCCGTGTAACCAGTGGGGTTCCCCAGGGGTCAGTACTAGGCCCACTCTTGTTCATAATCTACATAAACGATCTAGATACTGGGATCAGCAGTGACATAAGCAAGTTTGCGGATGACACCAAAATAGGGCGGCAGATTAATTCAGGGCAGGATGCAAATGCATTACAGGAGGATCCAAATAAATTGCAGGGGTAGTCTGAAAAATGGCAAATGAAATTCAACACCAGCAAGTGCAGCGTACTTAATATTGAAAGAACAAATACTGACAATGTATACAGCCGTAACAACATCAACCTAGAGAAGTCGACTTGTGAAAGAGACTTAGGGGTATTTGTAAGCCCGGACCTGCGGCCTAGAAAACAGTGCGTTAATGTTCGAAATAAAGCAAACAGAGTATTGGGTTTTATATCTAGAAGTGTAAGTAATAAGAGTGCAGAGGTCTTATTGCAACTATATCTTGCGCTAGTCAGGCCTCACCTCGATTATGCGGTTCAGTTCTGGTGCCCTTATTATAGAATGGATATCAATTCACTAGAGTCGGTGCAGCGAAGAATGACAAAAATGATTCCGGGACTTAGAAACCTTCCATATCAGGATAGGTTAAAGAAACTTAACTTGCATTCCCTAGAAAGACGAAGAGTGCGGAGATGATAGAAGTATTTAAGTGGGTGAAAGGAATCAATAAAGGGATATAGATAAAGTTCTTATAATATCCGAGCAGGATAGGACTCGGAGCAACGGATTTAAGTTGGATAAGTTTAGGTTTAGGAGGGAGATAGGAAGAAACTGGTTCACAAATAGGGTGGTGGACGAGTGGAACAAGCTTAGCAACTTTGTAGTAAGTGCGGGAACGCTGGAAAGTTTCAAAAGGAGGCTAGATAGATTCATGGATGATAGAGAGTGGTTGTAACTCTCGACAGGAGCTGCCATGCATAGGCCAACCGGCCTATTGCAGACTCCTTATTTTCTTATGTTCTTATGTTATGTTCTTTAGGTCTAGTGAGGCCTAGGAAGACTACACACACACAAAACACCTGTCATGTTCAGTAAGGTCACATTGGACAACGCCCTTCCTACATCTGACCCAGGCTCGACCTCGGGACCTGGCAGTAGTGAGAGGTATGTGTGGTACAGGTATAACACCCAGTTTTACGTCCAGACAAGATAAGCCATCACGCTGTTACTCCAAGGGCACAACACACCGACTCCAAGGTGACCAACAGGAGGGAGCAGCGTCGTGTATAACTGTGGTGTAAAATGTTCTCCCGCCACACCTCATGCATATACACAGTTCCTTCTCTTTAATGGTGGATAATCCTTCATTGCTTGCCTTATTTTGTTCCTCATATAACTATCACATTCCACCTTACCTCGTTTTAATGCGTCTCTTGATTTTGAGGCCAAGTTACCGTGAGTTTTAAATACGAATGACAATGTATTTGACTATTACCTGCAGCCGGAGGTGTTGTTCTCTCGTCCTCATTCGCGTAAAAATAATGACCTTCGAATCTTTGTCAATCGAGAAAACTTGAGCTGAGATGAGTATAAAATGGCGGGGAGGGAGGGGATATCGTTAGACCTTTTCAACCCCCTCCCTCTCCCCCATCCTCCATTTCACATATTGGGATTCATATCATTTCAGGTTTCATTGATCTTTATGTATTATTATGAAGAGGGTCATATTGGTTTGGTTATATCAGTCCTCCGTCCGGTCTGTCAGTTTACGAAAGGCATATTAAGCACATCTGCACTCATTGACTCAAAAATATCGTGGGTCAAAGATCATTCATATAAAATTGGTTAGGCACTTGTTATTTATTCATTTTTATTTATTTATTTTTTTGTATTTTGTCACTTTGGTGGAAGTCTGTTAGCTGAATTATGTAAAATATATAAAATACGAAGAGTTAACATTTTCAGGCCTTACTCGTTAATAACATCTAAAAATGTAGTGTTATGATTTATACATTTCAACCAATCACAGTAAAGCCTCACTCATTTTATCTTCAGTAAATCATAGTCTAATTCCAACAGCAGCCTCGGACAGATGTATACAGTACTTTATATACAGGCGCCATCTATCGGAACAATGTGCACCCCGCGGATCACATCTTTCTTCGCTATAATAAGACCTCAGAGGATGTCTTGTAATTCTGTCCATAAGAGAATGTTAGACTTTATGATATGACCAGCGTATTCGGCACTTATTTATCCATATTATTATTATTAGTAGTAGTAGTCGTCGTAGTAGTAGTAATCAAGTTGTTTTTCTGATGATGTATTGATTTCCGTGTTGTGTCATATTGAATAATGTCATGTACCGTCACTCACCATCTTTCCTCAATCTTCCTAATTACCGAGGTTCTAATTTACCACCATCCAATTACAGAGAGGAAGTTCACCTGAGCATTGATCCACCGGTTATCAATACAGTATCCAATAACTGAAATCTGGACTCTGTAATGGTCGTTTCTCCCTTCCAATTTACCCTGAAGGCTGGCTTATTAAGATCATCGCTTATTGGAGTGGCTATATGTCTGTTGCTGATGCGTTAGCTAGCCATATATATATATATATGCCTTTTCTGACTTATTGACTTACGAGATTTTTTTTTAACTGATTCTTTTTTTTTTTGCTGTTTTGCCAGATCTCTTGGCGTTTTATTTTCCCAGTTTAGCTGTTTTGATGCGCTCACACACACACACACACACACACTAGGGCTGAGGACGTATTACATTATCCTCGTATCATCATTACTATATCAGGTTGCCAGTACTGTACCCTGTTTAATACCGGGAAGATACAAGCATGAACAAGACGAGTAACATCATACAGTAAAGGTGGTATCGTTTGGTTGAGTGAGTCATCCCCCACCCGTCTAGAGTTACCCACCACCCGTCTAGAGTCACCCCCCACCCGTCTAGTCACCCACCCACCCGTCTGTCACCCCCCACCAGTCCCCACTCATCACCTCCTGCCCCGTTTAGAGCTTCCACCCGCCCAGGAGCCTCCCCCACCTGTCTAGAGTCACCCCCACCTGTCAGAGTCACCCCACCCGTCTAGAGGTGTTAACTTTCCATAGATACATTATAGACCAGACTGCAAATTGGTGAGGTAGGTTAGAATGAGGCAAATGAAACAGACGGTGGACAGTGACAGGTGGTGGACAGGGTGGGACAGGAGAGGTGGTGGGACAGGGTGGGACAGTGAGAGGTGGGTGGACAGGTGGACAGTGAGAGGGTGGACAGGGTGGATGTGAGAGGTGGTGACAGGGTGGGACAGTGAGAGGGGGTGGACAGGGTGGGACAGTGAGAGGTGGTGGAGGGTGGGACAGTGAGAGGTGGTGGACAGGTGGGACAGTGAGAGGTGGTGGACAGGGTGGGACAGTGAGAGGGTGACATGGACAGGAGAGGTGGGACAGGGTGGGACAGTGAGAGTGGTGGACAGGTGGGACAGTGGGAGAGAGGCAGGGTGGGAGAGGTGGTGAGAGGTGGTGGACAGGGTGGGACAGTGAGAGGTGGTGGACAGGGTGGGACAGGTAGTAGGCAATGAGTGATGATGAACAGGACAGGAGGTGGGCGGTGATGGCAGACAAGGAGGGGTGAGGGCAGTAGGTACAGTAGGTGATGACAGTAGGTACAGTAGGTGAAGGCAGGAGGTACAGTAGGTGAGGGCAGTAGGTACAGTAGGTGAAGGCAGGAGGTACAGTAGGTGAGGGCAGTAGGTACAGTAGGTGAAGGCAGGAGGTACAGAATGCCACTTTGCATCACTGATCCTGTTGCAGAACTTTCAGAAATCCAAGATGGCCGCCACGGTAATAGGTATACTGTTTATGATTTTTGCTCTAACTTAGTTCCTATTATGATTTTTTATATAATTCAAACATCTAAATTCTAAACTTTTTTCCAGCCAAGGAATTCGTTTGTGGCCATTGCAAATTTAATGGGATTTTTTTCTTAATTTTAACCTTTAGTGTCGCATTCATGGTGGTAAACCTTGTATATACAGTGGGTATGTGTTCAAGAGGCATTTAACATGTTACAAAACTCTGCAACTGCCTTACAAATTAATAATAAACTTACATTCTGGGTCCACTACATGCAAATTACTTCCCAACAGTAAAAGTGACCGACTGCCCAAGCGGCTAACAGACCAATCAAGCAAAGAAGAAAAAGGTAAAATATAAAGGATGGATTATTCAACAGTAAGGGGATGGTGGTATCACAGCGGGGGTAGGTGTGTACTTTCACCCCCCCCTCTCCCTCTCCCTACCGGCTTGGAATCTGGAACCAATATGAAACATGATGACAGTTCATCTTGCTAAATTAAAATAGAGTAACAAATACAATTGAGATGCAAACTCATCTCTACTTCCCTTCACTCAATTATCTTTGTTAATACCTGTATATATGTCTGTTTATCTATTATACTCTATTTTAAGTTTGAAACAACTGAGTGACAGTATCATCAGTGTAAGCGACGTAAACACGGCAGGTGTTGGACTGGTCTGAGTTACTGTATTATTGAGTATTATAATCACTGGAGCAACATGATCTTTCATAAAATGCTCAGAATTTTAAGAACTTCAAAATGTGTCAGAGTAGATAGAGTTCCTCTGACTGTCAGTCATTCATCAGCGTCAACCTTTCAGGTACATTAATATTGTGTGTAGGACGTTTGGGCCAAAAGTCTGCTCACCATTAATTACATATACTGTGCAGTAAATTGGGGGTCAATTTATGTTAGTAGCCAGGAGGTTAGGTTAGGGCAGTTAGCACCAGAAACGAAGGTCAGATTTGTTAGAATCACAACAAGAACCATAGGAAAACGTTTTTTTTTTAATCGAAACCTGGTTACTCATAAATTGATCCAAATTTTCTGGATATACTATTTACATAATACTGAACACGAAAATAGGATTACGTATCAATTTTACTTCCAGTAGTTAATATTATCCAAAGAACAACTGTAGAAAATATGAATGAAATGCTTGGTATATAAACATGTTTGGGTGCTAACCGTCTTCTCCACCTTTACTGTAAATTGGTAATGTTTGTGTGACGCTTTAACATTAATATCTTTATGGTTTATTGTTAAAGTTGTTGCAGGGTATTGTGTTATGAAGCTGTGTTGGCAATACTTGATGGCCTGGCTGTAGTGTGTGTTGTTATGGGCCACTTCAGGACAAAACAAAAACTCTGGTAATTATTCTGCAAACACAAGCAAATGATTTATGCAAGAAATTCAAAATTTTTAGTGGAGTTTTAACTTTACGTGTATGTCAGTAATTAGGCACACTGTATACTGTCTTATATTATTGTTCCCTCTCAAAGAAGGTAAAGATGTAATACTAATCAGCAGAGAATAATTCATACAATACATTCCTGTGTAAAAGGATATACCTGTACTGGCACTGACTCAACTAGTGATACAGTGTTGATCTACTCTCAGGCTCTGGAGTCCAAGCAGTACATCCCAAGACGAGTGGTCCTCTATGTTCCCGGCAGTGATGAAAGGAAGCTGCGAAAAATACCCACCATCGGGGCCGACTGTGTTGTGATGGACTGTGAGGATGGTGTCGCGTTATCCAAGAAGGTAGAAAATTATCGTCACTGATGTTTGATTATTAGAAGCATAATGTTAGTGTATTAATTTTTATATAAGCCTTGTACCAGGAATTACTTTACAGCTAAGTTTTCAGGTAAAATAGAAGTGTTATGGTATGTTTTAATCAATCATACTGGTTACTGTACGTAGTTCTGCTTTAATTATATTTTTTAACTTGAAAATTAAGGGGTCATTTATCAGACTGGGAGAGTTGACGTACACTAACATACTTCGCTTGGTGTTCAGGATGTAGTCCAGGGAAGTGAGCATGAATCAAATTTGCACTAAAAGGGTCTCACGTGTAACTTGTATATGAGGATTTATTGGAGTGTGGGTAATGGTACTAATAATGATACAAATGGTAAATTTTTTATAGGTAAAAATGGCTGATTTTTGTTCTTGAAAATGCTGGTGAACCTAAACAGTCACAAATGACAAACTTATGGAGTGCAATAGTGGGGAAAATAAGGACTTCATCTAGTACAGTATAAAGTTTGTCACCATTTTTTGCCAAACAGTATCCATAAATGACTTGTGTAGGCATTGTTATTTTTTGTTGTTTATATTAATGAGAAAAGTGGTTAATAACATAAAGGTGTTTATACTAAAAAAAAAAAATGTCAATACTGTCCTCTATCATAAATGGTGAACCTCTCATGCCAGCCTGTGAATACCGGGTAGTTGAGCTCTTTGACCACAAGCTGTAAACTGTGCCTCACTAAATTCATTGCGAAAGAAAACATAAAGGGTAAACACATGAATGACAAGGTCCTGCTGTAATATCAGATGAGTGAGTATTGACAAGTACTAATACAAATGGTCGACGTAACAAATTGTAAGGCACGACCCACATCCACCTGACACTCAAATACCTTGACCCACTTAACAACTGCAGTAATATTTCCAGACATTATGAGACAAAAAGGCTGACAAAAACACATGGAAATAAGGCATAGAGAGAGAGAGACCAATGTGGAATAAACACACTTACTGACATGTAGCATTCAGAACTGGAGGAAGCAAGCACTACAGGTGTTGAGGTAGTGACTGCATCTTCCTACTTGTAACTTTTGAAGTGTTTTGTGGATTTTCTTCATATTTTTGGTTTTCAGTTAAGATTTTATTGAAGACAAAAGAGCTGTATAACAAATCAGTGTTGTGAGAGGTAGTGCTACGTTAGATGTGAGTAGTGAATTATGAGATAACTTACATCATGAAAAACTGGGAATATCTTTGTTTGTTTGTTATTTTTACCTGTTGTAATGTTTCTGAATTAATATATATTTTTTTCTTACAGGAGGCAGCAAGATCTATGATCCATACTATTTTACAATCCCAAGAAATAGATTTTACTGGCAAAGACTGTTCAGTTCGCTTCAACAGTGTGCAGAGCGGACTTTGTGAGGCAGATATGCAGGAGATATTGTCAGCAAAATTTCTTCCATCCACTGTACACCTCCCTAAAGTGGATAGTGTGGAACATCTTGAGTGGGTAAGAAATATGCAAGACATAGTTTCTGTTAATTCCTCCTTCCAGTATTACTTGTTATGTTGTGTGTTGCCACTGTTATAGCCTCTCCTATGTTCTTATTCTTTTGTAATTAATGTCAGGATTACTGGTGTAAAAGAGACCTTGGGGTAGTTTAATGCCACTTTTTGAGAAAGTTATTCAATCATTTTGTCATGTGACAATTTAGGGTTTAATCAGCATAGCAACTGTACTGTACTTCGAAAACTCCCTATTATTACTTTTGCTTTCCTTGGCATAGTTTTTATGGATAGTCTTCTAGTTAAAAAAAAAAATTGGGACAAATTTTCAGCTGAAACCCCTTGGGATTGTTGACTCACATTACAATATTGTGTAAGTATCCAGATAATCCAGTACTTTATGTTGTTTCAGTGTCAGTCTTCCCAAATTGCTAAGAGTCAGTACTGCACTTCACCCAAGTGACAACTAGCAGCATCCCTCATAACTTACTTCAAGCTATGGAAATACAATACACTGTACTGTAATAGTATTTTATTGGTATAATTTAACTTAGTAAATATTATCAATGCATTGGACTATCTTTTCAGTCAGAGAGTATTTATTTATGAACTCTATACAGTATTGTACTCCTGGCAAATGTTTCAACTCACTTGTAATTTCTGTAACATTAACAAACCCATATACCTTTTTATTCTTTATATAATGTATGTATGTACAGGTATTGAAATTTTCTTTATTTTGTTATTAAAGAAGTAAAACAAACATCCATCTGAGTTTGTGTTTGTTTGTGGAAACAAAACTTGAACTCAGCAAGGGAAGAAAATTGTACCTAACCCAGAGAAGAAAATGTCCAATTTTTAATAATACTGTTTCTGGTTTTGTGAGATCCAGTTTTGAGTGTCTGTATCTTTATTAGTACAATATGTTGAGTCTTGTTTACTTAGTTCTCAGTGTTAGAATCATGTTTTACCTATTGATTTATTGAGGGTTTATTCTTTAACCCCTTCACTACAGGGACATCACTTAATTATCTTGCCAACACCCGACAATTTCATTCAGCTCACAGAGGACTCCGTACATAAGGGGTTACCGGTAGTTGAACTTGTGTCACTCTCTCATGAAAATTTTATAGTGAAAGGTAATTATTTATTTACTAGTTTGCAGATAAACTGAAGTTGGCCTTGAAAGATCACAAAGATGCAGCAAAGCTCCGCCTCATCATATTCACTGAATCAGCAGAATCACTTCTCAGTCTCCCAGAAATTTGCCGTCGAGGAGTTGAACTGTCCAGAGATGCTCCCTTTGAGCTGGATGGCATAGTGTTTGGTTCTGATGATTACTGTGCAGATATTGGTAAGGAATTGTTTAAGGCTACATATATAATATTTTTAGTATATAACTACTACAGTACGTACAGTAATCCCAAGCAGATGTGTGGCTCGATAGTTAGCGATTCATAAATGACTCGGCAAACTAATTTGCATCCTTAATATGAATTACTACAAGTGTTTCATAGATATTCAGCTGATTTTTAGTGGATGTATATAATATTTCTTTTGGATTTTGGCCATCTTTTCCTGAGGCTGATGGTATTCCAACTTACCCTGACAGTGAGAGCATCATGTAGGGATTCCACGGCTCCTTTCCTACTGAAATGTTATTCTGTATTGAGAGGTTAAGGACCTACCAGCAAACCGAAATATAAACAATGGACAGATACATCTAAAACTGGGTTGGGGTTTTCATTCTACAAGCTGAATTGAAGTGAAGGGGAAGTGGCCTCTAAATTTGCAAAACTTCTGGTTCCTCTTCTTACAGCTTGTCGGGGAATTGGTTAAGAGGAGGATGAGTACCATATTTATTGCGGATGTTAGCGGCTTTGTCCCTGTATTAACTAACCCCTTCACTCCAAGGGGCAGATATGGCTCTAAACCCCCCCCCCCCTATCAGAGGCATCATATTGGTATCCATACTTTGCTTATAATGTTTAATTTCTGTGTTAATACCTTATTATGCTTAATGTTTTATTGCCTTTCATTTATTTCATGTTTCTCAGTGAATAGTTACATCATATAGATTATTTACCATACTTATGACTATAATGGGATAAAATGCTGTAAATGAATATACAGTATATTTGTTTTTTCTGGTTCCGTTCCTAAAATAATTGTTTGCTAAATTAAATTAGAGAAAAGTACTGTGAGTCACCATAAGTTTCCCATTTCATGAAACTATTTCTTACTAATTCTTGGCGTATCATTGTTGAGTCACTTACAAGCACATAATTATTATTTACATTATTATCACTACAGTATATTACACAAGAGGTGCAGTGGTGTAAATAACAGACTATAAGATGTTGCTAACTGTAGGTGTACAGTAAGTACCGGTAGGTGATCATGTGGTCATAGGAAGGCTGGAAAAGCTCGACTCTGAGATATAACTGTGGAGTGTGACGGTGAGTTCTGGTAACTGGGTGACATGATCAGTGCTGGTGGTGGAGCCATAGTTAGTAGGAGTCAGAAGTGGCTGGTAGAAGTTTAGGGAGCTTTTGAATTTATTGATAACAAGAATGTTTCTGCTGTTTTGTACTTTTATCAGTAATGTCGTTTTTTATGTTTCACATTTGTTTTTCTTGCAGGTGCAACAAGGACAAAAGAAGCAAAGGAATTAGCTTTTGCACGCCAGTATGTTGTGACGGTTGCAAAAGCTTTTAAGCTGCAAGCTATTGATCTTGTCTACATAGATTATAAAGGTAAGTTACATTATTGGTGAGAGTGCAGCAGTTGAGTGGATACAGCATTTGCCTTCCGTTCCATGGGTCAGTGGTTGGATCCACGGACACTTCCAGTTCACCCAGCTGTAAATGGGTACCTAAGTTTACAGCTTGGGAGAGTGAAGGAAGTCAAGTGCAGTTCTGGCTATGTTGCTTTCTTGTGTATCAAAGGCTTAGTATACAGTGTGCTGTATCCACACTGTCCCTAATGGGTAGTCATGCCTATGAGATCCACTTTCACTTTCACATTATTGGCACTCTACAATGTACATTACACTATAGGTCTTCAGTTATGGCTGTATTTGAGGGGTCATTTTCCATAACCTCTTATTTCCTATAAAACTCAGCCTTTGCCAACCAGAATGTATAATTTTCATATTCTGTCCTGCACCACACACTTCATGTATTTGTTTAAAAATTGCTGGTATACACTGCACATGAAGAGTGTACAATGCTTATTTTCCCAATCCCAATTGATGTCTAGAGCTGTACACCAAGTCTTTTGAGACCATATGGGCTTTTTGACATTGCAATGAAGACAGTAAGACAAAAGAGGCACTAATATTGTGTCGTATGGATGAAATATTGCACAGAAAATTATGTAGAGTCCATTATTATATGTGTAAATAATAACCAGCTATTTTGTGATCATCATGTTCAAATTTATTATTACAGTTATGTTTTTATCAGTAACTATCAGTTCCTCAGCACTTCATAATAATTTCCTACCTCAATAAATTTCATTGTTGGATTAACAGTCACAAAGTTTAACTCAAAGCCAGTGTTTAGTGATTAGGAACATTGTACAGTAATTCTACTTTAGTGTTCATGTAATGGCAATTTGCTTTGTACTATAGTCTTACCAGAGTAAAATGAGGAGAATTAGGTGTAAATAGATTGGGGCTTCAACTCGAAATTAGACTATGTGACTGTTTAAGTGTACAGTATCTGATCCCAACCTGTGTTACTTTTATAAATTGTCTTCATGTGTGTTAGTAGCTGGCAGTGTAGTGATTTATCACATGGGACAGGAATATTTAAGGTTACATAAATTTAGGTAGAGTTTTTATTTATATCTAATTACAATACTTAATAGTTTGATTTCCAGTTTACACTACATTGGTCTTAAGTAGCATCTCAAGTGTAAGTGTTTTGATATAACATTTCTTTTCCCCAGACCTTGGTGGACTTAAGATACAAAGTGAGGAAGGAGCTGGTATGGGTTTCACTGGTAAACAGGTGAGTGGCTGAGTCAGGAAGCTAATGCAGACAGTGTACAGTATCATGTTTTGGTCACATTTTCTTTGGACAGGAACATAATACTGTACTGTAATGATATCTCAGTGATGTACTCTGCAGACTTATATAAGAAAATAGTGACTGCTACACCTGTTTGATAGCCATAACATTGTGTATAACTCATCAGTAAATATTTCACACATGAGTGCCGGGCAGGTTAGGACATCAAGATACAGAGATGACCGAGTGGTTGAACTGTGTAGGGAATATTATTGATGTGCTTTCCTATTATGAATGTGGAAATTCGTATGTATTGATAACATTTACAGTAAAACCTCCATTCGATGAACTATATAGAGATGGAAATCCATTATTTCGAGGGTCTGTTAGATGTGAAACCCTATCTAATGGATTATACGAGGTCTGATCGAAAAGTATCCGACCTTCAGCAGGTGAAAAAAAAACAAGCTTACTTACTGAGCTCAGACTTTAATCCCCTTCAAAGTAGGCCCCTTTTGACTCAACACACTTAGCCCAGCAGTCCTTCCATTGCTGGAAAAATTTTGTAAAGTCAGTTTTTGGGGATCGCCAACATGAACTTCGTCTCATTTTTCTTTATCTCATTTGTGTCCTCAAATCTCGAACCCTTCAGCGGCATCTTAATTTTAGAAAACATCTCAAAGTTGCAGGGAACCATGTCAGGAGATGAGTGAGCCTGCCGGACCTGTGTGATCCTGTGGTTGGCCAAAAAATCCTGGACAAGATGGGATGAGTGGGCTGGAGCATTGTTGTGGTGGAGCTGCCAGTCCTCCACCTCCCACAACGTTCGTCTCTTGCAGCACACTGCATCCCGTAGGCGACAGAGAACTCCCCGGTAGTACTCTTTATTGATTGTTTGGCCTTCTGGAGCGTACTCGTAATAAACAACACCCTGGTAGTAAAAAAAAAAAAACTGTCGGCATGGGCTTCACCTTGCTCCGAACCTGCCGTGCCTTCTTTGGCCTTGGTGATGCCGGTGATTTCCATTGTGACGACTGAGCTTTCGTTTCTGGGTCGTATCCATACACCCAAGACTCATCTCCTGACATGGCTCCCTACAACTTTGGGCTGTTTTCTAAAATTAAGATGCCACTGAAGGGTTCGAGATTTGAGGACACAAATGAGATAAAGAAAAATGAGACGAAGTTCATGTTGGCGATACCCAAAAACTGACTATACTGTACAAAATGTTTCCAGCAATGGAAGGACCGCTGGGCTAAGTGTGTTGAGTCCCAAGGGGCCTACTTTGAAGGGGATTAAAGTCTGAACTCAGTAAGTAAGCTTGGTTTTTTTTTCACCTGCTAAAGGTCGGATACTTTTTGATCAGATCTCGTATGAAGAGAGAGAGAAGTCCATTGTATGGAGGTTTTACTGTATAGATAAAAACAAGCATTTATAAGGGAGTATTGATTTTCAGTGTTAATATACAGTATTTCATTTGCAGGTGATTCATCCAAGTCAAGTGCCAGTTGTGTATGCAGCATTCTCACCACATCCTGACAAGGTGGAGTGGGCTGCAGCACTCGTACAGGCCTTTCAACAGTATCAGACAGAGGGAAAGGTATGTCATGGAATTTTCCTTCCCCCTCAATGAAGTTTGTCAGAGAGATGGACACATTATGTATAAGAAACTTGTAATACTGTAATGAATCAGATCATTTTAGGTGGCTGTACAGCATACCACATACTGTACTGTACTACTAGATATCTAACCCAGTACTGTACTGTACTGTATTGATGTATAATGTTAGTTAACAATTAACATTACCAGTACAGTAGCTGTTAAGTGTAAGCATGAGTTATACACTATTCAATGGCCCAATTTTGTACCTTGATTATTTAATTTTTTTTTTATTAAATTAATATTGGTCAAATTACACTAAAGATTTGAGATAAGTTATGCCAGATACTGCTTGTTATTACACAGGATCCTACAGTATGCCCTGATGTAGGATTTAGGTTTGGTGGTTCCTTGTTGGTAACATTAACACTCTTCTTGATCACTTACTGGAAAAAATGGTGCTCTGTATGTGGTAGCAAATGTTTTATGAGATGGATAGCAAAACAAATAAATTATAAAAGCATATACAGGACCTGTTATAATGTACCTGTATCTAGTGAATTTGCTGACATGGTACAGTACAGTGTGGACACATTGAGCAAATGGTAATTGAAAGATTGGAAAAAGAGGATTTATTCAAAGGTAGATGGTAGGAGGGAGAGTGGAAAACGAAGAATGGAATGGAGCGATGGACTGAAGGCAATAGGAAGCACTAGAAGCAAAGAGGATGGAAGTCCAGAAAGAGGCAGGGAAATCAGTGATAGGAAAGCATCGGGATGTGACATCAGGTAGATGAAAATGAGTGCAAGGAGGGTCAATTTTTGCTCTTGATTTCTTCCACCTTCTAACATAGTGAGATGAGGCTTGCAAGAAATAAATAATAGTACTTTCTATAATTCATAGTGCCACAGTTTGCATTTTATAGAATTGAGTTCTCATATTTATAGTATTTGATCTGAAAGTTTAATATTGCTGTACAATGTTAAAAAATCATGCATAATAAAAGAAAAAATTAGCGTGACACTCACCGTGCCTTGCGTTCTGAAACTCATGGTGAACTATTCTGGGAAAGATCTCCTGTCACTGACAATGAAGCTTCAAGGTTTGAGCCTGAACCACCAAATTATTCTCTTTGTTTACCAACAGATGGTGTGCATTCCTGTACCATTTCTCGATGTTCAGAGAGCAGTCACTTAGCAATGTGATCATGTGTGATTACAGAATAATATGTAAGGGAGGGGTTATATATTACTTAAAGTGTGCTTGTTAATATTCTATAAATTATTTGTCATTCATCTGACAATATATCATATACAGGGGTATTTTGCCTTACCATAAGATTTGTAGATTTGTAAATTTAAACTATGTCGGATACTGGAAAATAAGTCTAGAGTATGTTTTGGAGAAATACATCAAAGAGAATGTACCAAATGAAGTTTCGTAAGTTGACAGCTGTACTGAAATTGCAATATTTTTTTCGTGGGCTTTCTCTCTGAGAAGCAGCAAAGTTTCAGTTGAGACATTTAATAAAATATAGTTATATTTGCAGCATATGGATTGGTTAGCTATCACGTATTTTGTTTACAAATAATATTGTAGTATTATGTGTAATATTTGTACTGTATACCGGTATTGTAATTATTTTTTGAAGTAAAATAAGTACAGTCAACCCTCACTTTACGCGGTCCCACATTCCGCGTTTCCACGTTAACGCGGTGCCTTGCCAGAACCTAACGTGCTCACATTACGCGGTGCGTGAACCCCATTACGCGGAGAGTGTCCGGCGCGACGCTATTTTTAGATTCGCCCCACCCGCCTGCCTGCCTGTGCTCCTCGCCTCTCCCTCCTCCTCCCTCCGCTTGGGCAAGCCGCGCGGTAAGGTTGCGCAGTGTGTGTCTTTGTTGCGTTATCACTGACGTCATATGACGTATCGGACTGTGATTGGCCATGCATCCCTACCCCCTTCTGCTGCTAGCTGTAATTGGCTTAAAGTATTATGACGTGTCCACCCGGGGGAGGGAGGGAGGGAGGAAAGATGATCCTTGACCTAGCCGCGCCAGTTTCATCCCTCCACGCCAGACCGTGTAAACGTGCATCCATTGTTCTCTAAAATGGCTTCCGCCGGACCACCACCCCCAGAGAGAAACCTTTCCTTACCTGGACCCAGCGGCACTAAGCCAAAGAAGACACGACGTTCCTTAAGCTATGAGGTGAAGTATACCATCATCCAAGAGTTGGAGAAAGGAACAAGGCAGGTTGATTTGGCGCGCCAGCATGGTGTGAATGAATCTACGATTCGAACAATAAAGAAGGATGCAGCCAAGATAAAGGAGCACATGAAGATCACAAAGTCTACAGGTGCTTCTATGATCAAGTATTTTCACAACCAGGTGCTTCTCAAGACAGAAAAATTACTTGTGAGGTACTTGGTGCGTCAGGCGCGACGGAACATGGCGGTCGACACGCGCTCTGTTAAGGACTACGCACGTGAACTGTACATTGCAGTGGCACGAAAGATTATGGAGGAAGGACAGTACACCGACGACCAGGTGTTTAACATGGACGAATCTGGTCTTTTCTGGAAAAAGCTACCTTCCAAGTCCTTCGTTGTAAAGAATGCCAGCAAGATTCGGGGCCGGAAGATGCAGAAGGAACGCATCACCGTCCTGTTTACCACCAATGCCTCCGGTACCAGTAAGCTCAAGTTATCGGTGATCCACACAGCACGCAAGCCGCACGCCTACAAAACCATGGACATGACCAAGCTAAATGTCCACTGGCTGACCGCACGTAAGGCGTGGATGTTCTCTACACTGTCCCTCTCCTGGTTTGATGACTGTTTTGTTCCCGATGTAAAGAAATTCTGTGAGCAACAGAATGTGCCATTCAAGATTTTGTTGCTGCTGGACAACGCACCAGGACACTCGCCCCTACTGTTAGATCGTCACCCCAATGTAAAAGTGGTTTTCCTTCCTCCCAACACTACGTCTATATTACAGCCCATGGACCAAGAGTTAATCTGTAATGTAAAAGCTGCATTCTCTACGAAAAAATTCAAACTCCTGAGCGACTACACCAACACCAGGGAAGAGTTGCGCAACCTGAGTGACACCACCACCGATAGCAAGAGCGAAGAAGATGAGGATCAACAGTTGGCACAGCAAAAAATACTGTTCAAACAATTCTGGAGAGTATTTAACATCAAGAAAGCTGTGGACTTCTTGGTGGAGTCATGGGATCAGCTGTCTATTGCTACAATTCGTCACGCATGGAGACATGTGTTGCATGGAATACCAGGTGAGAGGAGGAGTCAATCTGTGACTGGTGAGGTTCAGACTGTTGCAGTAGCAGTGGACCTTGCCAGAGAAGCTGCGCAGACTGTTACAGTTCCAGGCTTCTCCGAGACCACCAACGACGACATCCTGGAGGTGATAATGGAACCTGATGTGACTACCGAGGAGATGGTAGATGATGATGATGACGACGTCAGTGAAGAGGCAGGTGGTGCGTCATCCCAAGAAGAACAACACTTATCCCATAGTAATGTTAGGGGTGCCATCGAGTGTATCGAGAAAGCCAAGCTCCTCCTTTCCGACGACCCTGACGCAAACAGGTATGAAATCTTCACTACCCAGCTGTTGCAGACTATGGAGCCCTACATCAAGGTGTATCACGACAACATCAACACCAGCCGTCAGCAAAGCATAACAGATTTCTTCGCCCGCAACCCACCACAGCCAGCCCAAGCCAGTGATAGTGACAGTGAAGATTACTTTGAGGGATTTGTCAGGGAAGCCCTGACAACTGTAAGTGACAGTGATGGTGATTCACCTAGTAATGGTGAGTTTGGGGGTCGGCCCGGACTCTATTTCAATTAATCCCATATGTTATGTTATTCACTTTACGCGTTCCTCACTTTCCGCGGGACCCTGCGGGTTACATTAACCGCGTAAAGTGAGGGTTGACTGTACTGTACAGTATTGTAATGCCTTTTTGGTTGTGTGTTGCCTATTTTTACCAGTTTGGGCTATTTGTTTGTTTTTATTAAAGATCTTAAGTGTTGTGATAATAATGTAATAATTTCATGCTTTTGTTTACTCTTTTAAGTTGTATTATTCTATATAGCACTATCATACCTCTTTTAACGGAGCCTCGGCTTACGGAATTCTATTTAATGGGCAGGAAAAATATTAATTTTATAAAAGTTAAGCATTGTCACCTCGTGACAGCCATTTTTGTTGTTTTATTATCGTTGTAGTTCAGACCTGAACCACAAAGCTTCAGTTTAATGGAAGGAAAACTTACCCAATTTCTTCATCTTGGGTTTCAGAACATAATGCTGGGTGGGTATGGGTGGAGTGCCACTTTTTTTATTTGACTGTATAAAGATGTTCCATAAATCAGGGCTCAATGTACTGGAAGATGTTAATATTTTTTCTTTGACTTAGGAGCTACAGCACAGTACAGTGATTCTTTATATTACAGGGAGCCTTCACTTTCCGAGGACAAATGATTGACATGCCACTTCTGCTTCAGGCTCGCAATATTCTGCAAATAGTATCCCACACCATTAGGTAATAATGTGCATTGTAGAACAAAGTATATTATGTATATAGTCACATTCTAGTGGTAGATAAATTACTGGATTATAGTCATATAAGTGAATTTTTACAGATTCACATGTGTAAACAGGAGTACTGTACTGTAGTACAACAAGAGACTTTGTAGAAACTGTATACAGTATCTCAGTTAGTTAATACCTTACTGTATACAGTATACCTGTACTGTATTGATGAATGGGACAAATGGATAGCAAATGTTGGAATGGTCAGAAACTGCAGACAAATGCCATCTACAATTATTAATGTGTGGGTGATTGATTGATTGTTTGGGAGAGACAAGTGAATCTCTCTCTCTCTCTCTTTTGAGGTTTAGCCATTGTTTAATGTTTGCATATGGTCAGAAAGAGATAAACAAATGTTTGAAATTTCAGTAAAATAAAAAATAAAGGGAATATTTATGTGTGTGTTTGTTTGTTAATATCAGTCACCCTATATTCGGTAAGGAAAGCTTTGCAAGAATGAAAAAATCCCACTCGCAAACACTTTTTTGAGAATTTTGCTTACCAATGATTTACATCTTATTGGCTTAGTTCTCGTTGACTTCACAAGTAATACTAACTTTGTTGTACAGTACAGTGCTGCCTCCTCCCTATTTCCAGCAGGCTGTGTTACAAACCTGTCAGTAGAAGGCATTAGAAGACAAATGGAGGAATTATTGTGAATTCTTATTTATTTGTTAAATTCATCGTGAGGTGGCTCACATACCCTCCTTCCTTCCTTGGCTTTATGGGTAGTCAGTTGGAAACTAACTGATGCTCACAAAAAAGTAGGTTTGCTTGACCTTAAATGTTGCCCGTGACCCAGAACTTTGACACACACACCTCTGAATATAATACAAGCTCTATTTTCTTAATAAGATACACGCTGAAGTAAAGTTTTGTCAGAATTCCGCCGTTAGGTAAGAAATTATAGACCGGCACCAAGCAGGAAACACAAGACAGAGTGAGAAAGGTGTGATAAGATAATTCCTCGATGGAAGGAAACCATATACAGTATGTATAATCACAAAGGTCATAATCAGTACATGTCTTAATTCAGGATGGGTTTAAGGTGTCAATTATTCGGTAAGACTTCTAAAACTTCCTCTTCCCTTCTCTTATTGTCTATTAGTCAGTCTGTCTCTCTGCCTCTGTCTGCCTGTCTATCCACCTCTGTCTGGGAAGATATACATGACAGCCTGAGGTCTCCAGGTGCCCACTAAGTGCCTCCAGGTTGGTCAGGAAGTTTTTGTCATCCCTTGAGGCTCAGGAGACGATGATCCATGTGTTATGATGCCAGGAAGAATACCGAGGACAGGGAGGATACTGAGACGAGGGAGAATACCGAGGACAGGGAGGATACTGAGATGAGGGAGAATAAAGGGACAGGGAGGATATTGAGATGAGGGAGAATAAAAGAGGCCAGGAAGAATACTGAGGCCAGGAACATAAACATGGCCAGGAACATTAATGAGGCCAGGAATGTAAACGTGGCCACGAACTTAAACATGGCCAGTAACATAAGCATGGCCAGTAACATAAACATGGCCAGGAACATGAACATGGCCTGGAACATAAACGTGGCCAGGAACACTAATGAGGCTTGGAACAAACGTGGCCAGGAACATGAACATGGTCAGGAACATAAACGTGGCCAGTAACATAAACGTGGCCAGGAACATAAACGTGGCCAGGAACATAAATGTGGCCAGGAACATAAATGGCCAGGAACATAAACGGCCAGGAACATAACATGGCCAGGAACATAAATGTGGCCAGGAACATAAACGTGGCCAGGAACATTAAACATGGCCAGTAACATAAACATGGCCAGTAACATAAACATGGCCAGGAACATGAACATGGCCTGGAACATAAACGTGGCCAGGGACTTAAACGTGGCCAGGAAATGGCCAGGAACATAAACGTGGCCAGGAACATAAACGTGGCCAGGAACATAAACGTGGCATAAGTGGCCAGTATAAACGTGGCCAGGAACATAAACATGGCCAGGAACATAAACGTGGCCAGGAACATAAACGTGGCCAGGAACATAAACGTGGCCAGGAACATAGGCCAGGAACATAAACGTGGCCAGGAACATAAACGTGGCCAGGAACATGAACATGGCCAGTAACATAAACGTGGCCAGTAACATAAACGTGGCCAGGAACATAAACATGGCCAGGAACATAAACGTGGCCAGGAACATAAACGTGGCCAGGAACATATGGCCAGGTGGCCAGGAACATGAACATAGTAACATAAACGTGGCCACGAACTTAAACATGGCCAGTAACATAAACATGGCCAGTAACATAAACATGGCCAGGAACATGAACATGGCCTGGAACATAAACGTGGCCAGGGACTTAAACGTGGCCAGGAACATGAACATGGCCAGTAACATAAACGTGGCCAGGAACATAAACATGGCCAGGAACATAAACATGGCCAGGAACATAAAGGTGGCCAGGAACATAACAAACATGGCCAGGACTTAAACGTGGCCAGGAACATAAACCAGTGTGGCCAGGAACATAAACATGGCCAGGAACATAAACATGGCCAGGAACATAAAGGTGGCCAGGAACACAAACATGGCCAGGAACATAAACATGGCCAGGAATATAAACATGGCCAGGAACATAAACATGGCCAGGAACATAAACGTGGCCAGGGAGAGGTTGGCATTGCCGTAACATGAAGCCAGGAATCATCAGTTTGGTGGGAAGGGAAGATTCGATACAGTCAGCAGGAAGTGATGTCTTTTATCAGTGATCTATACAGCCCTTAATGGTGGTCCCTGAGGTGGTGCCGGTCATGTGTGTGTGAAGGAGCACTGGGGGTACGGTATCCTTTTAAGATAACGCTATCAAGGGTGTACATAAGAACATTAGAACATAAGAATGGAGGAAACTGCAGCGGGCCTGTTGGCCCATACTGGGCAGTCCCGTTTACACCCAACCCCTATTGCTCATATAAGCATCCAACCTATGTTTGAAGCTATTCAGCGTATTCGAGTTAATGATGATATTTAGTAACTTGTTCCATTTATCCACTACTCTGTTTCCAAACCAGTGTTTACCTATTTCACGCCTAAATCTACGTCCTTTCTGTTGATAGAAGCAAGTAAAGCAGTATTACCGTGTCCCAGTACACGCAAGACAGACTCTCTCTCGCTCTCTCTCTATTCTCCGTTATGTTCGTCTGTCTCACTTGGAATTATTTCTCCTTCCTTATTCCCCTCTCTTCTCCTCTCTCTACCTCCCTTTCCGCAGTAACACTTTACGTGACGAAACCACTGAAACTCAACGACCGAACACAGCTGGCAAACAACTCATCTCATTACCGTAAGAAAAGAATATTATGAATGTTTTAACATCTCTTTATTGACAGCTGGCGAGAACAAATCATGGATGCTGTATATTTTGGTGCTTATCTATAGTTAGTTCGACAGTATACAAGAAGTTTAGGACGGTGATAGAGAATGCTTGGAGCTCTGAACCCCTAACTGAAGATGACAGGACTTATGACATATGCGCTAATACAATATATAAAATAGAGTGTGGGAAGTTAAATTGGTTCTCCCAGGCGTTTATATTCACGATCAAATTTTCAGGGTTATGAGGCGTGTTCGGGTATACTGAAACAAAGGGAATATATGAGATAGCTATATTCATGTTTAATAGGGATTTAATTCAACTATAATATAAAAAACACTGGTTCATCTTCGGTAATGTCCAAGATCGTCACTTTTCGTGGCTATAGAGGAGTGATGTTGACGTATTGAACACAAAGATTCTCGTCTTCAAAACAAATAATAGTAATAAGTTCACAAAGGATTTCAGAGAAGTTTGTTATCAGAGAACACAGCCCGGGAGCGTCGCGTTTTTCAGTGGTCCTGCTGCCGGGGACGACTCCGCCCAGCGTGACCCGCCCCCGGCACCTCCCGCCTTTTGTGTCACCCGCCTTATAGAGAATCACAGTAATTTGGTGTCATCGTGTGACTCATAAAATAGACGATTTAATGGGATAATTATAATCCAATACCAGTTGTCATTTGGTAATTTCTATACACAGATGGATTTAGTTATATTATACAGAGAGAAGGTAAATATATGAGAAAGGAAAACCAATTGACCAAGAAACAAATAACAACCTGTGTGTTCTGTCACCGTAAAAGTTCGACGGGGAGAGAAAATAATAATACAATTAGACAGAGAAACAGAAATTACCGTCATCTGCAGCAGAAACTTGAAAGAATAAAACAAAGACGATGTGTGTAGCTGAACAAGAGGGAAGACAATGCTAACTGGTGGAGTAAAGGAGATCATGACCTCCCATAACCCCGGGCTGTTGATGGTGGTGTTGTTGGTGGTAGTGGTGGTGGTGGTGGTTGTTGTTGGTGGTGGTGGTGGTGGTTGTTGTTGGTGGTAATTGTTGTTGAAGTTGCTGCTGTTGGTGTTTCTGTGAGAACTGTAACGCTGTTTTGTAAACATATTAAAATCATATTAACAAGATAAATGATTATTGCAAGTACAGGTATAGGGCAGGTACAAGTACATAATTAGGTGCAGGTGTAGATTTAGGTACAAGTTTAGGTACTGTACATATTTCAGAACAAGTTTGGGTATAGGTACAGATTTAGATACAAGGACAAGTTTAGGCTTAGGTGCGGGTACAGATTTAAGGCTGAGGACAAATTTATGTACTTGTACTTATTTAGGAACAAGTTTGGGCACAGGTACGTTTTAGTGAACACACCTGTCAAGTAAGGGAGGCCAATGTATTGAAAGTGTGAAGTGAAGTGACACACAGAGTTGAGCGACCCGGGAGTACAGCGGCCTTGAGATGAGTTAGTGATGGACACTCACTCTTCAGTACCAGACCCAGTAACACCTTATACTGGGAGGGTAAACAGTACCTCCCCTATTAGTAGGTCGACATGTAGAACCTAACACTGATCCTAACAGTAGCTATAGATGGTACACCGGCCTGCAGGACATACTAGGTAGACAGGACAGTATAATATATCCTTCAGAATTTACAAAGACGTGAGGCAGTTTTTCTTCCTACAAAGGAACTCTCGGGGGGCTGGTCAATACCCTGGCTTTTCAGAGAATCTTGTGAGGGGTAGGCAGTACCCTCCTCCAGCAGTAACGGAGGCTCTCGGGGTCTGGCTAAATTACCCTTCACCAGGAAGTGATGAATAGATCACTCGCTCAGTTGTATCATTCAACCCTTGTTTAAAGTAACTGTTGTTCACCCCGGCAATGTATTTATGATTATTATATAATTAATGTGACGTAATTGAACCTTTGGGTCAAGTGAATCTTTTTCACTTTGTCATTTATTGACTGTAAACTACGTATTCGAGGTTATGCTACTTAAACTTCCTTTAGGCGACTCTCGTTCGCTTCGGTTAGGCGTTACTGTAATCATATACTGGGCGAGACTTATGATAGAGGCAACAAAAGCAAAAAGGACGCTGTCAGCCTGTGAGCTAACCACCGGCACGTAATTACAGGCAATTTCTCTTATCCTTTACTTTTTGTACTTCATTCCTTAAGATAAATTACAGGCAGAGAGAATAAGTGCAAGTACAGCTGGTCATGTATACCAGCTGACCTTATATTCCAGCTGGTACTGTGTTGCAGCTGGTCTTGTGGATGAGTGGAACAAGTTACTAAACATCATCATTAACTCGAATACGCTGGTTGGATGGATATATGAGCGATAGGGGTTGGGTGTAAATAGGACTGCCCAGTATGGCCCAATAGGCCCGCTGCAGTTTCCTCCATTCTTATGTTCTTGTGTTCCAGCTGGCCCTGTGTTCCAGCTGGTCTTATGTTCCAGCTGGTCTTGTTCCCGCTGTCTTTTTGTTCTTGAGGGTTTGTGTTTCAACTGGTCCAGTGTTCTAGCTGTCCTGTGTTCCCAAGCTACAGATCCGGCTGGAAAGGGCTGGCTGAAATTCCCGTGCTCCTGTTCTGTGATCCAGCCTCAGGGCTATCTTAATCCAGAGCCAGTTGGAATACGAGGTCGGTTGGAAATCAGGGCCGGGTGGAGCACAAGGCCGACCGGAAAACAAGGCCGGGTGGAGCACAAGGCCGACTGGAAAAAAGGACGAGCTGCTGGAAAACAAGTCCGGCTGAAACTCAGTTCAAGGTCCAGTTTCCATAATGTTTCGTGTGCCGGTGCAGTGTGAGGCCTGAGGCCCAGCTGTCGGCACAAGCCTCACCCCGTAGCTGCTCCCTCGCACCATCCACAACTCCACCCGAGCAATAAACACAGCGTACTACTGCCATAATGATAAGTAACCAAATAAGATAATCATATAGGTAAGTGGGCTGGCCGGGTTGAGGGGGATACTGTGTGACCTGAAGTGCCAGCTTCAGGTGGTCCGTGTTGTTGTTTGTTCCAGGACGAACATCAAACACCACTCATCTACTGTACCTGGTGAACCTGATGCAGTTATCAAATTTTAGTAATTAAGTCTACTCTAGTTTTAGTAAGTAGAGCTTAATTGAGTTTTTTGCGGTTATAATAGTGACTGGTAAATGTTAAGTTTTAAGATTTATTTATTTTAAATGCAATTACGAAGAATAATCCAAGTAGACAAGTTTAGAGTATTTGTTACCGTTTTCAGGCGGTTGTGTATGAGTATGATGCCTTTAATCCTGAGGGTAAAACATGGTTGGCAGGTGGGAGCGGGCGCATGCGCAGTCCTGGATAGCCCGGGTTGAGCGTCAACAGACCGGCACTGTGGTACCGGGAGCTATACCATGCTGCTACTGCGCCTGTGCTCTCTGCTTGGCGCTGCCACCCTCACCGTACAGGGGAATTTTGGTAAGGATAAGAAACTGTTGATAATTAATAAGTGTAATAACTCAATGATTAATACAAAGACAAATATGTTTGATGTACTTGGTGTTCGGTAGTGGTTATGAATTAAGATAATATTAAATGGACCAGAGCGAGAGGTGCAGTGGTGCTTGTGTAGGCTGTGACTCAGGATATTTCCCTCATGTATCGTGGTCACTCATGATCAGTACAGCAGATGAAAAGCCCGGCAGAGGTTGACTGTGAGGCGAGGCATTATTTACCAGACAAACTTGCAAACTCTTCCGTTACCCGTCCAATTATACTGGTAGCGTCCTCACTGGGTGGGTAATTGCCCTATTACCGACGAATACCTGACTAATAACCCTTAAAAAATTATGACCCTGGTGACCTCTGACAACTATTTATGACCCCTGGTGACCTCTGACAACCTTTTATGATTGGTGACCTCTGACAGCCTTTTATGACCCTGGTGACCTCTGACAACCTTTTATGTCCCCAGGTGACCTCTGACAACCTTTTATGTCCCCTGGTGACCTCTGACAACCTTTTATGCCCCTGGTGACCTCTGACAACCTTTTATGACCTCTGGTATCCTCTGACAACCTCTTATGGCCTCTGGTGACCTCTGACAACGTTTTATGACCCTGGTGACCTCTGACAACGTTTTATGACCCTGGTGACCTTTGACAACCTTTTATGATCCTGGTGACCTCTGACAGCCTTTTATGACCTCTGGTGACTTCTGACAACCCTTTATGGCCTCTGGTGACCTCTGACAACGTTTTATGACCCTGGTGACCTCTGACAACGTTTTATGACCCTGGTGACCTCTGACAACGTTTTATGACCCTGGTGACCTCTGACAACCTTTTATAAACCTGGTGACCTTTGCCAACCTTTTATGACCTCTGGTGAACTCTGACAATATTTTATGACCCCTGGTGACCTCTGGCAACCTTTCATAACCCTGGTGACCTCTAACAACCTTCTATGATCACTGGTGACCTCTGACAACCTTTAATGACCTCTGGTAATCTATGGAGATTCATGTTGAATTCTGATTATCTATTTTTCATGACCTTATGATCCCTCTCACTATTTATGACCGATGGTGACCTCTTAAGACCTTAAACACCCTTATATGACTCCTGGTGACCTCTCATGACCTGTGTTGAAAACATAAATACTTGAAAATCTTTTAGGATCTGTTTTGACCCCTCATGATCCTGTATGACCGGTTGCGACCCCTAATGACCTTTGCTTACACACGGTGATCAGTAATTCTCATATAGGACCTTTTTCTGAGCCCTGATGACCTTTTGCTGACCTAGTGTGATCTGTGTCTCCCGGCAGATGGGGTGCTGGTGGACACGAGGGTTTTGGAGGCGGCGGTGAAGAAATTCCTGAACGAACAAGATGAACTGTTTTCCTCACAGTGTGCCAAGACCCTCTCGGCATCATGGGACTATCAGACAAACATCACCAGCTACAACATGATCCGCTTGGTGAGTGGAAGCTGAAGACAGTGTGTGCTAAGAGAGAGAGAGAGATTTAAAACCCAGCTAGTCAGATGAATTCATAATCCAAGCTAACCCTCACAATTTACCATCCTACCTCACTTTCGTTGATAATTTCTTCATTTACTGACTTGCCACGACACATCCTGTTATACCTGTCATCACCACCATCTGCCGCACTCCTTCTTCACCAGCTGGCGGCTCAGGAGGACTACAAGACACTGCAAAAGGTCTCCTGGGTGATGGTGGGGAGGTGGAGGGCAATGCATCGGTACCTGCAGGATCCCGCCATTATGAGACAGCTGGAAGCCATGTCCGTCTTGGGTCCTGCCGCCCTACGAACTGAATATTTGTCCAAGGTAAGGAATCAAGGGTGAGAGTCAAGTGTGAAGGGTCGAGGGTGAAAGTCAAGTGTGAGGGGTTCGAGGGTGAGAGGGCAATGTTAAGGGGTCTTGGATGAAGTGTCAGTAGTATATGGTTAAGTGTGAGGGGTCAAGGGTGAGAGTTCAAGAGTGAGGGATCAAGGAGCAAGAGGTCAGGGATGAAGGCTCAAGGGTGGGGCGCTGGTGGTAGAGCGGTACCGCTCTTGCCTCGCAAGCAAGATGTCACGGGTTCGATTCCCGGGCAAGCGGAAGTTGTTTGGACACTCTTCCTAGTCCCCTTGGTCCCTGTTCACTTAGCAGCAAAATAGGTACCTGCTGTAAATCGAAAGTTGCGAATTCGTATTCAGGGAGCTTCCAATAACTTGCTTAGACAAAAACCATTGACTCTTCAGGCTTCTACGCCCTTAATTCATGAGACATAAGGCGAGCATGAACTTAGCATGCTTCCCTGTTGGGCGCTGTAAACGCTTCTGCGCTTCACCTTACACAAGGATGTAGGGGGTGGGGGGGGTGAAGAGGTTACTTGCGGCTATTACATCGGACACTTATTGTTATTATTATTATACTGATATAAATACGGGATCTCTAGGTATTTAGTTAGATCTGAGAGCCCGGCAGTACAGTGTGATGTATACACCAACACGTCACATGTTCACAACCACAGCTGCTGATCTATATGTTGAGTTAATGTAAGTGGAAGACGAGGAAAATCATAGCAAGTTAAACCTCCACCAACACTCACACAATATCTCGATGGACTGGCCTTATGAAACATTATTCCACTGGACGAAACACAACCAAACAATATCCCATCGGACAAAACCCTACCATATAATATTCCATTGGACAAAATCCCGCCAAACAATATCCCATCGAACAAAACCCTACCATATAATATCCCATTGGACAAAACCCCACAGTACAATATCCCACTGGACAAAACCCCACAATACAATATCCCACTGGACAAAACCCCACAATACAATATACTACTGGACAAAACTCCACTCTGCAATATCCCACTGGACAAAACCCCCACTAAACCATTTCCCATTAGACAAAATACCACCACAGAAACAAGCTGAAGATAATCTAAACCCATTTACCCTTACAGGTTAACAGGGGGTTAGTTATAGGAAAACATATTCGCCCTTACCTATATCCCTGTCGTAAGGTAACGTGTGTGTGATCCTCCTTGTGTTTACAGTACACCAACACAGTGAGGGGCATGACGGCTGTGTATACCAGTGCCACCGTGTGTAACTATCATCGCCCCTATCAGTGTGACCTTACCCTAGAGAGAGGTAAGCTTGGGATCTGGATAAGGCCTTTAGGTAAGGTTATATCCAGGACTTTAGGGGGTTCTTTTTAAAGGTTCTGGGTCTAACTCTGGTTATGGGATTGGGGTATTGGTAGGGGTAAAGACTTTGAGGTCTAGATAAGGGATTGAGTATGTTCTGTGTGTAAAGTTGTGGGTAGGGTCTTAGATAAGGCTCTCGGTAGGTCCTCTTCACCACTACAAGCACTGATAATAACTAAGCTTTTCACAACTGCAAGCACCAGTAGTTAAGATCACCACCACTACAAGCATTACAATGAAGAAGACTATTATACACTTGTTCCCTTGACAGCAAAGAAGATCTTACGCAACAGTCGTGATCCAAAGGAGCTGGCGCACGTGTGGAGGACATGGAGGGTCAACACTCGCAAGATACGGAGAGCCTACCCTCGGTTCGTGAGGCTGGCTAACCACGCCGCCCTGGCCAATCGTGAGTACTGCTTAATGGTGATGGCTCGTGATTCAATGGTGACTTATAGTCTGCCTAATAGTGGATGGTGACTTTAGTGTGACTCCACGGTGACTTAGGCTGCCTAGTAGTGGATGGTGACTTTAGGGTGACTCCACGGTGACTTAGGTTGGTGATTTGCTTTATCTGTTGACTAAGGTTAGGATATACTTTTATAATTCTGACGTATTTAACTAGTTATACCTGTTATTTGTCATTGTGTTTAAACTGTGGGCAGTCGATCTTAATATAGGTGTGTCTAGGCTGCCTGATTGAAGCTGGAACATCTTGTCATAGCTGTAGTAATGTCACGGAGGCTCCACTACAGACTATGCCAGCAAGGACGAACTGGAGCTGTTTGAGTATGGCGGCGTGGACTTCAAGAATCAGATGGCGGAAGCTTGGGAGCAGTTGAAGCCTCTCTACCTGCAGCTACACGCCTACACCAGGAGGAAACTTCGGCAGGTAGGTAGTATGGGAGTGATTGTTGGGTGAGAGGGGTGGGCGGTGGTGTGGGGGCGGTTTGTCGAGGAGATAGTTCGGGCTGTCAGAGAGTGATGGTGAAGGGAAGTGTGAAGTTATGGGGGGGAGGACAATGAATATTCAGTATAAACATAGATTATGTCTCTCTCTCTCTCTCTCTCTCTCTCTCTCTCTCTCTCTCTCTCTCTCTCTCTCTCTCTGTATCTATATATATCTCCTCCATTTTTTATACAGTTTAAAATAGTATTATATGATGATTGACAAAGAAGGGTTTAGATACATGAGAAAATAATGTCATGAAACTTTTATGGAATTAGATATTCTTATGTGACAAACAGTGTGCATCTTAGTGTACGGACATCATCAACCTTCCACTCACATCCCTCTCAGGCGCCCCTATTTACACCTGTTTTATCCTGGACAGGTGTATGGGTCACAGGTGGTCTCCGAGCGTGGCCCCCTACCCGTTCACCTGCTAGGAGACATGTGGGGGCAGCAGTGGAAGATCTCAAAGCTTATCATGCCTTACCCTGGCAAAAGGTATCCTAACGTCACTAACAGGATGAGGAAACAGGTGAGAGCCTCCCCGAGGACTTGTACTTCAAAGATGGCTTGAATAATGACGAAAGCTAAGGTGTGTGTGTGTGTGTGTGTGTGTGTGTGTGTGTGTGTGTGTGTGTGTGTGTGTGTGTGGTTCCCACTAAGAGAGCTAAGCCCCCACTTGGCTGAGCTATTTCGTTATTATTGTTTTTGTTCACTCTGTATCTGCATTTTTCTGGCTAAATAAACTGATTAAATATCAGAAATAATATAAATAATGTTTGGTAACTGAGTACAATTAAGAACACGACAAATAAACGCTCACTTAACCCAAATAATGACCACACCAGCTGACTACACTGACCTCTCTTCCCCAGAGATACACCCCGACGTTAATGTTCAAGGTGGCAGACGACTTCTTTAGCTCTCTGGGTCTGCCACGTATGCCGCCCTCCTTCTGGCGTGACTCTCTCCTGCAGAAGCCTCACGACAGAGAAGTTGTCTGCCACTCTTCTGCCTGGGACTTATGCAACGGCCAAGACTACAGGTACTGAGAGTAATCATGATAGTACTCTTAACTTCCTTAATTCAAGAACAACACTACGCATCCAGTTAGTGATAAGCACAAGTTCTGGTATAAATACAGGAACAGTACATGAAATTTTAACACGTTAACAGTCCACAAAAAACTGCTTTAGAAAGAATGTTTGTACTTTAGTGTGAAAATCAAACCTACATTATAACACAGTAACATATCAAAACAACGCTGTGTTTATGTTTACTCATAACAGTAAGTGATTCCACAAAGAATGAACAAACATTCTATCGGTATAAAAGTCACAGGTGATGGGACTTACAAACTTGACCCAATACTATGATGTTTAGCACTGAGTGTGACCCCTGGTGTGTCCTTGTTACCACATGTGGGTTGTGTCATCACCCAGACCTGAACTCTCACAGGTTACCTACCTATATCACGGTGCAGGATCAAGCATTGCGCGGAGGTGAGCGAGGAGGACCTGGCTTCAGCCCATCACGAGATGGCTCATCTGCAGTACTTCCTCCACTACCGCCACCAACCCTACGCATACCGCCAGGGAGCCAACCCAGGTAAGTCCTTCCTTTACCTGTGTTGTTATTCTTTACTAAAGTCAGGTGACACTCCTCAGGGTAACTAAGGTAGTCATATTTTTTCTGTCATTAAGTTTTACCAAAATCCAGGATGGAGTTCTTGTCTACTGAGGCATTTTGATGACCAATGTCGCGTTGCATAATCCACCACAAACTGTCAACATATTATCTGCATGAAGTATAATACATGACGCGGGTGCAGCAGCTTCTGTAGCCTCTACAGCACGTTTGGTCCTGTCATAACACCACAGCATGACGCTCTCACAGGTTTTCAGGAGGCTGTGGGTCACACTGTGGAGATGATTGCAGCCACGCCCAGGCACCTCTATAGGCTGGGCATCCTCAGGAGGCTAGAGGAGGACCCGGAGGCCGATATCAATTTCCTCCTTCAGGTGGCCCTCGACAAACTAACCTTCATGCCGTTTGCTTACCTGATGGACCTGTGGCGGTGGCGAGTGTTTGACGGTACCTACGAGGAGAGTGAGTGGAACTGTGCTTGGTGGGATCTCAGGTGAGCTGTTTGTACTTATATCATTATGAGAATCTGTGAGGTTTAGGAATATATAATAATGATTGAACCTAACTTAATCTGATCTCCCCTGAACCCATGACACGGTTTATTTTACTTAATCAAAATTCTTGTTCCATTATCAATAAACACTGGATCATATTAACAGGTGCGAGATAAACCATATAAAGGGGCATTGTTCCTCTCTATATAAAATGTTGTATAAAGTTACAAAATTGCATTTTAAATTTTACCAGTTTTCAACATAAATTTTCAAAATGACTTACTTTTCATCATAATAATTTTTCAAAATCACTTAAAACTTTTCAAACAGCTTCCATGTCCAGCCTGTTCGTTTTATTTCAGCTGTCATCGTATTTGTTATTGTTTATGTGTTGGGAAACATGAGGATGATATCCCTTGAACTATCTCTTCTCTGTGAACCCAAGACAACAGAGAACTACCTTCGTCAGTATAGTATATTAGGCTATTTGTTTTGCCGTTCATGAACAAATCTTCAGCTGATTTGTGATGTCTCGTGAAATTATCTGTGTGCATTCCTACGTCCTGATAATTTAATATTTGTTTCTTAACGATACCCTCCTGCCGCCTTGTCTTCAGGTACAACGTGCAGGGCGTGAAGCCTCCGATCCTGCGCACAGAGGACGACTTTGACCCCGCCTCCAAGTACCATGTTGACGCTGACCTCTCTTATACCAGGTGAGTGGCGGGAGTCAGCACACACACAGCCATAGTGTCAATCTTCTTGGTAATCTGTAGTTACACCGCAGTAATAATGTCCTGTAGGAATACAGTTGCGTGTATAAGGATTATTCTGAGTGTAAAATAAATACTGCAGCTGTTTGTTACATAAGTTACGAGACTCTTGAAGAAATATCCATTGGATATTCCAGGTACTTTGTTGGTTTTGTGCTGCAGTATCAGTTTCACAAGGCGCTGTGCATTAAGGCAGGGCAGTATGGATGGAACTCTGCCATACCTCTCCACAAATGCGACATCTTCAGGTCTACCGAAGCTGGTAAAGCCCTGAGGTGAGTGTAAAGTGTTTATACTTGTACTAGCAGAGAGTTGGGGGGCTACCTCAGATACCAAACATTAGAGAGTAAATGATTACGTGGCAGTCTTTGAGAGTACAGTAAATGGAACTCGTAGAAGCTGGGCTGACGGTCCCAAAGCTTTCTATTTCCGCAATATTCATCCTTGACTAAATGTTAATGATTTATGGATGACCATTTACTGAAAACCGCCGTGATGTGGAAAAATACTTGTTTGTAGTTTCCTTCTATAAGAGAGAACACATTTGATCTTCTATATATATGAAAAATACTTAGTTGTAAAATATTACCTACATAGAATAAATATATTTTTAATTTTATTGCTAAAAATACATGATTTGTCATCACTGCAGAAGCTTAGTTAACTCGTCATTGTGGTAAAGGGATTACAATAAATGTTGTGTTATTGAGAGAAAAGTGTCTTGCTGAGCCGCCATAACTATGGACAGAGATATGATGCAGCTGGGGAGTTCGAGGCCGTGGCCGGAGGCGCTCCAGGTGTTGACGGGTCAGAGGGAGATGGACGCCTCCGTCATGAGGGAATACTTCAGGCCCCTGGAGGACTGGCTGAGGAAGGACAACGCCCGGCATGGAGAGTACGTCGGCTGGAGGTCAGGTGAGTGGTCCCGTATATCTACAGTAGTTGGTAATTAAAAGATTTGTCTTTAAAATCCTTAACCATCAAATGATACCATAACTTCCATGGATATGTCCTGACGTCGACATTAACCCCTAAACTACAAAAGGCTCCAAATAATGGCTTTTACTGTGAATGTCAAATTATTATCAACAATGTCTCCCACACGTGAAGGAACAGACACAGACTATAACTACTGAAGTACTGTGTTTCCCCCAGACGGCGAGTACTGTGTGTACAAGAAGCCCTTCCTGATGCAGCCCACCATCCACTCATCCACCATCATCCATCACAAAGATGATCCCATCCTACAAGTGAACTAAAATAAAAATAAAAGTATTCTTCAGTATAACATTGATATGATTTGAGGCGTTTTCTCTCTCCCATTTTATTGTTATTTTAAATGTAATGATGTTCAACTTCCTTATAGTAACTCCTCTAAGCTTGTTTAATATGTCGGTGACTGCAACTAATGTACTGTAAGATGATAGTGTGTGGGACGTAGATGGTGTTTACACATCGAGGCTACGTTGTTTAACCTTTTATTTCTGTTAACACGAAGCTTTAGACTCTGATATCTTGTGACGCGGACTCGATCCCCATTCAATGATATTAATTCTTACTTCTAAAGTTGTAGTTAGAATGATAAAGGGTATTATGTTATCTCTTCAGGTATATTAGACGGTGTAACTAGTGTGATCCTTCTATTCTATTTATATGAAAATAATTATTGTTTTAACTTATTGCTGATGTTTTAAGATTGTTTATTAAAACATCAGATGGCTTGTTGACTTATTGTTTACTATTGTATACCAGCATTATCTAAGTACATTGGAAACTTTAGACCTCCACGGTCTATGTACAGTAGAAAGTATACCTGCATTGTCTAAACACTTGCTGAACTGTATGCTTGCATAGTCTATATATAGTACATGTCACACCAATTGTAAACCTGTATGGTGATCTTACTGAATAAATACAGTATTGTTTTATTATTCTCATCATTATTTTCTTTTTGTATGTACTCTCAGCTTTTGAAAAATATATGTTTTCAAACTTTCTAAAGTGGTAGTGTTGCTGTTGTACCGAGCATTGTTGGCATTAAGCCGAGATAAGACCCACTAATACCTATGTTCTCATATTCCACAATTCTTCACTTTGTCACTGAGGTTTTATTATCCCAGTTAAGATTGTTTTTTTTTTATGAAACTGCACTTTATTACAGTGTTGTTTGTACGGTACTGCTTCCAGGTGTACAAATATATCAGTGAGGTAAGTGATCCTTTACCATGTTTATTACCGAAAGAAAAATGGGTAGGGTGTAGTGTATGGTAGATAAGATGATACTACTGCGTTATATCGAGGTGATGGCAGGATGTTTGTGTTAAGGGGGGAGAGTGGCAGTGGCCCATGGTTTGTTGACCGCTGTTGTCATGACCTGGGTGTGGCTGTTCCCTGTGCCACGCCTCCTCACTGTTACACTCCCCCATGTCTAACTACGCGCCAGTGTAGGCCAGGGAGCAGCCAGGTACACACAGATTGTCAACAAGAGCGAGAACCTCCATCAACACACACACACAATAATACGTTTTACTGCCGTGTATAAAACAACAAATTTCTTGCTCTCTCGCAGGTAAGTAAAGACGAGCTTGTTAACAGTTACAGTAAGCTGGAATTTAATTTAATTTGAACATATTAGCATTTTTTATATTCTGTGTGAGTTAATTGAGAGACACTTGTGGTTTAGTGGTGGTTGCTATTACGTCAGCACTAGGGAGGTCACTCATCCCTGATACTGTAACTAATTTCTGCAGTGTTTTACCTTGTTAGTAAATATAAACACTACTTTATCTCTCACTCACTCACTGATGGGGTAACACTAAACCCTAACTAGCGGAGAGAAATGTAACTTACTCATTCAGTGCCGAAGAAAATTATTAACTAAATGATTCAGTTACGGAGAAATTTTGTCATTGTTGTTCATTCACTCACTGATAAAGAAAACACGTCATTAACTCACCCATTAACTGACTCACTGACAGAGAATATATTACTCTGGTGCAGGTTATGATTAATTCCTGTCACTCGGAATTGAGTACGACAGTCTTCCAGTGATAACTGAATGATAAGAGTTTTTGATGGTGTTACCTTCGTTGGCGAGCTCTGAGGTGGCTCGAAAGGCCAATATGGAACCGACTGGGTCATCTACAGATGTTGCACGCGTGGAGGGCGACATCTGGTGCAGGAGAGAGGCTGCAGCGTCTTTCCGGCGCTGGCGCTTGTCCGCCTCGGCATGTAATCCCACTTGGACGATCGTCTGCTTTATGCCATGTTGTACCGTCTTAGTTAAATGGTTAGGTTAGGTTAGTTACGTTTAGGTTGGGTTAGGTTACGTTAAATAGCATAAAACAGACTATCGTCCAAGATGGGATGTATTCAGTAATACATTCTCGTGCAATGTTTTTTTCTAAAATTTACAGCGAGAAGTGATCTCTCTCATTGCGGGGGTCGATTTGGTTTCTCTTAGAATTATCTATATACCCTTTCTGTTGCCTGCCAGCATTACGTTTGCCATTATTTGCAGTCTACTGTCGTCTGTGCGGGTAACATGGCTTATCCAACGTAGTTAGTCATGGATAATGTCAGCCTCGATACGCCCACAGCTGGTGTTAGCGAGGATACTGGTATACTCGTATGTCCCCTTGTCTTTCCAGCGAACTATTTTGGAGAAATTTCTCAGATGCTTTTAGGTGTCTCCTGTATGTGACCCATGTCTCGCTGCCATACAACAGGATGGGGAGGACCACTGTTTGATATAATGTACTATACATGTAGACAATAGCGGTTCCGTTACAGCTGTATCATTTATCGTAAAGCTGAGTGGGGAGTGCTCTAGCCCCTATCAATCAGTATTATATAAATATGGGCTAAGGACATATATTCATTATATACATTCTATCACCCAGACTATTGAGCATAAAGCTACATAAGCATTTGTTCTGTCACACCTCCTTGGGTGGGCAGCACACATAAACATTTGTAGTTTCACACAGATTCAGGTTACAACCCATAAATATATGTCCCCAGGCCTCCGTGAGAGTAGGCCTGTGGAGTGTAGCCTTTTATCTCTGTGTTGACGTATAGATTAAATACCCCCTTACAAGCAGACAGAGAGAGGTTCGCCTAGTTCACAGTTTCACACAGTTCAGCAGTTCACAGCCAGACACCGTACCAAAGAGACGTGTGTGAGCATACAGTAGCTCCCAAGGCTGTATCTCTCTCTAATTTTATCAGCTAATTACAAGCTAATAGCTAATGCTCAGTAGTCTGTTAACAAACAATTCTGTAACTACCAGAACATCCAATATAACTAGAAAATCACCACGTGTGTTTACATTAAACCAAGGAACCACAAATGAAGATAACAGAACATGTGTACACTTGTGTATACTTACAAGCTAAGATAATTACACGTGTAACCCAGGTGGGCTTGGACGACTCAACGACTCAACTCAACGACTCAAAACTACGACTGTATCAAAGGTGACACGCCGTGAGACTACCTATTATCTCCCCCAGCTTCACCAAAGGTACCAGCGACTACTCTACACTCATTCAGGCAAGTGTTAACAAGTGAGATCGTTCGATATCAAACCCCGGCCCAAACAGGAGCAGTAGGTTGAGTGTTCCTCCTGAGTAGAATTGATGATACTCTAGGTTATCTTATTGTTGCCTGATGCTGACTGAAGCTTATTTGTACAATAGCTAAGTCTGGCATTTCTAACTGCTTGTGTTACTCTATTTCGGATACTTTGGTAAGTAACACCGAAAGTTATGTTTTTCTTTTGCATTTTTTTTCTTTTATCACTGGAACGAGGGTGTGGGTGGGGCGAGGGTGTGGGTGGGACGAGGGTGTGGGTGGGACGAGAGTGTGGGTGGTAGAGGGTGTGGGCGGGGCGGAGCGGGAACAACGACCTGTAGCGGGCAGCGTGGAGGGAAACACGCTACTCACACCCTCCATTATCCTAATTACGTTGTGTCTGGCCCCTTCCGACTCCTCCCGCCTCACCCTGCCCCTCCTCCCTCACCCCGCCCCTCCTCTACATTACCCTACACCTCCCCCTCACTACCACTCCCTTATTCCGCTCCTCATTCACTACATCTTCTCTCTCACCTAATACAAAGTGTGTGGCCAAACATATGGCAACACATCATCACTACGTCTTTAACTATGAAAAGGTAGAACCATTTAGAGACTGATCCAAGCATACTTTCGGTAAGATAGCTGACGTATTAAAGCTGTACCCACACTTTGCATCTAGTAGCTAAGCAGATTTCTTTGGACCGAACAAAACAATAATGAAATTCTCACCAACCCCGCCCCTCTCGTCCCACCTCTCATTCCTCCTCTGCCCCTTCACCTTTCCTCTCTCACCTTACCCCTCCTGGCTCATCCCGCCCCTCCTGGCTCATCCCGCCCCTCCTCACTCATCCCGCCCCTCCTTCAACCCACCCTTTTCACCCACCTACCCCTCCTTCCCTCGCCCAACCTCTCCTCTCTCACCCCCAACAAAAGAGGTTTAGTTTTTAGTCTAACAAATTTATTGACAAATCTTGGAGTACAGTTTGCCTATTCTGAGTAATTCAGTCAGGTCTTGACACTGAGGGTGGTATCACTTCTCACTGCCACGCAGGACAGAGGTTCATGCACAAAGAAATACATCATATTCATTAGCAGTATATATAGGTCAGAGTCGTGTGGGTGATGTCACTGTTCGCTGCCACGCAAGACTGGTTCATATACATTGGACGTCATATTCTAATTGAAGACTAATCAGTGTGGGCTAGCAAATTAGGGATAAACAGCAAAAATGTCCTCAAGCACCCCTGATTCAATGTAGTAATTAAAAAGTTCATGATACAATAAGCCAGGTGGCCTGAAGCCTTTGACTGTGTCACATTCAATAATATAGTGTTCAAGTGTATGCTTTAAAGGTTTATCACAAAGTTTACATGCTGATCGTTCCGGTATGGGTGCAACGTTACTAACTTGCCAGATGTGTCTGTATCCTAGCCTAATTCTGGCCACGACTACATCACATTGTCTGGCTCTGTCCTTATGCTGGCCATACCGGTACCTCTCGTCAAACAAAAGAGGGATGTGAAATATACCGTGGCCTCCCTGTCCTCAAAACTGGTGATTATCAAGTATTCAATTGACTTAATGATCTTAGAATGGTTCCCTGATGCCTGATGATTGTAGTACCTGTTGTTCTCCCAAATAGGTGAGGTTCTATAGTCCTCAGAAAGTGAGTTAATGTGTCCTAGTTCCGTGAGAGACAACAAGGTACCATTAAATGATTATATTCAAAACGTGTGGTAGGTGTAGCGTGGTTCTCTTGCTTAGTACAATTGTCGGGCATACGTGGTATAAGGATATGATTTGCCTATGAGATTTGATCACGATATTGTAATATATTGGGGAAATGTGACTGAAAAAAAATATTTATTATAATTTTTTTATATCATTTAGCACCAATGGCAGCGGCAACTATGACGCTGATGGTGTGACAAAACCTCTTCTTCGCACCCTACAGGTGACCTACACAGCACCGCCATACATCTTTCCATGTTAATGTCGCCATTTTTTGTTTATAGTTTAAAAGAGCTCTATAGCTAAGTACTCACATCTGCGGCCTAATGGTAAAAATAAAGTACGATTTTTTGACAATCCAGGACCTGGATCTGGGTCAGCTGACGGACACAACTACATATAACCAACCTGTGGCACCGAGTTCATTGTGGATATCAGAGAACATTAAGGAAATTACTTTACATGTGTGACCCACTTTGTTGAGTGGCCAGCCAGTGCCCCACGCAACCTCGTGCGACCCCACGCATCACAACACCCAGGGGGCGTAACGCGGGGAGGAGGATGGGTGGAAGAAATAGTGAGTTATGAAAGACTAGTGACACGCTCGAGCAAGTGTGTTGTCTCATGAATAATATAGCGATAAAGATTATTGATATTTTTTGTTAATCTATGATAAGTTGTAGCATTAATATAATCGGTCTTTTATAAGTGGAATATTTTTTGTTTTAATTTATCGTGAAAGTTAATGTAAATACAAAGTTGATGTACGGGACTTTTATGAACAGACAGTTGGCAGGTGTAGTGCTGCCGTTTGACGGTAATTCGTCTGCTAGACGGTAAAAAAATAAAAGTCTATGACGTAGTTAGTAGACCGTGACATCACTACCGGCCCGTCGGTAAAATACCGAAATTGTTAATTAGGCCTTTTGGAGGGTCAAATGCAAAATAAATATAAGATATAATAATTATGAGCGCATTTTATTTAATTTCCTTCATTTCATAATTTACAGTCTAGCAATACTGCTTTATGATGAGTTAGTACGAGAGGATGACGTCTACTAGGAACACAAAGACGGTCATATCTTCCTGTTCCATGTTTGAGTTCCAGGGGCGGATTCAGGACTATCAAAAGAGGGTCCATTAAGTTTTTAGTGAGAGAACCTGGCGAGCAAAGCTAGCCCACCCAGCTGGGGGGTGTTTGAGGGGTGGGGGGAGTAAGCCACCCCCCGAAATATCTTTGAAATCTGATCAATATCATGGGCATTATGAGGCCATTTTGAAGCCATGTGCACTTGATATTAGGGAATATTCTGAGGTCAATAGTAACTACTTTTTACTATGCAGAAATGCCTGAGTACAATACTGTATTAAAGAAAAGTATTGGAGTTTTCTGATGAAAAGGGTGATGGGTCTGGACCCCCAGCTGGACCCGCCCTTGAGTTCAGTCAGTTTCGTTCAAATAACTTTTACTGCAGAGCCTTTGTCCAAAGCATCTACACGCCGTTATACATCGACTTTCGGTGAGTCCTTTACTGGTAGTTCTTTATTTGTTAATTTATCAGACATTTTGAATGGATGGCCTTACCAGTATAAAGTAAAGCCATCCATTTGTGATATGGCTTCCTGTGAATTGTTGGGTTTTTCGCACTAAGGCTCGTCTAAATTAAGGTAATACCCCCTGTATATTTTTATTTCACACTTTTTTATTCCTGAATTTATGCATGTACGTTGGTCTCTCGTCATTTTTTGTCGGTTTTATATTGGAGTGCTCTTTCTTTAAATTTTATGGAAGGTAAATTTTCGTATAATGTTATGTTTTTATTGTATATCACCTGTATTTTTTAAAACTGTTTCAATTTTTTTGTTTTCTAGGCTCTGATGATAGAAAATGATTTTTCCGAAACGTTAGTGATTAAAGAAACCCCAACTTAGTCAAGATGTTTGTGTTTTCCCTGGTTCTCCTCTTCGTTTTATATATATATATAGATATATATATATATATATATATATATATATATATATATATATATATATATATATATATATATATATATATATATATATATATATATATATATTTTTTTTTTTTTTTAGTTACCCATTTAAACAGTTTATTTTCTATGATATTCACCCGTGGTATCACTCCATTTTCTACTTCATAATTATTAGGGCTAACTATTATTAGAAGTTTTAGAATTCTTTTATTTATTTTATTCAATATAATACTGCTCCACCTGATTTTAAAGTCGGATATACAGCAGGACTCAGGTGAGAGAGACACCCCAATTTGTATAACTTGGAAAACTGGTGGTGAAAAGACATGGAGCAGTGCGGTCCAAAGCAAACGAAGCTCACCGTTAGGCCCGTGTTGGGAGTTGATTGGTGGTGACTCACGGGTAAACCAGATATATTAACCAGTTGTAAAAAAAAATAGTAAAAGAAAGTGTAAATCAGAGAGAGAGAGAGAGAGAGAGGGTAGTTAGAAGTGGTGTGACAGACACAATGGGTATAAGGAGATAAAGGTCCAGGAGGCAGTAGTGTGGTGTACGTGTAAGATAAAACATGAGGTCGAGTGGTTTACAGGGATGATGCAGCAACATGACAGCGGGTAAAGAGAAGCTTTGGCATCATGGAGGCAAAGAGAAGCTGGAGGACTAAACAAAATTATACAACTGACATATATTAATACTAGCAAGAATAACGTATATAATAAATCATTCAACACTCGAGTATACAGTATAATCTCTAATAATACAATAAATATTTTTTTTTTTTTTTACAGGTTTGGGTATGATCAGTGTTGAGACGCCCGAGCTTCTGGGTCATCCGGGCGTCGAGGAGTCAAAGCTTTAAGACATCGGAAAGTCGATTCATCGGATCTTGAGACTGAAGCATCGACACATTGGAAGGGTGAAACTTTGAGACGTTGAGGTATCAGATCATTGAAAAATAGGAACTTTTAAACATTGGAGCATTGATATATTGGAGCATTAAGACCCTGGAGCATTGATATCACAAGGCATTGAGAATTAAGAATGTTGTGACTAGACGTTGAAACCAGAGGACACTAAGACTCATCGGATCTTGGAGGAGTCGAAACATTGTAGGCTCGGAGCGGTGAATCCTGGGAGAAGCCATTGGAACATTCAGGTGTAGGAGCGTTATAAAACAAAAGACTGTAGAAACGCTTTGGAGGAGGAGCATCGAGAAGCATGAGTGGGACAGGGGAGGAGGAGGATGGAGGCAGGAGTCCACGTTCCAAGAGTCCAGCTATGGGCGTGTCCGGTCTGCTCAGGGAACAGCAGAAGGTAAGACCATCTCTGTAATTAATTTCGAAAGTAATGTATCGTTTCCTGGTAAAGGTGAACGAAGTATGGATATTAGGGAATGCATAATTTTTTTTTCTCGAATACTTGTAAAAGGAATTGTATTTTTGGACGTATGCAGGGTACATTCTTAAATTTTTTGAAAGTTTATTGTACAATAACGGTAATTCTTGAAAAAAAAGCCTTCTTACCTCGATAAACTGAACGAAATGTACTTAAACGTTTTTTTATGTTTTCTGTCTCCAGGGAGTTGCCTCAGACCCCCATGTTTTCTTTCAGAGATCGTTTGTTAGTTCCTTTCATAGATATTTTTAGATACAATTACAATCTATAATTTATCGTCCATAAAATGAAAGAAACTAACCTACCAAACCTCACCCATCTAACCTAAACTAAAATATTACATTTATTTTCCTTTTTATTCGTCAAAAATAAAATGAGACTCCGAAAATAATCTTGTTTACAGTAGTATATACATTGAGGCGCAGAGCAGGGACGTGCTTGGCTGATTTCTTCCTCAGACTTTGGACGTAAAAAGCAATATTACACAAAACACATTCCTCGTACACTATTTATCATTTTCTTGAGGCAAATTTGTTTTTATCTTTTATGGAGAAATTGCCCAAATTGGTACTAAGGCCAGTTTTACCGAATTAATATTGTCGACTGTACAGTATGCTATGCTACAATACCTTTTTATTTTGTTAGGTATACAGCAGTCTGGATATTTTCGATACATAATCTAAATTGAATCAAAATTTGAAATGTATGATGAACAAGGAAATATAGTGTAGAATAGTTGTTGCAAAATGAAACTTATTCTGGAATGTAAAAACTGAGGCATTTTATTTTTAGCAGAAAGTTAAAGGGTTTATTCGTGGTTGTATAGTTTATAATATACATGAGTTGAAATACGTGTGTGGTAGGGTGTATTACGTTTGTGTTAGGTTTGTGACTATTGTGCTAGGTTGTAAAACGTGTGTGGTAGAGAGTGTATATGAGAGAGTCAGTTGCGTGCGTGTGGTGAGTGCGTTTGGGCATTAACTGCTTGTATTGTGTGATATGAAATAGTGGAGGGCGTGTAGGGTTGGGGGAGGGGCAAAATAGGGCGTGTAGTGTTGGGTAGGGGCGGGGGAGGGCGTGTAGGGTTAGGCGTGGTGTAGGGTGCCGGAAGACGTGTCAGGACAGGCGGGGGAGGTGATGAAGAGGAAACAGGGTGTGGCGTGTCAACACTGCCAGCTGACCACATACTGCACGACACCACCACCTCATTAACTCTACTTCACCACACCTCAGTTTATTGCGTAGTGTGAGGCAATAAGCTCAAATCATTATATAAAACTGATTTCACTGCTAATTCTATTTTTAATAATAATAATAATAATAATAATAATAATAATAATAATAATAACAATAATAATAATAATAATCCCTTGCATATCTTCTCTTTTCATCTGTTTATTTTTCCTCCCTTATATTCTTTGTATTTTCTTTCTCTTTGTCTTGTTCTCCTCTTCCTCTCACCCTTATCTGTTTTTTCCTGCCTCATCCCTCTCTACTATTCCATCCTCTCTCCCATTCCTGCCCCTCTACAGCCGCAGGGAGGAAACGGTGAGGAGGAGGGTCGTCGTTGGTCAGGCCCTGCAGGCTCGGGGGGCGGGATCTTACGGCTGGACCCGGCTAAACCTCGCAGGTCCTCCGCCGCCTCCGTCGAGTTCAAGACAGACAAGGTAATTCTACGTCCCCACCTGTCTTATAATGTCACCGACGGAGACTCAATGACCCTTTAACATCTTCCTCTGTTTCCGAAATCATCTTATAACCTAACCTAACCTAACCTAACCTAATCTAGCATGACTTTAGTACCTTCTTGTGAGCACCTATGACCTACTGTACTTGACTCAACTTGTTCTTCAGGTTTTCCATAATCCTTTGTAATTTCTGATAACCTAAATTTTCATTTTATTAAGTGTAACTGGAAGATATCAGAAATACCTTCATTAAATCAATACCTGTAGGTGTTGCCTTACCAAAGACTAAAAAATATTCAAATTAACACGTAATGACCAAGAGATCTCACAGAGTCTATCGTCTTGAGTACTGAAGGGAGTGATACCTTAAGATCTTAATGTTGTGTAATGACGAGATGATGATGTTGTCAAAATTTACCTGTTAGTAAATATTTTGTATTTCTGTTATAGTAAGGTTGAAGGAAAGCATATTGGCTGCACCTCATATTGCTAAGCGCGTAAGATCTTCCCGACACAAAGTTTTACTTTACGTAACAAAGACAGAGTTAAAGAATGGGGAGGTGAATCGTTTGTAAAACGGAATTGTTATTTGTCTCTGAGTTCAGTAATGGGTAAGAGTAGAAGGTAGAGCTACATAAGAACATAAGAACATAAGAATGGAAGAAACTGCAGCGGGCCTATTGGCCCATACTGGGCAGTCCAATTTACGCCCAACACCTATTGCTCATATAAGCATCCAACCTATGTTTGAAGCTATCCAGCGTATTCGAGTTAATGATGATATTTGGTAACTTGTTCCATTCATCCACTACTCTGTTTCCAAACCAGTGTTTACCTATTTCGCGCCTAAATCTAAATTTGTCTAATTTAAAACCATTGTTACGAGTTCGCTCCTGGTTGGATAGTTTGAGTACCTTTGTAATGTCCCCTTTGTTTAGCCCTGCCTTCCACTTATACACCTCTATCATGTCGCCCCTCACTCTACGTCTCTCGAGGGAGTGCAAATTAAGATGCTTTAACCTGTCTCTGTACTCAAGGTTCCTAATGCCCGGGATTAGTCTTGTTATTCTCCTCTGGATTCTTTCCAGGGATTCTATATCCATTCTGTAATACGGTGACCAGAACTGCACTGCGTAATCCAGGTGAGGTCTCACAAGCTCAACATATAATCTTAAGATGACCTCGCTAGTCTTGTAACTGACACTTCTTTGTATGAACCCAAGTACTTTATTAGCCTTGTTACGAGCAAGAACACATTGTTTACTTGGCTTAAGATTCCTACTTATCATTACTCCTAAATCTCTCTCGCAGTCGGATTTCTCAATGGCATCATTGTTCATCTGGTAAGTGGTTTCCCTGTTTACGTCTCCTAAACTGAGTACTTTACATTTGTCCACATTGAATTTCATCTGCCATTTTTCAGACCATTCGAAATTTTTTTTTAGATCTTCCTGTAGTTTTGCTGAGTCCTCGTCAGATTTAATAACACGTCCTATTTTAGTGTCATCAGCAAATTTACTTATGTTGCTGTCTATGCCGATATCTATGTCGTTTATGTATATAATAAATAATAATGGTCCAAGTACTGAACCTTAGGGAACTCCACTTGTGACGTTGCTCCAATGGGATTTAGTGCCGTTAATGCTCACTCGCTGTTTCCTGTCCTGTAACCACGCCCTAATTCAGAGTGACAGAAAAACCATCCACAAGTTCACACACACACACACACACACACACACACACACACACACACACTGTATGAGCAGACAGAAAACAAGAAATTAAACTAACTAAAGAAGGTAATTTCTCCCATATGGATCGATGTTTTGCTCTCTCAGATAACTTCAGATATGCCAAGACCTTTATGCTATATCGTTCTTTCCTTGACCTGTTGCTATCGTTGTTGACCTCGAGTAATGATATCTTTTTATCTTACTCGACTTTTAGTGACCTATTACAATAGTTGTTATATCGTGACCTCCTGTGATATCTGAGAATATTTCATGAACTTATGTATTTTCTCATGCCTTCCTTAGCTACTCCATGACCTTTGGCCTCTTGTGACTTCCGTTGGTCTGATAAAACTTCTTCCCCTCGTAGGATGACCCGTCGTCACCCTGTCCCAGTGACCGTCTTAGCGTGACCTGGGCAGATGGAGAGAGGTCGGTGTCTAGTGACGCTGTGTCTCTGGTGCCCCGAGGCCCTCTGTCCCCAGACCAGCCCTCCATCAACACCCTCATCCCTGGTGAGTACTGGAGGGGCAGGAGGGAATGAGGAAGATGGGGCAGGAGGGAATGAAGAAGTGTGATGGGATGGGGAAGGAGACAGAAAACTACGGGATGGAAGAGGGGGAAAGGGGCAGAGATATAGATGTACTAGGTAAGCCGAACGTGAAAATTTATTGCTTTGTACTCTATAACGCCTATCAGTCGACACACGTTTATATGTATATTTTCATTCCTCCATCACAAGTTGAGACAAAAGAGGAAGTGATATTAATTGAGCATTTGTCAATTGCATACAAACTTTCGTAACAAGGAAAGATGGAGAGTGTCAGAGGTAGACAGGGGGAAGTAAAGAGAGAACGAGACGATAACGTAGAGAAAATATAAATTAGAAGTGTAGATGGAGTTAATAAGAATATTGCAGGTAATTGGAAATGAATTAGCGGAGAATGACTGAGACCAGCAAGCTGTTCCTATCACTGTCTCGTGTTGCAACCTCTCTGTCAATTTGCTCTTCCTATACAATTAATGTACTCGTACAGGTGTTAAATTGGCTGTACCTCTCCGTCCGTACGTCCAGAGAATTATTATTTGTATTCACGTTAAAATTTATATAAAAGGATACTCAAGTGCTATCAGGATGAGAGGGAACCTTAAGCTGAGTCTGTACTGATGCAGCCTGCGGGAGTCTGCTAGAGGAACCTGCGGAGGATGACTTTAATGCCAGCGTGTCGGCCATCCTGAAGAGGTCCAATTCTAAGGGTTCCAGACGCGGCTCTAAGAAGAGGAAGAAAATGAGGAGGACCTCTACCATGACCACCAGTTCTGGAGAGTGAGTCTTAGTGTAGGTTCCAAAATAGCTAGTGTAGGGTTCTAGGAGTGAATGTAAGCCTCAAGACTACTAGTATAGGCTCCAAGGAGTGCGCACGCGCGCGCGTGTGTGTGTGTACTGTAGTCTCCGAGTTTACATGAGTAGATTTATATTGCAGTTCGTTCATCACACACACACACACACACACACACACACACACACACACACACACACACACACACACGTTTAGGAAATAAATGCTGATATGCCAATAAGAAATTTCAATTCAAACACTGTATGTTCTTTCCATTAAATTAGATCCCATATTATTTACACTCTAAGGACACTGAGACTGTCTGCATAGTTGAGAGGAACACATCACCCATACCTAACTCTGGCCAGGACACAACAGCACACGCACTCTGCTCACTGACAGGTGCTGTGTCTAACTTTCTACAGTTAAAGTAAGATATCATTCATATATTTTGTTGAGAACAATATAACGTCGGGAGAATTTTTTATGTACAACAGGAATATTACTGTAGATTACCCTGATTGGTAGTGTAGGCTCCAAAGAATACCAATGTATCATTGGAAGTGTTATATAGGCAGCCAGTGCAGTAACAGAGGTGTGGTGGCCAGAACGGTGGTGGAGATGGAGGAGTCGACGGCGGACGAAGTGGCCGAGACGCTGAGGATTCACAAGGAGGTTCTCGCCGGCGTCAACCAGCAGCCGTGGCCCATTGCCAGGTAACACCTAGAGTCTTTATTCTAGTGCTGGTGCGAGTCTTAGTGTGAATCTTAATGTGAGTCTTAGTGTGAGTCTTAATGCTGGTGTGAATCTTAGTGTGAGTCTTAGTGCTGGTGTGAGTCTTAGTGCACGTCTTGGTGCTGGTGTGAGTTTTACTGTGAGTCTTAGTGTATGAGTCTTGGTGCTGGTGTGAATCTTAGTGTGAGTCTTGGTGCTGGTGTGAGTCTTAGTGTCGGTGTGAGTCTTCGTATTAGTGTGAATCTTAGTGTGAATCTTGTTACTAGTGTGAGTCTTGGTGCTGGTGTGAGTCTTAGTGCTAGTGTGAGTCTTAGTGTTAGAACTAGCCTTAAGTTGTAGCGCTAGTAGTATTTCTAGTCTGGCGTCTTAATGTGTTCTAGTGAGTTTGAGTTTTGGGGATGGTCTTAGTTTTAGTGCTAGTCTTAATTATAGCTATGATGAGTCTTAGTTCTTCAAGTGATAGTCAATTGTATAGTTGGTGTGAGGTTAGGTTAGGTTAGGTTAGGTTAGGTTAGGTTAGGTTAAAGGAGCCAGTGAGTTTCAGATGTTGTGTCAGCTTTGCCGTGGGGGAAAGGTCACAGAGACACAGGTAGTTGTTCACCATTCCAGGAAGCTGAGGCTGGCGAGGACGGCACAGGAGTACATCAAACGTCACGAGGGGGAGCTGGAGGAGCGCCTTGCCCACAGCTCCAGTACCAAGGACGTCCTCCTCCGATACTTCATCCTCGTCAGGAGGGTCAGTTGCCGTCTCTCTCTCGATCTTAAATTGAGTGTTGTCCAAAAAAAGTTCTCCCCTATTGTATTTTGAACATTGTCATCTCGGTTTTCTTTCATTCATTTTACTTTATTTTATTAAATGTTTCATTCTCCTCTTTTTTTTGTTGAACAAAGATTATATTCAATTTCTCTCTGTAAAAGCATCATGGATACAGTAATCCCTTTATCTACAATGCGATAATCCATATACTGTATCCGCCTGAATCCCTGTGACTCACTCCCCTGCCCCCCAGCTGGTGCGGGCTGGAGTACAAGCGGTGTATCAGTGGGTGACGGGGCTGGAGCCATGGCAGGGACGCATCAAGACGATAGAGTCACACTTCGGGTCGGCTGTGGCCTCGTACTTCACCTTCTTGCGCTGGGTGCTGGGCCTCAACATCGCCCTCACCGCTCTCCTCGCTGCTTTCGTCATCATCCCTGAGGTGGGCTACTCAGACCCTTAACTGACTCTCACCCTTAATTGACTCTTACTCTTGACTGACTCTTACCCTTAACTGACTCTCACTCGTATCCTGACTTTCAAGCCTACTACAGTACTTACATTCTAAATATGCCTCAAACTCTTATTTCCATTCACCGAGTCTATTCTCACTCTTAATCCGGACTCTGCTGACTCTCACTCTTACTTGTACCGACTTCTCATTTTCGCTTTGATGTTAACTGGTTCTTATTTCTCAAACACTCGACTGATTAATGATGAGTGGGGGACGAGGAGACAGTAGACGAGTGGCAAAGATTTCAAAATTCTGTGGCTTATTAGGTGTGTTTTGACGTGATCCTTTATAATTAGGCCAAATGGCAATACATTCTCTCAGGATATAAATTTGAAACATGAGTGACAAATAGATTAGTAACCTGGATACTGATAGATAAACAGATATATATATATATATATATATATATATATATATATATATATATATATATATATATATATATATATATATATATATATATATATATATATATATATATATATATATACACGAAATAGCGATAATTTCTTTACCTTTTTATGAAAAATTCAAACTGGTTGTATATTGGGAGAATGCTTTAAGGCTTAACCAATGAATGTCCCTCTTTAGAGTGACATAATATATATTCTGTACTACATTATTGTATATATATGTACAGTATGTGTGTGTGTGTGTGTGTGTGTGTGTGTAATAGATGAAGATGCACACAGTGTACCAAGTAGGCAGATAAAGGTATACCCACCGTCAGTTCCTGGCAGCTGATCGCTCAGGTGTTGGGGAGCGTAAGGCCATCCTAGCGGAGGACCGAATTAGCGCTTATGACTTCAAGGTGATGTGGGACTTTGAGGGGATCCTGCGGTTTTCTCCCATATTTTATGGCTACTACAGCAAGACCCCCACCACCAGGGAGGGCTACAGGCTCCCCCTCGCATATTTCCTCACATCTTTGGCCGTTTACGCCTACAGCTTCATCGCCATACTGAGGAAGTAAGTGTACAGAGAGAGGATGATCTCGCACTTCTGAGTGTGTTGGGTAATCCCCTTAAGTGTTTTGACACTTTCTTGATTATGATGGTAGAGTCCTTAAGTATGGTCGCTGAATTCAGAGTATGATGACATATTTTGAGTATGATGGCTGAACTTATTGAATATAGTTACTTATTTTCCCGTGTGATGATAAAAATTCTACATCACCTTCCTTCTTGTACTTCATCACCCAAGCTTATCCGTCTACCAGGGTAACATAATCCGTGTGACTTTCTGACAGAATGGCAGCCAACTCGCGGATGTCGAAGTTGGCAGAAGACGAGGAATGCACCTTCAGTTGGCGTCTTTTAGCAGGTTGGGATTTTACTATTGGCAACTTGGAGGCGGCACAGAATAAGGTGGCAGCCATTAACACAGGCTTCAGAGAGGCGCTGCTTGAGGCCAAGGAGTCAGAGAAGGAGGAGAAGAGGTGCGACGGCATGTTGGGATGGGAATAGAGAGACGGATGGTAAAATGTATAGATTGTTTATATTGGGATGGGTTGTTAAACTTCTGAAAGTTATGGAGAGCAGTACTGGTCATACCGTCCACTCCTCCGGCAGTTGGAAACTGCGGGCTCGTCGCATGTTGGCTCACCTGATAGTGTTGCTGCTGATCATTGGCAGCGCCTACGCCGTGGTGCTGCTGGTGAGGCGCTCAGAGGGCGTGGACGCTTCCTCTTCTTGGTACCGCCAGAATGAGCTCACCATCATCCTCACCCTCATCTCCATGATCTATCCCAACCTCTTTGACGTGAGCTGCTGCACAAGCTGTCGTGAACAGAATTGTGTTCTATATTAACTAGTTTATGGTTATCCGTTTGAGCTTATAAACTGCGTTAGGTTGTCTCTCCACTTATTAGATTACATGTTTAGTTAATTATTGGCTGGTGGAATTATTTACTGACTAATTAATTATTGGCAAAGTATTATTTCTCCCATCAACTAAATATTTAGCACTGCAAGACTCTAAACTAGTATAATCGTGGCACCTTTAACACCATTATCACCACTGGATCGTGCACCTTTTTTTAATCAGTAGTTTTCTTGGGAGTTAATTTTGTGTGACATTCTGTAGACTTTGTATTTTTGTAATAGTTCTTACATACAGTACATGATACACCCCTGTAGTATTTTAGTCTCTTATTCTCTATATCTAAGTTCTTTGTTTTATTATCCCTGTATCATAACTTTACTTCACACTTGTAAATTATCTCTATTCTTTACCTCTGTCATTCACTTATACAACACTCCTGTATTATATCCACGTATATCCTACATCCTTATACTGTATAGCAGACCCGCGTGTCAAATGTGTGTGTGACAGCTTGTAGGTCTGCTGGAGGTGCGACATCCGAGGAACCAGCTCCAGTGGCAGCTAGCTCGCATCATGGCCCTCAACCTCCTCAACCTCTACACACTCATCTTTGCTCTCTTCTCCAAGGTCGACGACATGGTTCGTATTGTTTTCGTCTTTAATGGTGGCCATTTTCTGTTATTGTGATAAAGCATTAGATCATTAGCTTCAGACACACAAACTACAAGACATATTTTTCAGACGTGTGAACTGGGGGAACTAAAGACTAACCTTACGGAAACTTTTGGGGTGACGACGACGATGGATCTGACCTCCTTCACCACCACTCCGTTCTTCATCAACAACACGAACTCATCTTGGTCCCCCTACAACGACACTGATCCCTCAACCCTGTCTGATCTGCTGACTACAGTCTCCCTCTCCTTGCCAACTGTGTCTCCTGATCCGGCTACCCTGGCGACGACAGAGGGTCATGACTTTAATTTCAATTTCAGTTCCTCCTTGGGCACGACTCTCCTGACAGCTGCCACTATTCTCAAGGGGTGAGTTATATGGTGTCACTAGCGGGAGTGCGTGAGGTGGTCCACTAAAAAGTGTATTGTTGTTGTAATAATGTTATTACTAATTTTCAACAACCAAGGTCTTTAAACGCGTAATAAGGTTAGTAATACACTAGTCTAACAATATTAAAAATTATAAGAGCTCGAACTCTGTGGTAAAAAAATCACTATAATACAAAGCGTGCTTCAGTGATAGGCTTTACAAAATCCAGTTTTCACGTATTAACAGTCTGGTAAATGAGCGACCTTCTGTCTGTCTTCAGAATACCGCTGGTGAAGACTGACCCGAGGCTGTCATCTCTCCCACCTGGCTGTCGCCTAGTCTTGGCTCCCTGCCCCGTGACGACAGCCGTCCCAGCTGACATGACACCCAATATTGTGACCCCTATGTCAACGACAAGCGATTATTATGACTTGCTTAAAGCATCAGTTGACAGGGTAGCGGAAGATTTGTCACCTTACGATGAAACAGCTTATGTTTATGATGATGACAACGTGACCACGCCCAAAAGTCGCATAGCATATACGCCTGCCTCTGACAGTGTCACCTTGACGGACTCACCGACCGGTATAAACGTTAACAATACTTTAAGTAACGTGACCTATCTTAAAGGTGAGGTCCTCGAGTCAAATGACTCCTATTCAATGAACAACTCAATGTCAGGGGAGGACTCTTCAACCTTCAAGATTATTACAGAAAATGTTAACAGAAAAGAGACAACAGAATTTACTTCATTAACAACTTATGGTACGAGAGAGTCAACATCAGCAACAGAAGTGACTACAAGCGAATTCTTAGATGAAACGGAATTGTCTGACTCTGGTGATGGAGTAACTATTTCCTCAATCAGTTCCCCGGCCATTCCATTTTCACTCAAGTTACAAGTCGGCCGAGAGACCAGCAGTGTGGATCAAAACATTGGAGATAAGGAGCGTGTAAAGCGAGTCATCAACGATAATGATTATGCAGACTTGGGGATGGAAATTCCTGACTCACCAAAGTTTGGACTCGAAATTAACTTGGAACCAAACTTAGAGGCGAAAAATTTTACTCGTGATGCAGTTAACAAAACTTCAAGCAATTATATGAACAATTTTGACAGCGGGGAAGCCAAAAGGTACAATTTCACTACACCTGATGTATATCACCACTTGTCTACACGGGATCAAGACAGCTACTGGAACAGAATACTAAGTAACTTACTCAGTACAGAGGGCAGCAATACACCAGAATCTCTAGCGAGTGAAGATGTAGAGCGAGGGACACAGTCAACAACGAAATACGAGTCTTGGAGAGAAACTACTGCTACGCTTGAGGGTGAGGACGTGGTGTCCGTGACCGAGGGACCTGACCAGGCAGTGGATGAAGATCATGAATGTTACATATCCGTGTGTGATGGTAAGATTATCCATGATGATCTGTTTTACTAATATACTCACCAACTGCCGTCCTTTGGTGTTACGTGATTGGTGTACGCGATTACATGTGTGGTGAAGGTGTATAAAAGGAGTACAGTGCAGTAGTTATTTTATAGTACAAGATAGATCTTATTTATTATCATGTTTATTGATCCAAACACCTGATGAGGGGGAAGATACTACTTGTGCTTATTACAGTATTGGTAAATATTAGTTTTATGATATCTTAAATCCTTATCAATATGTTTCCGACATAAACTTAGTACACCACGTTTGTTGCAGAGCAAGATTTATTAATCTGTTGCATTAATGCACTTTGTCTAAAGTCTTATATACTGTATGAGTCAAGAGTTAATGGAATTACACTAAATAAGCGGAATATTGGCATTCTTTTGTGAATTTCGTTTATCTGCGGCCATTATTACTCGTGACAATAGTTTCTGAAATGTTCTATTAATATTTACACTTGGCCATTATAAGTAGAAGCTTGAGACGCAACTTTCAGTAATATTTGTGTCTGGTTAATGTTCTTCCTTGTGGCTGAATCATTGATGGTGTGTAAGTGTTCGTTACATATTGTTGTGCTGTGTTTGTTCATTAATGGAGTACTTCTTTTTTTTTCATTATTTAGTCTTTTCTCTTGTTAGACAACATTAACCACACTTCACAAGCAACTTTGAATGAAGTACTGCAGCTGTTTCATCCTCATCCAGAACCCACTGAAGACACACACTCAACCTCCATGGCCACGTCACCATCACCATCATCATCGGTCACTTCGCCGCCGCCTACGTTATCAACCACGTCTTCAACATCCACCGAAGCTCCTACCACAACAATCACGTCCACCGAGTTAGTTTCCTCAACAATTGTTGTCACCGAGACTCCTCTATATCCCCCGTTAACGACACCTGAGCCTCCCTCCTTCCTGGTGCAGCCCATGAAAAACAACCCGGAGAAGTGGGTGCCTCTGATGCCCAGCAGACAGCGACAACGTCTGAGGAAGCTGTGTTGGGAGACCATGTTTGGCCAGGAGATCATCAAGCTCACCGTCATGGATATGGTGAGTAATGTTAACTAACACACTTCACGCATGCACTGTACAGTATCATTAAGACATAGAGAACATTTCGATAATCTTACAATGTGATAGATTTTACATACTCTATTCCTTCCTCTCGCTCCCTCTATCACTCTTTTTTCTCCACATTCTCTCTCTCTCTCTCTCTCTCCCTTCCTCCTGCAGGTGGTAACGGTGGTGACCATAGTGATCGGAGACTACATCCGGGCGGTGGTGGTGCGGCTGTTCAACGGTTGCTGCTGCTGGGATCTGGAGAAGCAGTTTCCAGGTTACCCTGACTTCAAGATAGCTGAGAACATCCTTCATCTTGTCAATAATCAAGGGATGATCTGGTGAGGAGGCTGGGGTGGCAGGGGCTCGTGGAAGAATAGGTGGACTTACTAGTTTAGTTGTTTGATTCGCTTTCTTCAGTTTGTTGTGTACATAAACAACAAGTTCCTTTTCACATTCAATCTCTGTTAATGCTGAATCATAACAACTATTTTTGTGACCACTCTTGAAGCTGCCAGAGATCTTTCTGTAGCTCTTCACTGTCCGTTTGGTTCTTAATTTCCCAGAATAACTTTGGGTTCTCAGTGAGTCAGGCCAATAAATACTATAGTTAGGATTTTCCTCACTACTGTTACAGTTTAATGAAAACTTCTCATAGTGATAAAATATTTATCTGAGTGTCACCCTCACTCACCTCTTTCAGGATGGGAATGTTCTTCTCTCCCGGGCTGCCAGCACTCAACACCATCAAGCTGGTGGTGCTGCTGTATGTCCGTTCCTGGGCCGTCGTCACCTCCAACGTGCCCCCAGAGACCGTCTTTAAGGCCTCCAACAACAACAACTTCTACCTTCTGTTCCTCCTCACCATGTTGTTCCTCTGCACCCTCCCTGTTGGGTGAGTCAGCGATTCCACATTGCGGAATCATATGAATAACCGCCCTTCAGGTTATTGTACTTGGTGATTAAACAACCTAACACTAACCTAACCTAACTTAACTTAACTTAACCTAACCTAACCTAACCTAACCTAACTTGACCCGACCTAACTTAAATTAACCCCCACCAGGTAGCATTAGGGTGTTTAATCATCAGGTAAAATAAGCTGAGGCTGTTAATCCTCATATGATCTATTTTACGTATTTTTCCTTTAGATTATCTGTTGGTTAAATCTTGTATGAAACTTTATGGCCAGTCAGTCACTAATGATGCTGTTTGTATTACAGGTATGATTATCTATATGATCGTCTATATCTACAGACTAGTTTGGATTTTCGAAAACAAATATATATGAAAATTATCGCTTCTTCGTCAGCTAGTTGCACAGTTTCTACCGCAGTAACCTTCAATAGTAGGTGCTCCTCTTTACTGACTCAGGTACGCGGCGGTGTGGTTGGAGCCGTCGTGGCACTGTGGACCATTCAGCGACTACCCGAGAATCTACCAGCTGGCGACTTCTACACTGATCGGTGGACTGCCAAGCTCACTGTACCCCGTGATTGACTACATCTCCTCCCCGGGCGTGGTCATCCCGGCCGGCATGCTCCTCGTCCTCATCATCTACTACCTCCTCTCTCTCACAGCAGCTCTCAGGGAGGCCAACAGTGACCTCAGGGTAAGTCTGCTTGTAAGAATCACCAACATAATCATACGGCGTGAGGGAGTCCAGAGCCTATACGTGAGAGAGGGAGGGAGAGAGAGAGAGAGAGAGGGGGGGGGGTAGTCAATTAAAAAACTATGTAGGTAATTATTCTAAAATCACCGACATACGACCAAAGTTGTGTTTGTGATATAGTACTGTAGTTCTAAACTTAGGTGGACAGGTCTTAGACGCAGAGGGAAAATTGGGGATTAAAAACATAACTAAAAGAACCTAACCTAACCTAACCTAATCATCATCATCATCATCAATATCAGATTTACATTATTTACGTTTTATTTCATTTTTCAAACTTGTACATACTTTTTATTTTTTCTTGGCAGTCTACTCTCACACCGCACCCTCAGATACTGTGCAATATTTTCTTTGCGTTTGTCTAATGAGGCGCATCTCCTCCAGGACCAACTTCGTCAGGAGAGATCAGCAGAGAAACGCAAGGTCTTGGACGCTCGCTCCGGCAAGGGTCGCCCAGAGACTCCAACTACCAGGTAGTCCTAGTGTCTGAAGGGCGAGGTGGTGGGATGGAGATGGATAGATATATAGATAGATGGAAAGATGGAGTTGATCACGTACAATATATATGCAACATTGAAAAAATATATAGTAGAAGTAAGACACCGAGTAATAACACTGAATTATGTGTAGTTAAGTATTGGAGGGTGACGCCTGAGTGGGTATTGTCTCTTAGGTGGAGCCGGGTGGTGCCCCTCACACCCATGCCCCGGCCACGTCTGGATGCCACCAGTGACCCTGAGAAACCCATCAATAAAAAGTCCGCAACTGGTACGTCTTATTAAATCTCTTTAAGTTAATATAGTTTACTTTGTGTGTAGAGAGTTTAGTGTAATGTATGGCATCTCTTACCAGTACAGTGCTTATGTTTAGGTTAATCATGTGTTATATAATTCAGCTATATCTCCGGAGGGTGACAATGGCCAGGTGGTGCCTCTCTGTGATCCACCTCGTGACAAGGACGACGGACCCTGGCCAGATGATGTCACCGATCTGGGACATTCTGAGGTGTTTGACGACTCCTTGTCAGAGCCACGAAGGACAGGGAAGGACACACCAAACACTGACAAAGTAGATGTAGGAATGGCTGGACAAGAGAGCAAGAAATATGAGAAAAATAGAGGAAAGGAAGTAGAAAAGGAGAAAGGAAAAGAATCTGCCCCAAGGAGTCCATATTCAAGGCCTAAGAATAGACACAATAATTACTCTCAGTTAAATAACGATGACGATGAAATAAATCTCTCAAGAGCACAGAGAGGAAGGCACAGAACTTCCGGCAGTCTGCATAAAACGAACAGAATGTCACAAGAGCGGAAACAGTCCGACGAAAATGGTCGCAGGGATTCACCAACCAAAACTAAGCCCGGTCATAGACAGAGTATTGATTCACCAAAAGAAAGAAGGAGAAAAGGATCTGGACCCCAGTCAAGTAAACTGAAGAGTAAGATGCCGGAGGAATGTGTTCAGGAACTACACGAGGTTCTACAGCAGAAGGAAGCCAAACAAGGAAAATCTCCAAAAGTTGTGAGTGAGTCAGAACTACAGAAAGTCACAGAACCTGAGACACCTACAAAAGTTGCATCACAAGCTCGTCACCGTCGTGAGCCCTCCATCATGAAGATGGAAGACATCCGCAGGAACTCTCAAAGTAAGAATAATCAGCAGAAGATGGGTGCACAACCAGGCCATCACCGCAGCAGTTCGGAAGATTCTCAGAGTATGCAAACCATACCAGTGATCAAGGTGAGCCTTTAATGTGTTAATTACCCACAGGTGAATAATAATATTATTTAACCATTACAAGAGCGTTTATTTACATATAGATATTTTATTAATGCACTATTCAGTGACTATGTGTTATTCTTTTAAGTCACATCATGAATTTCACGAGAATAAGTAACATTTTACTCTCCAGATGAGCGTAACGAGTTGTGAGTTACAAGATTCCTTACATGTACTATCTGTACAAGTTCCTTATACAGTAATATATGGGGTGTCTGTATATGGATCACTTGCACTTGTAGTTATTACCGACACACGACCCTAAATTTTAAACTCAATCTTGATTCATTAAGAAATTAAGAAACAAATATACGAAATTATTCATGTTACATATCATATCTACGTTCTATTGTAATTTTTCTCAAATACATGATTTAATTTGTAGAACTTTTAACTCTGAAAACAATGTCATCGTACTCAAGGGATTAGAATAATGTACTCAAGAAATTAAGAAAGTACCCAAGCGGTTAGAACCTTAATCTCACTGAACTCATTCATCGTACTCAGGAGGATGGTATTGTTCTCAGGGGATGAATATTGTACTCAGGGTGTTGACAATTGTACTCAGTTGCTTATGCAACTTCAAAAGCGGATAGATAATGATAGGAGTTGAATGATGCCGTAAACCTCAACCAAGGGAGATGTAGCCAGCCAGGGGATCGACCCACCATTTAACCCCTGTGGGGGGCTGTGCCGCTCACACGTTGTGAGGGTCTGAGGCCCACATTACTAACACACTCACACTCCATTGTATTATAAAAGTAAAACGTCCTAAAATAATATTGGTTACCCTAGGCCTTCCATATTATGATCAAAATATGTTAAAACCCCTGGCCTGAAGCCTTACCAGACCTAGAGTTAAACACTGGGCCAAATATGACTGAATCGTCAGCCCTGGCTCAGATGAAGTAGAAGACTGCATGCATTAGAAAATTGTTCATCTGGATAGTGTACCTTACTATTAGGCACATTGCACTAAGGCTCTGTAGCAAAGGTAGGTTCTGTTATATAGTAACATGCATTTTGCATCAATCCTTCATCTTTCCTTTCTCCATTCAGATCAGCAAGGAGGACAGTGTGGAAAGATCCCTGCAGCAAGCTAAACTGGAGAGGCAGGAGAAGACATTGGAGGAAGACCTGGACACTGCCAGTGATCAGCAGTCACTGAGCAACACAGATACTGCGTCCCTCCCGCCAGAGAAAAAGAAAGATGATTCGATAGAAAATAAAAATGTGGGGAAGGACCATGCAAGTAAAGGAAGTCCTTCCAAGCATAAACCTGCACCAACTGAGACAGACTTGGATGATCCTTACATCCTGGAGTGTGGTGATACAGCGGCCCTCCTAGGGGAATATAAGAAGGACAAGGACGAGGGTAAACAGGAGGAATCAGATGAACCTCCTGGGACTCTCACTTCAGATGAAGAAACGACACTTTTAGATGATTAGTGATGACGTTAACAGTCAAGAGTTTGTGCTGTTAAGCCCTTATTGTACTGTATTGTGTATATTCTATTTGTAAAGTTCTAATATATATATATATATATATATATATATATATATATATATATATATATATATATATATATATATATATATATATATATATATATATATAACAATTATACTAGGCTGATACGGTGTAAAAGTTCTCCCCTTGTATATTTTAATTGGACTTGACCAATACTTGAAATGTTCACAACAAATTAAGCTTAAATTATTGCTATTTGGTACCTGTATAATGCATTTTGACCAAAAATATTTATTCACAATACATCTTGTGCATTGTTTATCTAAAACTATTAATTAAGCTTTCAAGAGTGAAAGAAACATTTGGTTACATTATATTACATTCATTTATTCCGAATACAGTAAGTGATATTGAAGGTCCCTTTTAAATATTTATGAAATAAAAAAATATTTACTGATGCTTAATGTTTAGCTTATATTTCTAAGCATAGTCAGGACTGAGTAACAACTCACTATAGTTTATTTGGCAGTCTGGTAAATGAGTTGGCAACTGGCCCTGTAGTGATTCCCATGGCCACGTGGAAGGTCAGCTAGCAATGAGACATATCAAGTGGCTGTGCAGTAGAACAGTCAAGTGGAAAGCCATTTGGTCATGTGGTACGACAACTGGTAGGTCAGGTGAACAAACAATAGATCAGTTAGCCGTGAGGCAGGTCACGTGGCCATTAACATTCAATGTGGAACTGTTCATGCAGTACGTCAGATGGCCAAGTAGTAGGTTAGCAGGATATTTGGCAGCTTCATTAACAATTGTTGCCTAGAACATCAGGGTTGAAGTAAGAAATGTAATTCCTGTTTGCGGTTTCCTTCTACTGATGATAGATCACTAACTCTTAGACCATAATCTCTTACTTTCTCCCAATTATATTCGTACGTTGTCTCTTGCTCGTTGTTTTTCTATCTATGCAATAAAAATCTAACACCATTGTCAAAATGTCAACGTAATCTCAAAAGTGACATTTGTTTGGTTTTTCACTACGTATTTTCATCATTTTTCTCTCTCTTAGGAAGTAGCAAGGTGAGATGAGTATAACACCATTGGCACGGTAATTCAGTAGACAAAAACTAACTCAGACGTAGAACAGCTTACCCATGCACTATACATTGTTCACTGTAGGTAATTCATTCGAGTATCACAGTGCTAATTTAATTCCTGACAGTACAGAATGGATTTTTAGCCTCGAAGCTATGTGAAAATTTATGAAAATAAGTTTTGATTTTACAAACACGTGATTCAATTTGATTGTCCCCAAATTGATAAATAACCTCTTAATTCCTGTTGTTTGTTACACACCTGTTCAGAGAAGTATTTTTTAAAAAGCATATTTTCAGTGGTGGGGCGGAGCTATTTGTACCTGCGCTTTGAGGTCATCCAAGCGTCATCCTAGGAGGAGAAATAGGAACTCCTATGAGATGTATACTTACTGAAACAAGAATAGGTTACACCAAGCTTCCTTGCTGAGAGACAAAAGAGAAAAAGATCCCAAAACTATAGAAACTGCATCAGTCATCCCTCACTGTTTTCTGTTAGCGTTTCCAACACCTGACGAGTGAACTCTCACACCTGATCCGGGATCATCCGGCCTCAGTATTTCAAGCGTAGATGACCTTATGCAGTTGTAGGGAAAGGGGGAAGAGGGCGGGCAATGATGGTGCACTAGCTCCGCCCATCCACTAAAACTAAATTTTTTAATCCTTCAAAGTCACCATTTTAGTGTCTTGGGGCGTTCGCGAGTGTACCTGCGCTGCATGATAAGTGGAGGACTGCGGGTAGCATCAGGACAAACAACATAAGCAAATCCACTTTGTCACAACTTTTATTCGTAACACAAAAATACTGATCTACTTATCGACTCGCATGATGAAAACCCATAGCTTTCCTGCCTTGACGAAAATGCATAAATTTAACAAAATCTTACTAAAAGGAACAAGAAGGCAATTTCCACAAACTAAACTGCACTTGGCTACTGCAATTAACGTGAAAAAACACGTACAATCTGAGTGACTCACTTTAGGTTAGAACTAGTGGAGAGGTGCACATAGCCACACACGGTGTTGTCTTGGTACCGTACCTTTCGCTAAAAGATACTGTGGATTGCCACGTTTTACTTTTATCCTCTTCGGCACTGATCAGCTCGCTAGCTGCTTGGGTGGTCGGTCACGTCTTTGTTACGCACTGTTGGCAAGTACTGGGCATGAACTGGCTCCTGAATGATATCTGAATCTGCTCCAGTGCTTGTCAAGTCTGGTCTTGAAAGAGCTCATACTCGGTGCCGTCACAACACTCTCTGGCAGATTGTTCCAAAAGTTCACAACTTTCTCCGGAAAAAGTTTACCCTCACTGTTTTCTGGACATGTGGCTGCTTCAGCCTTAAGCTGTTGACCCTTTGTAAGACGAACGTCCGCCAGCTTTAGGAATGTACATTCGACCGTGTAGTGCCCCTTGAAATGTTTATACACTTCAATTAGTTCTCCCCTTGCCCGTCTGTAGTATAAGATAGGTAGTTGCAGGCGCTCTAATCTCTTTGGGTAGCTGAGGTTCAGTAGAGCAAGCACCAGTCTGGTGGCCCTCCTTTGGATCTTATGCGTAGAAATGCTGGAGTGGATGCAACCTGGCAAACTTCATTAGCCCATGGTAGCTTCACGGGATCAGCCGCTTTGATGACCTTCCGTAAAATGAAGGCACTCACCTGTATCTTGTGGTCAGGAAATGGAACTTTTAGCGATTGCTTATAATACTTTTTGGTTGTCTCAGCGGGAACATTGTCTGCTTCGTTAGTCTCCCCCACAGCCTGAGAACAAACTGCGTGGTAGTCTTCTGCATCTTTCCGGTAATCCTGAAGGCACGACGTAACTAACACACACCTGGCGAAATACTCAACCAACTTCATGACTTTACTTTGCAGAGACTTATGGAAGCCTTTCATGTAAGGAAGATACTTGTGTATAATGAAGTAAATCCACAAAACGGAAGCTTTTAACTGGGGACCTAACAGGCTGACCCATGATGTCAACATTCTCATATCATTGCCCAATATCCTTCAAAATCGCATTAATACATAAAGATAACAAGCTAATGGGGAACTAAATGATTTAGAACAACTTTGACTGAATATTATTTTTCGATACAATTAATACTTTAGCACTTATTTTGCTTTTAAGTTATTCGAATATGGTGACTATTTTCCAAGATGGCGGCCATTTTTGAAAATGGCGGCCTTTTTTAAAAATGGCGGCCATTTTTCAAGATGGTGGCTACTATTAATTAATCAAATCAGCATTAACATTGTTGGTGTCTTTTGGATTTATAAAAAGCTGGCTATAATTCTGAGTATTCCCATTTGGGATTCAATAAGAACGACTGACATTTCATTTGCCATTGTTATTCTTGGAAGTTCGAAATACAGTTTTGTTTTTACTAACATCTTGCAACAAAATGCAAATTAATATGACACCCTTTATGTGATAATTGATTGAAGCATGATATATAGTTGTACCTTCATGACCATAGTTATTCTCAATAAAAGTTTGATAGCTTTATCAGTCGTGCAACGATTTTGTTATTTTACCATAAGCCTTCTCATTAATAAGGCAAGACAAATATATATTTTTTTGAAAATGCTCCATGTGGTTCGTATTTATACAGTACGTAGAAGATAAATTAAATTTTGTTGTACAGTACAAACTTTTAGATAAGTCAGCATCACTATGAATGTCACTCCAGCTTGCCAAACTTGTTTGACCAGACCGCGCTCACACACCATAATGTACCCGAAACCACAAAGTCATAGTGTTTGTTACTTAATTGTTGAGCTGTAATTCATTATCCCCACCATTAAAATTCAATGGAAGAGGTCAAAGAATAATCAATATCCTGTATGCAGAAGTGAATTCGTGAATTTTTTTTATACATTTATTTTGAAAGTCATACTTTATACGTTGTACGCCCACAGGTATGTTTGTTAAATTTATTGTTTTAATCAAAGTATTACTTCAGATTTTATGATATATCACTACAGGCTCAGTTGAACACATATCATGTCCGATTGTCAAGCTAATTTGTCTCCTGTTATAATGTAAATATTCCTCAAATCACTACAAAAATGCCGATGTCGCCTGAATATTGTAAGACACTATTAACATCAGAAAAAGGAAACAAAGAATAAAATTATTATTTTTATCCAATGCATGAATTAATCCAACCATTTTCCATGAATTATAACAAAGAACTTGGGTGAATTATGTAAGTGAATTAAAGTTGGCCCAAACATGTATGGGATCAGTCCCTAGAAAACGGGAGACTAATATTTATTACCATACCCTGAAATCTTTTAAAATAATTATAAAATCTATCATAAATTATTTAATATTACTTTATCAGATTAGAAAACAAATTCAAGCAAATAAATAATAATAATAAAAAACAAGGAGTTAAATAGTTTGGTGTATTTAGGAATATAGTATCCAGGTTGACCTTCAGATAGTATTGGAACGACTGGCAGGGAAATAGTAAACTAAGCAGCTGGAAAAATATCAATACATATTACGCACCTCAGTTATAAATTGAGGCTCCTAACTATCTATCACTTCCCCAAGGTAAGGCATTATTCTAATTTAATTTACAGAAATATTAAACGTCGAAACAGCGATACATTAGCCACAATATGATTAATAAAACTCCAGGAATGGTGTTGCTCTTGGTCTGACTTAATGTGTTTGGTTTAAAGTACGTACTATATGCACTAACCAGAGCTTGTTTAATTGTGTTTTTTGTAAATTAATCGTTGATATATAAGTTTGATGATTATTTGATTGATAATTTGGATAAAATTTGTGATTTTTGGTGAAGTTATATGTGGCTAAATATGGAGTGAAGTCTTTCCTTATCTCGCCTTTTGTTTTCTGTTTTTATTCATTATTTTTTTTATTTCAGTCAAGAATCATCACACTTTATTATATTTTAAGTATACGCAAGTATAATTAATAAACGAGGATAAAGAAGGTAAATTTTAATACACGGGAGATTGTATAAAAGAGTCAAGTTTTATGAGAATATTAAAAAGTTACTAGAGTACCATAGACGGTAGACTCCTGGGAGGGAAACACCAGGGAGATCTATGTAGAAGAAAACTTGGGTAATTGTTTAGTTGTCAGAGTCATGGGGACGAGCTACTTAACAGTCTCTATTGAAGAATGTTTGGTAATTTATGAGAACAGCACTACCACCAGAAGGAGTTGTTCACTGTCTTTAATTTATTTCACAGATCTTATCATTATAGTAAGTATTTTAAAAGAGGCGACATTAATGGTATTATTGCAGTTTCACTCCCAATTGGGTGAGGGTAATTTTGGGTTCATTTGATAACTCAATAATGACTAATTTCCGACGGAAATGAAGGTCAAATTCGAATGAATCAAACCAAATACCTTGGAAAAACCTATTGATTTCTGGTCAAAAACCAATTGGTAGTGAAACTGCAATTTTACTACATTAACTAGAGCCTAATAGAACCTGACCTAACCAACCAAAGAAACCTACCTAACCTTACCTAACTTCCTAGGTTGGGGGCGGACCCCCCGCCATATTAAATAGAAAATACTTATTTTGATATTTGGTACCAATGAAAGCAACTTACTTGGTGTCATGGTGTAATTTTAATTTATTTGTGGACGTGAGAGTACGCTCAGATCGAATGGTCGGTAGTAAATGAACCGAGTAGTCGGCAACAAACGCTGAGTTGGCAGATTTTTGGGAGGAATATTTATGGCAAGTAATTAACATTTTCGGTAAATTTACAGAAAACATGGTAATATTTTTCACATACAGACATTTTAGTGTCAGTACTTTTTTACATGTTGCCCATAATGTCCCACAATATTTTTGGGTCCAGTTCTCGGTATCTCATCATTTCTAACAACTTTCTTTGTAACGTTTCCGTTGCAAATGATTCGTTTTCTAAAAAATTGCATTAATTTATTAGATTATGGGCAACAAAACTTGGGTAAGGGTCATCTCGTACCCAAGACAACTCATACCCAAGATAAATCGTACTAAAAAAAGTTAACTCGTACCTACGCCAACTCGTACCCAACTCACGCTTTGATATTTTCGGGGTGGAAGCACAGGCTTTGGTAATTTTTCGTTAACCACCCATCACCTTTTTACACATGAAAAGTATATTTTTTTGTTAGTTTTCTTGCAGTTTTAGATGATTCTGACATTAATCTTTGGGGCAAATCACTGTTTTTTTTAAGTTATTTCCCCCCTTCCACCCCAACAATGCAGGAGGATGCAGTTTTTTATGGGTGGTGGGGGGGGGGCTGAAAACGAGTAATTTTCACCAATAATAAATGTCAGAATCATCTAAAACACCAAGAAAACTTGCAAAAAAATATTTTTCATGGGAAAAAAAGGTTAAAACTAAACAAAGTCTACGTACTAACCTTACCTTACATGACCTAACAGGCCATGTCCTAACCTAACCTGACCTAACAGGCCATGTCCTAACTTAACCTGACCTAACAAGCCTTGTCCTACTTAGCTAGGGGGTCTTTGCCCCCCCAGACCCCCAATGATGCCATGTTCCTTAGGCAGGGGGATGAAGTCACTGCCAATGTAATACCAACACACAAACGAACGAACGAGAGCGACGTTGCGTGTCACCATACATCAAATTGGGACTTAGAAAAATATATTACAAATAAATCGCATATATTGCGTTGATTTTTTTTAATGCGCCGCTAAATTCAAGTATATTCTTTCGTTTCTCAGAGAGATCTATTAAATGATAAGAGAAAAAAATCGTAAAAATATGATGGGTGGTTAACGAAAAATGACCCAGGCTTTATTTAGTAGTGCAGAATACAAAGTAACCAGAATTAAACAACTAAAGCAGCATGTTGATGACAACACTTCTCTAGTCTATATTATGTGGGCTGCAGGGTAGAAGGGTTGCATATAAAAATGTACACAATCGGTTCAGAGTAGTGATAGAATGCTGCCAAATGGATAATGATACGGGTCTTTGTTCATTATGTCCAGAAGACAGTACAGTAGTAGCATCTATTACCTGCTCCAATCCTGGCTATAATTTACATTGGTTTTACATAATTTCTTCTTCAATCTTGTATTCTTATGTCATAAGTGATCCAAGGTATTTAAAGGACCAGATTTTTTAATATTCATTCCACTTATACCGATACGTTGTGGGTTTTGTCTTTGGTTTCTTTCCATGATCATTGTTTTGGTCTTATCCACACTTATCTCAAGTCCTGTTCATTTTGCCATTTCCTAAAAGGTTGTTGCCATCGTATCTATTCCTTGGATGTTGTTGCTTATTATATTCAGTTCATCAGCATATAAGAGCATTCTAATTTTGATCTTATTTAATTAAATTCCTTCCTGCATATGGTGGATTTCTCTCATATATATATACACTATATATAAAATTGGGTACGACTTGACATGTTCTGATGGGTACAATTTGCTTGAGTACGAGTTATCCAGTACTGGTAAATTTTTGCCATGTTAAGATAGTTTAGTTAGGTTAGCTTGTTAAGTTAGTTTAGTTTGGTTAGGTTAGGTTGGTTTCTTCGATATGAGCTCTATTGGGGGTGGAGCCTCCCAATCAACCCCTTGGTTAGGTAATATATATAATCTGAACACTGGTTGTAAGGTTAGGTCAGGTTAGGTTAGCACTGAAATTTGTTTTGAAATGAAACCTGGGTTTTCCGATGGGTTTTGGTGTGATTCATTCAAATTTGATGATCTTTCACCAAAACTCTTTAACAAGTTTCCCATAATGTCCCACAATATTTTTGGGGTCCAGCTCTAGATATATCTCTTCATTTCTAGCAACTTTTCTTTGTAACGTTTCGTTGCAAATGATATGTTCCGAGAAAATCGCATTAATTTATTAGATTATGGGCAACTTGTAAAATTTACCTTAGTGTCTTATGATCATTTTTTCACCGTGTTTTAACCTGCAATTCCTCTCGTCAGTCATGCCCTGCCCACCACTGGTGATTTATGATCGTAGATAAAAACTAAAATATACTTATGATTAAAGTAAAAGTTGTTGCCTCTTTTAAAATACTTACTATAATGATAAGACCATGTGTTGGCAAAATGACGGAAATTGAATAACTCCGTTGGGTGGTAGTGGTGTTCTCAAAAGCTCGTTTCTTACCTCATGTAAAGAAATGGGTGGAGGATATGCAACCTCCCTTCTTTTGGTTTTCCTTGTTTTTGTTTAGAGTGAAAACAATGTGTGCTGCTCAGACCACAGTTTTGGACTGCCACATTTGCCTTCCTCCTCCTGTTGACAATTTATATGCCTTATACACTTGAGTACAGTATAGTGTATGTTTTTATGAAATAGTTTTTGGTAATCTTGGAGCAGATAGCTAACACTACAATGCATTGTTTGATTTAGTTCCTTTTTTCCGCATATGTTCTTTGAATATTAGTACTGTCATTAGTAAAAATGATACGACAATGCACAGAACCTAATAGAATCTGACCTGACCTAACCAACCAAAGAAACCTACCTAACCTTATCTAACTTCCATGCCGGCTGGCAGACCCCCTGCCATATTAAACAAAGTAATAGGTAATATATATATATATATATATATCCTGCCCCTCGCAACATAAAGATATACTGCTGTTTCCATTTTCCGCAGATTTATCAAGATTTATCTATTTTATATATAATATATATATATATATATATATATATATATATATATATATATATATATATATATATATATATATATATATATATATATATATAATGTAGTAAATGGTAATTTAATGCAATAGGTTTTTTATGCCTTGTTATTATTTGCAGATGTCTGATGAGGAAATGGAATTTAGTGATGATGACTATGATGACTACTATGGAGGGGAATATGATGGTGATGTTGACCATGTAGACCCACAGAAGAATGATCCAGAGTATTTTCATGTTGCATGTCTCACTGACACCGAGGTGGAAAGACTTTTAAATGAATCAGTGGAGCAACTTTCAAATAGTATACAGGTGAGTAAGGATCATTGTCGTAAAAGCAGCTACAACAATTTAAGACAAATGAAGTGTAGGGTAGTACAGTATGACCTCTTATCTGAAATGGTCACAATCACAGGTGATGCTTCAGAAAAGGAAATTTTTTCAGATAAATCCTCACTAACTCTGACCTTTTATCTCGGTCCCAAACAATTCTCGGACAATAAACCAATATCGACTGGCGAGCGCCTGCTCACTCGGGCAACAACAAGTCTCCCTGGAGGTTCTATAAGTTTCTTGAGCTGTGCACGTCAGTTCTTGAAGGTTCCTGAGTCCCGACGTATGTTTGTACATGGTATGGGTGGCCTCACAAGTTGTGTAATGGGACATGAAGTGGATATGATTTGGATGTTTAGTTAAGATTGTGGGTATGTAATGGAGATAAGTGGATCTGTAGTGGTTATGGTGTAGATATTTAGTGGAGATGATGTGGATATGTGGTCAAGGGCAAGTAAGTCGTTTCCACTGTGTACAATCAGTCACGCACAAAGACCTCCCTCTTGAAACCTCCCACTATGTCAGTTTTGCAAGTGTTCAATAGTGCAAACTGAATTGTATTTATCATTATTATCATCTTTAGACTTTATACTTCCACTTATTTTATCTAGGAATGCCTGTATACCCTGGTAATTGAATTATATACAAGTTAGTTTGCCATTTAGAGTTGACATCCATGATCACTTTGAGTTCAGGGCCAAGGGTTTCCTGTCTGGGATACAACTAGGTTCAAGTGTCATTGACCCTACACCTAGCTCGATCGTTCATCCAATGTCAAATCAGTCCTGTGCGTTCTGTACACCATCCGGAAAACTAAAACCCCATTATCCATGGCTTGGCTTTCCCGTGCTGACACATCCTGTCATTTCAGGTGCTGCTACCTAACAGTTTATGGGGATTGATAAGGAAGCATTTGGGACAATTAAGATGTTGCAACAAATTACAATTTCCAATTAGCTGACTCTGAACACCCATGATGAGTCTCACATCAGTGATGTCACCACTGTGCCCTGGTAGTGCACTGACATACACTCTTTAAACAGATTTGTTTTTCCCTTTTGCTCATAATATGTGTCAATGTTTAATGACTTAGTGCACTTAAAGTTTGGAGTTAAGCATACTCCATCATGCACAGAGACACACTGTACACTGCCATCACCTAGTCTAGCCTGCGAGCCAGTGCTGTGCACAGTACTGGGATTTGGCCGTTGCTGTATGCTAGCAAATTCTCAGAGCCATAGGATCAGTAGTGAGGACCAGTGCCATTAATCCACCTAGAGGATGTGGCTGACTACTGAAATGAAGGTACTACTCCTACTACACCCTTACTCTCCATGCATTGCCAGCTATAGACTATAGATCAGTATAAGCGTCCATGCCACAATAACCAGACTATGCAACAAGATCAAATCGCCAGAGTGCTGTAAAGGGTGATATCTGAGAGGGTTAAAACTTGGACAATTTTATTCAGAGTTGCTGAAAAGGTATACATCAACATCAGCATCATTTAAGTTGACCAAGTGTAGCCAGTGATATAAAAAAATCAACTTTGGCAGGTGAATTCGGTAGCCATATTGAAAAATGGTTGCCGTCATGGATCTTCAAGTGGCCAATCGAATATATTTGAAGAGTGACCTATAGAGGATATTCATACCAATTTTCATGCTTGTATTACTATTTGAAATATTTACTTGCAAAATGCAGTTACAGTATCTGCTCCACTATTGGTAACCTTCAACCACTTAACTGTATGTGTTTTCTCTCTGAATTTCTTTATATATTGTAGGGTAGTGTGTCTACTTGTCCTTTCACCTTGCAGGTGACTCCTTCTTTGGCAAAGTTGCTGCTCCACATGTACAACTGGAACCAGATTGAGATTGTTGCAGGGTATCGCCAAGACTGTCACAAAATGCTCACATCTGTGCATATAAAACCAGCTACGCCACCTCAGCAGATGACCAACAATCAACAGGGAGAAAGTGAAGCTACTTGTCCTGTTTGCCTTGCTCCAATGTCTCCAGATTATGCCAGCCATCTCACCTGTGGTCACACATTCTGCAAGGATTGTTGGAGCATGCATTTTGAAGTTCAAATTAAGCAGGGAATGTCCACAGGTATAATAATACAGTATATTCTTGTCACTACTTGATTATGAATGAGCTGATGGTTTAATTAGTCAGGAAGACAATTTTAGGTTGTTAGAAAATTAAACCAGTTCAGTTTTGCATAAAGTGTACTGTACTTTAGAGGGCATATCTAGGCATGTTTCTTTTGTCCTTTCCTGTGCCATAGGGAAAATATCAAGAAATTTTGAAGATAATTGATTTAATATAAAGGCAAATAAGACCTTGTTGTACAAATAAAACAAATCATGCCTTTGTTAGGGATATAATAACTAAATTTATTTTCTAACCCAGGAATCGAATGTATGGGCAACAGCTGTCAGGTGCTGGCCCCTGAAGACTTTGTAGTGCCATTGTTGAAACGTCCGCGACTGAAAGAAAAGTACCAGCAGTATGCCTTTTCTGATTATGTTAGAAGCCATCCTCAATTACGATTTTGCCCAGGTCCTAACTGTAATATTGTTATACAAGCTAAAGAATGTAGAGCAAAAAGAGTAACCTGTACAGCCTGCAAATCTCAGTTTTGGTAAGTGAGAGCTTCAGTTTTTAACTCTTTCCTTGGCATCTAAACACACACACACACACACACACACACACACACACACACACACACACACACACAGGCCCAGGTTAATGGACAAGACATTTACCCTGTGTTAAGAGAGATAATGTATCCAGAGACCATAAGGAGCCATAAATTGATGGAACAATGTAAAGGAAGGATTTTGTTATGGGTTTAAAAGAGTGGAAATTACCAGCGACAGTGTGAGGGGTAGCATTGTGAGTTGCTGGACCACATTAAAAATTTTAATTTTGGCATGCGCAAAAATTAATAAGCCCCTTAAAATAGCTACTTTATGAAAAATTTTAAGTGTTTTTATTCCATTTCTTTTCTTGCCATTTGAAAGAGTGTCTTTCCCAAGCCCAAGAACAGCTAACAATACGGTTGGTAGGTGCTAACAACGTTTTCCACGGAGCAACAAGTGCTTACTAATTGATGTCATTGCTGCCAACGTGTGGTTGCCTAAACACCTCAAATGTAGTAAATAATACAGTAAACATATCATTTGCTTTCTTGATAATTTTTCTTTTGCCATTTGACAGAACATACTTCTCTGAGCCCCTAAAATATGTACCACATGTACTCGAGTATAGTTTGAATTTTTATGTTTGAATTTTTATACAAAAGGTAGGGGGTCGAACTGTACAGTTTGTGTAATATTTTTGATGGGTTATAATTCATCCATTCCATCGTTCATTTACGGTGAACGAACTATTGCTGCTAGGTACAGTACGTGCTCCCTTTAGGCTAACCTTAACAGTAAGCTTTTATCCTGGCTTGCCTACCATACCCCAAGATACTATACTTTCTTTATGTTGCTAAATGAAGAGCAGAACCATATGCTGTACAGTATATGCCAAACTAAATATACCCTCTGCACAAATACTTGATGCAAATGAAGATTTACAGATACAGTGATCCCTCGGTTAACGAGCGCCTCGGTTAACGATTTACCTTCCATAAGATTCTTAACTTTGGTTAACGAGCAATCCCTCAATTAACGAGTTTTTTACGCGACTTCAACATGCTTTCGCTTGCATTTGGCAGTCCACCAGCTGTAGTATTAGTCCGCCAATACAGTAATCGGTTTTAGGGCTTAAATTCCTTACTATTTTAGTAAATATCAAGAAGTTTATACTATTCAATAATTTTAAAAGTTTAATATTAATTTTTTTAGTAATTTTAACAATTATTGAACACAATTGAAGGTAAAGAAACTAGTTTCTGGCGCGCCATCCAGCCTGTTAACACACCAAACAGGCGTTAGTCTCTCTCTCTCTTTTCAGTGGAGGTAACATTTTGCTTGAGACTCTCCAACTAAATGCTTTTTTCTGTGTTTCCAAGCAAATTATTGGTCATTTTAAATTTATTTTACATATTGACAATATATAATGCAGTGCAGCGTTGATTTAAAGAAAATAATCTTGAATTACACCAAGAGAACTAAAATTTTATGGGTGAAATGGCGCCAAGGGGCCGACTTCTCTTCCACCCCAATGCCTTCTCTTCTCCCTTCTCCTCCACCCCCATTCTAATTCCCATCATCATCCAGGAGCCTTCTACATACACACCTCAAAGTAAGTGTACCTTTCTACCTTTTTTGTTGAATTTAGGCAATTTTCGGTGAGCTGGAACCAATTACCCAAAAACCCATTGAAACAATAAGTTTCGGTTAACGAGTTTTTCGGTTAACGAGCAAGCTGCTGGAACGGATTGTGCTCGTTAACCGAGGGACCACTGTATAGTAAACCCCCAGTATAACAACACTGTCTATAATGGGCCTCAGCCTTAACGGACACTCTGACCTATTCGGACTAGGTTCATAAACAGTATTAGGGACTCAGGTCTGTTAAAGTAAAAAATAACAGACTCGGGTCCATTATGATAAAAAATTTACTGATTCGGGTCCATTCGTATCCAAATTATCACAAATAATTAATTACAATAATACCTCGTTCAGTCCTACCCTGCATAACACTGATTCATTATACAGTAGAGCTCTTTGGTCCTCTCCTGGAATTAATTTTTACTGGAAAATAAAAAGGCTGAGCATCCATAATACAAGGCAGAAGTTACAAGACAGACATTCTCTCCCACACAATTCACAGCTGCCTCTCAGCTGTGAATTATAAATATTTGTCTGCAACATTTAAAAAAGTGGTAATAATACTGTACAGGTACTACCTGCAAATTTGATGATGTGAATTATCATGACTCCACTGTATAGGTTTTATTAATGTCAATACTATACTAATTTTTCTTCATCAGCTTTGTTTAGCTATGGAGAAAGAAGAAATGAATTTATTTTTCCTTCTTTAGTTACAAATGTGGTGGTGACTACCATGCCCCAACTGACTGTGAAACCATCAGGTGTTGGCTGACTAAATGTGCTGATGACAGTGAGACGGCCAACTACATCAGTGCACACACCAAAGATGTAAATATAGATAGTTTTCAGGCTGTAGGTCCATGTAAAACTGTTGGAGAATATGAAGAGATTGCATATGTTTGTTTTGTTAGTAAAACATCACATGTTAGTAAAACATGTTAGTAAAACATCACAATAGTCAATGAATATGGTAAAAATTCATGTTTAAAGTTGAGGTGCTTCAAGTTTCAGCAGTTTTGACCCTGAACGTTTCATTAGACATGCTGCCAGCTTAAATCTTAAAAATCAGCTTTTATTAGGAGGGTGACTGTTTTTTGTCAGTGTGCTGTTGGTCTGTACATTGAGATAGCATGCTAACCTCCCACAAGAGCTGGATAAAGTGCGTCAAGGATCATGGTCTTGACCCACAAAAGGGGGTTTCACGAATTCAGTCTTCTTTTTCCTATATGTATGAAGTGCCATTTTGGATCAACACATGTGTAATGTGCTGTCTTAGCCAGATGGGGTTGGCCCAGGACTCTACAAACTAAGGCGGCTTAGTGCAGTAACCATCACTTTCAAAAGAGGGAGATCAGGAACAGAGGCTGACTGAGGCTTGGAAGATTGAGTCTTGTGCCACACATTTCACTACACAACCTGCACATCAAGTGTCTTGGTCACAAAGCAGGCCTCCAATACTACACCCTCCCTTCCCTATCTTCTTAATGACCTTCTCTAGTAGCAGTTATTAATGGTACTCAAAGTTGTTCATGTTAAGGTTACAGAAGGATACTTACTTAGCGCAGAAAAGTCTTGTCTGTTTCATATCAATTTCTTTCAGTGATCAGGTCTTGAGTGGGATTGTAGAGGGAATTGGTTGATATTGATCTTTCTGATAAAGTTCCGGTGAGCTTTATACTAGTGAATGAGGAAAAGAAGTCTCTTCATCTGCCTCATGGATGGCTTTTAGCAGCACCTTCTTAGTTTGGACAAATACTTCATAACCACTTGTGTATGGGATCCACTCTGTGCTGAATAAAATTGTCTGGCATTAGCCAAATAAAATATTAAAAGTGGTATCCCCATAGTGAAGGGGTTAACAAGTGTGGGGTTTCCTTCCCTCAGATGGATCTGAATGCTTGGGAAATTAGTCTCATGCTTTAAGATGGAATTGTTAGTGCTCCTTATTTTAATGGGGATACATGGGGATATCAGATCAAATATGAAATTAACATGTTTTTTATTAACAACATTTCTGCTGTAGCATGGCAGTTCTCAGAAATATCCTTTGGAAATTCTAAGGAACTTGAATTTCTTGTGTTTGAGCTCTCCTGTTCAGAGATTGTTACACTTATTGCTGAGACAGCAAATGCCAGGGTTGAAGATTTGTATAAGAATAAAGTGAAGCCCTCGTAATTCAGAGTGTATTCAGAATCTTTCTCATGGATTCTATCCCTGTGAGTTTGCTTGTCAGTTAACTTGTTTATAAGGTGTTGGATATTTTGCTGATGTCTGCCCTTTGTTCTGATTGGAACCAATGGAATCTGCTTTATATGTTTCTTCCAAAAATGCAGTATTTATCTCCAAATTGAGACAATTCCTTAGAAGCTACACTAGGGGTTCTTTGTTGGTCCAGTAGAATTTTACCTTTTCCAAAGTCAGTTCAGTTAGTTTGTGTCCTTGATTTTACAAGTTGCTTACTTTATTTTAGGTTATTGATGATATTGTGCTGTAATGTACCTTGAAATGAGTGGAGTTATTTTGATTGGATTATTTCTTAGTAATGGACCTTCCTGATTTTCATGGTTGATCTTGCCTTTAATCAGCTAATTTTTTATATACCTATATCTGGGTCTACTCATTGAGAATTCCTTTATCTGAGTCATTAGTTTCACCAGATGGTGTAGAATAGGGACTTGTTAAGATTAGCTCTTGTAAATTTAATGTGGTACATGGACAAACTCCATGTAAGTTGCATGTCATTTAGCCCTCACTTCTTCTTTCCATCTTCTCCTTTAAATAGTTTCTGATAACATGAGGTGATCCATAATGTCATTAGATTATAAGTACTAAAGGGTTTGATCCTGAAAACCCATTTTATAACCAAGCCATTTAGGAAACACTGGGTGATGGCTGAGCGAATGGCTGTGTGAGTTGTGTAGTACTGTAAGTTACACATCGCAAAACTTGGGTCAATCTTCCAGCAACCATGGCTCCGTACCTCCCTCTCTTGAGGGTAATAAGTTAACCCTGGTTGGCTTAATTTAGAGTGTCCTAAAATAATCTCTTGGGTGAAACCTGAAAATCAAAATTCTATTAACATCCATTTTGTAAAAATGATTATTTAAAACTTAGTGCCGAGACTGTGATATTAATTTGAATGTTTTGACCAACAGTGTCCGAAGTGCCACATCTGTATTGAGAAGAATGGTGGCTGCAATCACATGCAGTGCTTTAATTGCAAGCATGACTTTTGTTGGATGTGTCTGGGCTGTTGGAAAACGCATGGCTCAGAATACTATGAATGTTCACGCTACAAGGAAAATCCCAATATAGCTCATGAATCTGCCCATGCACAAGCCAGAGAAGCTCTCAAAAAGTATCTACATTACTATGAGCGGGTGAGTATTTAATGATCTTTATGTGTTCAGCTGAAATTATGTTTTCTTATTTTTTCAAGCTGAATGACTGGAAATATGATTATACCCACAAACACACACACATTCTGTTCATCCATAATCATTCATTCATTTTAATTTCTGTAAAAGATCTGCCCTGGTACACTGGAACCGTGCATTACGGGTGGTGTCAATTTAAGAAATTCATAAAAGGGAATATTTGTATTTCGAACGTTCGTATAGTAGGGGTTGCCTGTATCTGTACTGGCATGTGTCCTTCATCAGTTATCTTCTTCAGTTCACTTGGATAAATCTTTGCAGCATCAACATCAGAACCGACAGCTTCACTACTTAGTGTATCATTGTGCAAGTTAAATCACTTCCTCAATCTATTAACCCTCCCTTTACTTGCCTGAAAAGGTTTTTCATGTGAATTTCCACTACTGTACTGTACCGCCTTTTTTTAACAACAAATTATCATACAGGCTCTTGTCCTTAGCTTAAATAACTATTGTATTTATTGGCACATTACATTGGGGCTTGTCTTCAATCAACACACTAAAAGAGTCTTTCCTTATTGGGCATCACTTCACTTTGATAAAAATAGTTTCTGAGCACTTCCTGGTGTTGCTGCTGCATTAGCACTTTCCTAATTTTATCTCTGTTGTCACGTATTTCTCCCACTGTAGACGTAGTCAGCCCCAAAGTTTTAGCAATGGCTGCTCTCTTCTCCAGCATCAAACCTCCATAAACATTGAGTTTACATCCAGTGTAATTCCTTTATGTGCTTGTTTAGGTGAAGTACTTTCACTTGAATTTGGTGGTCTTTTTGTAGATATTTAGAGGGGAAATATACTTCAGACTTGAAAGAAGAACAGTTACGGTAGACACAAGTAGAACGTAACTGATGCACTCCGAGATTCAAAACAAAGTCCGCTACCAGTGTCATCGACGCACACAAATGCAATTAGAATTTCTTAATATACAGTAAATAAAAAAAACTGCAATTTTTTTTTTCATTTAGTGAGTAAAAAAAAAATAAATTATTTTTTTAATTCAGTAAAGGTAAATTTATATTCCGTACCCTGATTTTAGTGGTAGAGATTTACCAAGTCAGTAAGGGAGAATTTCTGTAACCAGATTTCCCGCAACAAGGCTGTAAATTAAGTTTACTCCTGTACCATTACATAAGCCAACTTCACTTATCAACAGTATTTCCTTCCCAGAAATCACCTGATAACTCTCTCTCTCTCTCTCTTGATTCATGCATATTTCTACTTCCTGGATATGTCCATCCTTCGCACTTATAAAAGTAGGACCTCGATAAACCGGACTAATTGGGGCAGACCTCAGTCCGGAAAATGCGCAATTAAAAAAAAAAATCTGTGCAGGGGCCAGACATAACCCTGCATATCTGGACTGTTTCTGGAAAATAAGACATACTTTTCACTGATATGACTGTGTTGTACTGTAAAGTGGTTACCCATGGTATAAATAGTAGAAGTGCTTCTTTATGTGTACTGAGTAGGATTGTGTCACCAACCAGGGCTGCCAGATCATACCTGTCTTTGCTGACTGAAAAATCAAATCAATATGGTTAGTCAGTTTAATTGATGTATTGTATAATGAAAATTTATTTCTTATATTTGTTAGAGATGTAGGTACTGTATATGTGAAATGACTTATACCGGTGCAGGGGGTCCCCGATACTGTAGATGTCAAGGTTAGGGATCAAAGTTGAGCGACTTAAAGCGAAACGACGTTAAGCGGGAAATTTCTCCCTTGAAAACTCATTTTAAATGTTGAATGAATAGAACTTAATACTTGGCAGAGAAAATTGTTTGTGATAAGACATGCCAGGTGATGCAGCTCAAACTAGTCTTTGTTTATTTGATCATTTTCTGTTTTATTCTGTTTCATTTGACTGTTTTATTCTCTTGCATTTATTTACAATTTATTATGATCAAAAATTTTATGACCTAGGAAAATGGATCAAAATTGAATTTTAAACATACAGTACACTATTTCATATTAACAACAGGAATGTGAATCAGAGGATTTCCATAAAACTTGTTTATTGTACTTTTACATTTTCTTTACGTAATAAAGAAATTTAACTATTTTAATATCAACTTTATAATCATATGATTCATAACTGTTGATCATTTCAGTGGGAGAATCATAGCAAGTCTCTAAAACTTGAAGAAGAGACTTTAGCCAAGATTCGGGAGAGGATCCAGAACAAAGTGATGGCAGGCACTGGCACCTGGATTGATTGGCAGTATCTTCTTGATGCTGCAGCTCTCCTTGCACGATGCCGTTACACCCTCCAGAACACTTATCCATTTGCGTACTACCTCGAATCTGGACCTAGAAAAGATTTGGTTAGTGTTCTCATCAATTTTGTATTTTTTTAGATCAGTGTTGGTTTAATAGTTTATATATATATATATATATATATATATATATATATATATATATATATATATATATATATATATATATATATATATATATATATATATATATATATATATATATATATATATATATATATATATATATATATATATATACAAGGAAAAGAAAACACAAAAAATTCCAGCGCTTCGTGTAATTCATCTTCAGGGTGAGTACAGACTAGAAGTAATACAAATCCAAGTTATATATACAGAGGAGGGTGAATGAGTCCACAATGGTGAGTATTGAGTAGCCCAGCCTACTAATCTTTACAAATAGCACTGGCAGTGGGTGAGTCAGGTCAGATGGTCAGTGACCCGGCCTTCTCACCCTGATCACAAATCTTCGCCCAATTACAAAATTGTCCAGCTTGTACATGCCGCTACTCAAATTCATGTTGAATGCTTCGGTATGTTTAATAAGACTAGATTCTATGATGTTCCTACTATCAATTGAATTACATGGTAATATTGGTAGTAGGAACATCATCATCTAATGTGTCTCTGGCTGATATTTATGAGCTGAAATTGAAATTAGTCATTAATTATGATTAACAGTGATTTGCCCATATATATATATATATCATGTAGATCCACAATGAAAACGTGGATAAGATAAATCTTGATAAAATCACACGGGAAAAGGGAAACAACGGAGGAAGGAACTGGTTCACAAATAGGGTGGTGGACGAGTGGAACAAGCTTAGCAACTTTATAGTAAGTGCTGGAACTCTGGAAAGTTTCAAAAGGAGGCTAGATAGATTCATGGATGATAGAGAGTGGTTGTAACTCTCGACAGGAGCTGCCATGCACAGGCCAACCGGCCTATTGCAGACTCCTTATTTTCTTATGTTCTTATATATATGTGTGTATATATATATATATATATATATATATATATATATATATATATATATATATATATATATATATATATATATATATATATATATATATATATATATATATATATATATATATATATATATATATATATATATATATATATATATATATATATTTATTTATTTATTTATTTATTTATTTAAATATACAGTACATTAGTAATTTAATCAAACTTTTAAATAAAACACTGAGGATTATTTGGGGAAAAAATGGTGTATAAAAGAATGGAGTCCGTCATTATATCGTGTCAAAAAATTATTCAAGGTCATTATGTACCATATTCATCTCTAGCACAATTAGAATAGATTGTGTGAATAAAAGTTTATACACTTTTCACTACTGTCTGCAGTCTAAATGTAATAGGAGAGTGTTTGTCCTTGTGAGATGAGATGATTAGAAGCATAGTTTAAAGTTGAGATTAGATGTGTAGTTTAGACTCCCTCATATTTTCAATAAACTTTCCTCAGCACCCAGAAACATTGTGGGGATGTGGGATGGTATCTGTCTGTGCAAGATGTGTAATTTAGATTCAGAAACATTGCTTGGTTGGCTGTAAAATGGTGGTGATGATGAAAATAGCTGCTAAGTTTCTTGTAAGCTTTATTATAAATGATATAGCTGGGGTATTTGTGACTGCAATTTAATAAAATAGCAATTTTTACCTCCAGTTTGAGTATCAGCAAGCACAGCTAGAAGCAGAGATTGAAAATCTCTCATGGAAAATTGAGCGTGCTGAGATGACAGACAGAGGCGACTTGGAAAACCAAATGGATATTGTAGAGAAGCGAAGAACCACCCTTTTGACAGACTTCCTACAAGTATGATGGGGGCTGTGAACATAGCTCACCTGTCCTGGCTCCCAGTAGCAGAAATATACTTCCATACCAGAGAATGCACTCAGTGAGCGCATATTGCAAATTTTAATTGGTGTTATCTTATTCCATAAGTGCACTAATTGAGAAAATGTTTACTGTGACTTAAAATAACTGCATCTCATTAGACATTTAATTTTTATTTTGGAGCTTTATTCCGATTGAATGTTTCTGTTAGGTCTGGCTGGCATTAATATTTGTAACTACAGTATATATATAAAAGTTTGTTTTAGGTAAAGCACTTGTCAACAGAATATAAATGCCAAGTATAGTACAGTACCTTTCATTTTTCTTGTTAACTGCAATCAGTTTTTTTTTGTTTTTCGTTATTTTTACGACTATCTTTTCATTAAGCTACTTTGAAAGGTGCCGTTCCAGAATTGGGGCCTTATCATTACATTGCAGCTCCAGAATGGTTAGTCAGTTTGGGAGAGTTACACATTTCATCCAGGTTTTAAGGGCAGTTATTTATATATTGTTATCAATTACGTAGTTATGTATGTATTAATACAAGCAGGTTGTGGACTTTTATGCAACTGTAACTGGATCACCGTGTGTGTGTGTGTATATATATATATACATATATATATATATATATATATATATATATATATATATATATATATATATATATATATATATATATATATATATATATATATATATATATATATATATATATATATTGATTTATATTTATATATAAAGAGTGGTGATTTTATGGACAGCCTCAACTGGCTAATTGATGTACATTCAACCCTCATTGTCAAAAACAAAATTTTTTTTATGCAAGTTTAATGGCAAGGTGATGTAGATCTTGCCTTAAACCAGCAGGTAGACCACCTAATTTGCAAGTGGTGATATGTACTGCTTTATAGCAGATGATTTAAATGTTTATTTTTAAACATGAATTTATCTTGTATCTGTCCTAACAAACACTAGCATGAGTTTGTGTTATCAGGAAGGTATTGGTGTTGTCTACCTTTTGAATAATAGGGTCATTTTATATGTATCCCAAACTGGTAGACAATCGTGCATGTGCAATGACTAGGCAAATTTGTATGCATCATCTCGTCTAATTTCTATTGTTTGCATTTTTATTGAAAAATTATTTTGCATCTTACTGGTGTGTGGTAATGTACCTGTTACATACAGTCAATTTACTGGTGTGTGGTAATGTACCCATTACATACAGTCAATTTACTGGTGTGTGGTAATGTACCTGTTACATACAGTCAATTTACTGGTGTGTGGTAATGTACCCATTACATACAGTCAATTTACTGGTGTGTGGTAATGTACCTGTTACATACAGTCAATTTACTGGTGTGTGGTAATGTACCCATTACATACAGTCAATTTACTGGTGTGTGGTAATGTACCTGTTACATACAGTCAATTTACTGGTGTGTGGTAATGTACCCATTACATACAGTCAATTTACTGGTGTGTGGTAATGTACCTATTACATACAGTCAATTTACTGGTGTGTGGTAATGTACCTGTTACATACAGTCAATTTACTGGTGTGTGTAATGTACCTGTTACATACAGTCAATTTACTGGTGTGTGGTAATGTACCCATTACATACAGTCAATTTACTGGTGTGTGGTAATGTACCTGTTACATACAGTCAATTTACTGGTGTGTGGTAATGTATCCATTACATACAGTCAATTTACTGGTGTGTGGTAATGTACCCATTACATACAGTCAATTTACTGGTGTGTGGTAATGTACCTGTTACATACAGTCAATTTACTGGTGTGTGGTAATGTACCTGTTACATACAGTCAATTTACTGGTGTGTGGTAATGTACCCATTACATACAGTCAATTTACTGGTGTGTGGTAATGTACCTGTTACATACAGTCAATTTACTGGTGTGTGGTAATGTACCTGTTACATACAGTCAATTTACTGGTGTGTGGTAATGTACCCATTACATACAGTCAATTTACTGGTGTGTGGTAATGTACCCATTACATACAGTCAATTTACTGGTGTGTGGTAATGTACCCATTACATACAGTCAATTTACTGGTGTGTGGTAATGTACCTGTTACATACAGTCAATTTACTGGTGTGTGGTAATGTACCCATTACATACAGTCAATTTACTGGTGTGTGGTAATGTACATGTTACATACAGTAATTTACTGGTGTGTGGTAATGTACCTGTTACATACAGTCAATTTACTGGTGTGTGTGTAATGTACCTGTTACATACAGTCAATTTACTGGTGTGTGGTAATGTACCCATTACATACAGTCAATTTACTGGTGTGTGGTAATGTACCTGTTACATACAGTCAATTTACTGGTGTGTGGTAATGTACCCATTACATACAGTCAATTTGCTGGTGTGTGTAATGTACCCGTACATACAGTCAATTTGGTGTGTGATAATGTACCCATTCAATTTACTGGTATACCCATTACATACAGTCAATTTACTGGTGTGTGGTAATGTACCTGTTACATACAGTCAATTTACTGGTGTGTGGTAATCCCTGTTATACCAGTCAATTTACTGGTGTGTGATAATGTACCCATTACATACAGTCAATTTACTGGTGTGTGTAATGTACCTGTTACATACAGTCAATTTACCCTGTTACATACAGTCAATTTACTGGTGTGTGATAATGTACCTATTACATACAGTCAATTTACTGGTGTGTGGTAATGTACCTGTTACATACAGTCAATTTACTGGTGTGTGGTAATGTACCTGTTACATACAGTCAATTTACTGGTGTGTGGTAATGTACCTGTTACATACAGTCAATTTACTGGTGTGTGGTAATGTACCCATTACATACAGTCAATTTACTGGTGTGTGGTAATGTACCCATTACATTCAGTCAATTTACTGGTGTGTGGTAATGTGCCTGTTACATACAGTCAATTTACTGGTGTGTGGTAATGTACCTGTTACATACAGTCAATTTACTGGTGTGTGATAATGTACCTGTTACATACAGTCAATTTACTGGTGTGTGATAATGTACCCATTACATACAGTCAATTTACTGGTGTGTGATAATGTACCCATTACATACAGTCAATTTACTGGTGTGTGATAATGTACCCATTACATACAGTCAATTTACTGGTGTGTGGTAATGTACCTGTTACATACAGTCAATTTACTGGTGTGTGATAATGTACCCATTACATACAGTCAATTTACTGGTGTGTGGTAATGTACCCATTACATACAGTCAATTTACTGGTGTGTGATAATGTACCCATTACATACAGTCAATTTACTGGTGTGTGATAATGTACCCATTACATACAGTCATCTTTGTCTTTTACTCAGTAGCTCATTGTTGGCTTTTTGTGTATGTGTCTTGTTTACTTGGTGAATGAAAGTGGTTATGCTAACCGGCTATATGCAAATGAAATTAATTTTCTTGAAGTCTTTTCCTTTACTGAGTATTAGATCTCAAGGAAAGTTTGTGTTCCTCAAGAATCTAAATGAATTGGAAATATATCTAGCTTAAAATTAGTATGAACTTTTGAATGAATAAAGGTTGGAAAATTTTTGATTGTACTGTATTATATAATGATCTTGAGTGATTTTCCAGAAGTGTTTTTGAGCTGGTTGTCAAAGGTGAATCTTTGAAGGGAAATACAGTAATTGATGTCACATTGTATATAAATTATTTTAACTTTAGAAAGAAATTAATTGAATTTTTAATCTTTTATTAGCATTTTCATGTAATTCAGAAGGAATAAATAAGAGCTTGTATTTCAAAATACCTTTTTCACTTAAGTCTCTGGCTTTAATATAAGGTTTTGTCACCAATACACTTTTGTATTGGTGATAATTAATAAGTTCTTTCCAGAGTAAATTGCAGGGCATTTCATTTTCTACCACCATTGTGATAATAAAAGGACAAGGATTTCCTCTGGTTTATGTAAACCTTTCTTTGTTATTCAATGGTGTTATCAATTATTTGAAACTCACCAGTGTGTAATTTTATATTAAATGAAGAAGGATTTGAACAAGGTGGTGAAAAAGGAAATTGTTCATAAGGATCATCAAAACATCCTTTCATCAGTTATATAGACACCCTGTATATCAATTAACTTGAAGTACAGTACAGTATACTGTATTTCATCCATTAAAAAGTTTACATTTGCCCAAATTAAAATTGTTAAAATATTTAATACAGTAAATATAGTGATCAATATTCCAGATGATTTTTGCATGTATGTTTTGTATTTAGTTGGGGAAATCACAAAACGGTTACACAGATGGTACAGGCACATTCCAAATACAGTGGAACCTCGGAAATTAGCTATCCAGGAAAACTGGAGCATTTGAAAATACGTGAAAAATGCAACTCTCTTCTCCCAGATGGCAGGCAACACTTTGTTTTCATTGTAGCGATACCCGAGATATTTATGTAAATAAAATGCCAAATGGTTTCGTGTTTGGCAGCATTACCCAGTACTCCTAAACTTTCTATACTTGTCATAAAGGTTTCTCTTAGTTATAAAATTTTGCTGTGTACAGTATGCCACCACTGGGCCAGACACACTGTTTGATATTGTATTTTATTAGATATAATAAACATGAAATCGAATTAAAATTTTGCTTAAAGTTCTGTTCATGTAGAATTGAATAAGTAAAAATGGTATAATTAAATTACAGCATAACAGAACAACTAATATCATGACACAGTTGAGAAGTTAACTTGACATACAGTTTTGTGGGAAGGCAGTGAGGCAGCCTCCATGTGTGAAGCATCAGCCTGTCAGTGTGCTGTTTTTTCAGAATTGAAAACATTCAGTATAATGTCATACATTTATTGAGCAGAATTTTCTCACAGAATTCACATACAGTATTTGCTTTTAGTTTCAAAGAACATACCACCTTTTCAGAACAATGGACAAAGTGTAAATATGAAAATAAAGTGAAAATAGGTACAGTATGCTGAATGGCTGCTTTATGTAAACAAATTGAGCAAAACTCTTCATTTGTAAGGTTTGTTCAGGATGAAGTCTTTTATGCCAATTTTTTCCATCTTAACCCTTTAGGCCATATTTTGTTTCCAAGTTTCATTTTCGAGGAATGTCATTTCTCTACTAAAATATGTAAATAGTAACCGGTCATTATTAACTACATTTTTATTAAAGCAAAACCATAAAGTTTCTGTATCTGGCTGTACTGTCTCTTAAAAATAACATAACAGCAGGAGGAAAAATTATAATGAAGTATTTAGTAGTTCCTCATTTTATACTATCAGTAATATCTCTGTTAGCAGGAATCGCTCTTAACCGGAAAGTTCTGATAGCCGGAATTGAAATTTTCTCGGAAAATTGTTCCCTAAGCAGGAATTTTTCAGAAAGTTCTGGCTTTGGGAGATTTTCTGGAAATTTCAGAAAAAAGTTTCTCAGTACCCTGAAAATTCTGGGGATGGGAGAGTTTTTTCTAGGTTTGAGAGCTGAAAATCAAGTGCATTTTCCGGAAATTCCCAGAAAAATTTTCAGGTACCTTGAAAATTCCAGATAACCTGTAATTTCAGGGATGGGAGATATTTTTTCGGGTTCGAGAGATGATGTAATGCTCTATTTCTGGGACTTCTGAGAACATTTATCCATTCCCCAGAAAATTCCGGGGATGAGGGAATTTTTCCGGCTATGAGAGTCGTCGTCTTACCCAGAAATCTCTCATTCCTGGAAATGCTCTGCACCAATTTTTCTGGCTAACGGAGATATCACTTGTATATTATGAATCGGCCAACACTGGATAAAATGTTCTAAAAGATTCTTAAAAATTACTACTCTGGCTATAGATGCAAAATCATACATTATGTAACTCCAAAATAATTTTTTTTTACAATCAACTTGAGGTACAATGGTATTGTCTCTCACCAATATGTGAAGGGTTTGAGTCATGCTTAGCCTGGACACATGTGAGAAGGGTGTAGGGTGTTATCCAGTGTGATCTTACCAAATATCATAGGTTTCCCGTATTCCGGTTTCCTCCTGTATTGCATGGTACTAATATCGGATAGACCAACTGTCCAAATATCTAGTAAGCTGATTAGTAGCGAACTGATAAAAAAAAAATGATCAAAAAGTATTTTGTTATGTCCAGATTAAATGTATGCTATGCAGTCATGCACTGCCTACTTGTAAACAGGTAACAGAAACACCATGCATTATCATAATAGATCTTTATTTATATAATGAGAAAACTATTACTTTATAAATCATACTTTGACATTATAACACCCATAATGTATCTAAATAATGTTGAAAACAAAGTAAAGATGAGAAGAAAGATATAGATACATAGACTGTAGGACAACAATTATGGAATGTGTTGTCTGCCAGGCGGGAGAGAGACTGTTGAGGAGCACTACAGTGATATTGGACGTTTTTTTTAGATTGCTTATTTTTCTTTTTCATCATGAATTGCTTATGTTTATCTTGTTTAGGGGAATCATTATTATCAGCACTAAGATTTTTTGTATGACTAAACTGTCTAAATTATTGTGGTAAGATGATTTGATGTCAGTAAGTAACAGACAGTACAGGTAGTTCTTGGTTAACACCATGGATATGTTCCTGAGAAGTATTGTACTTAGCAAAAACGAGTAAAGGGAAAATAATAATTCCATAAAAAAAACGTGAAAAAGGTGAAGGTTGTGTGTTTCAGAAAGATTGCATAACAAACATAAATGTATTAAATTACTGTTTGTTTACATAAAGAATATGAAATAAGAATTATAGATGCAAATACTGTACAGTCAAAACTAACAAAAATCCAAAATTCACACATCCATAATGGTCAAGACTATGCACAATTCAAGATTTAACGCGAGCATCCAAGATTTGAGCGTGAGTTATATGTACAATATTAAAGTTATTTGTTCTTAAAACTTTTTTTTATTGCATAATGTGGGAGTGGTAAATGTCTTGATGTGGAATAGTGGCTGCGAGTCAAAAACACCATGAATGATGCAATATAGTTGACACACACACACACACTGTACTGTACCTATAGCTTTATACCTCATAATAGAACACTCATTATTACAACTTTTTATATTGATTCATGTATCCTGCACTTACATTACTTGTTTATTTTTATATTTACTACCTACAATTACATTTTAAAAGCATTGTTGTCACTGAATGCTTGCTTTGTGCTCATTATTCTAATGGTTGTCATTGGTAGAGTTAATTGAGTATAACATGCATGAGAGGTGAATGGCCATCAGGATAGAGCTGAGTACTGTTCTACAGTGGATATGCAAAGAAACTTTGTTCAGGACAAGCCTAGACATGTTTGTCGAACATATACATTAAACTGGAAGTGGATTGTGTTTTGTGAAAAGTATTTCCACATTGATGAATACTGAATACAGCTCCTCCCCGACTTACGACCTAATCGATTTACGACCACCCGGACATACGACTGCCTCAGTCATACCAAAATTTTGTCAATTTACATATTTTCGAGTCCCAACGTCAGTGACTGCGCTGTACACCCCTGTATACTGACAAAATTTTCGTTTGTAATTCACTTTAAAATGGCTGGCAAGCTTAAAAGTGAGAGTTTTGTGGTGCTGAGAAGAAAAAGAGACACCCATTTTAGATTTTCTATGTATTATTTAAGCATTTTATTACTTTTGACCATTTCGACTTATGACCTGGATTTGGGTCCCTAACCCCGTCGTAAGTCAGGGAGGAGCTGTAGTGTAAAAATGGAATTGTGTTGTATGAGTGCATGTTAACCAAGGAATCCATGTACTATTGATTTTTTTTTTTTTTAAGAAAATTCTACGATGTAGTTGTGAACTCTAAATTGCAATACTCATTGGTTTAAGATAGAAATGTGTCATGGATTCAAGTGGGGTGCATAGGAGCATATATGGAGGGGGGAGTGACCTTGTTCAAAGAGGTGGAAAAAACAACTGCATATTCTCATCCCAACATTTCCAGATTTCCGAGGTTGTTTTGTATTTAGTTTTGGAACAAAATAGAAACAACAATTATTTTGCTATTGTCTGTTCACATCTTTCATTCCTCAATATCTCTGGGAACTCCCCATGAGGCAGTAGATACAGCAGAATAAGTTTTGTCTACCTTATCTAAATATACCTCCCCAGTTTCTTCCATTATCTTCACACCTTCATAATTTTTTCAAGTGTACATTACCTCACCTTACCCATATGCTAGAGTTTTTTTTTTCCACCCACCTTATCCCTTTTACTTCATTCTTGAAAATGATTTGCCATCATATATTATCCTTTCCACATTACTAAACCAGATGATATACAGTATACGGAACTTGTAACCCATTTTATGATCTAATACAGTTTACTCTTGCATAGCCCTTCCCATGTGCTAAAACTAAAATAACGAGCAATACTCAAATAGTTCATGTTAACAGAGTGAATTGTAGAAGTGTCTGCCATGTTCCAAGTGAAAATGAATTTTGTGAATGGGTAGAGAAATGTGCATCACCTACTTGACTGCTAGTTATGTTTTTATATTATTTATGTCCAGTAGATTCATGCTTCAAACATTTTTATCATAAAACAATGCAAAATTGATCCTTATGCATAGCTATCATTTTAGTATGATTTTTTTTTAAAGGAATTGAAGATCTGGTCTGATTCATTTGATTTGTTATTCTTCATGTCTAAATATATTTTTATATCTAATTTGCAATGTATTATTTAAAGTCACATTGCACATGCAGAGCTCTTTAAATACTTGTCTCCATATATCACACATGTTGTTTTTTATATTCAAAACAAGATGGCAAATAAAAGGCTTGAAATCAACTTTGATCACTATACATGTTTACCAATCAGTTCCTTGCAAAACACCACTTGGCTCCACAGGTTGGCTAAAGTCTGTGTTATTGCCATCTTTGGCTGTTTATCTTTGCTTGGTCATTAGCCAAATGGGAAAATAAAGATACAGTATATTGACTATGTAAATGAAATTTTTTTACTGGAACACAAATTTGATATAGAATCAGTACATTATCATAGAACATACAGAAAAAAAAGAGGTGCATGACAGAAAACATGGCTTTGGATTAGTAATTTGGCAAAGGAACTGATGGTAGTTAAAACTACAGTACTTGTTGCTTGACTTTTATGTGTACTTTGTAGGACACTGTATTTATGGCTTTCAGTGATGGGTGTTCATAATGACTAAATTACAATACAGTACAATGTAGTGGTTCTTTTTGATGGGGTAAGTACAGTATGGAACAAAATGTTCATTGCTCACTTATATACAGTATTCATAATACTGTAAATAATTGTTCACGATTTGATTGTGGGGTAATTAGGGGCGGCGGTGCTCCCAGGGGCCCTCCTTATGTGTGGCAGAGCCCCCAAGTGCCCTCCTTAAGGGTGGCAGCACCCCCAGGGGCCGCGGCGCCCGTAGGGGCCCTCCCATGGGCAGCAGCGCTCACAGAAGCCCTCCCAGGAACGACAGAGCCCCCAGGGGCCCTGCTAGGGGTGCTGTCACCCCCAGGTGCCCTGCCAAGGTTGCTTTTGCCCCCAGGGACCATGGCGCTCCCAGTGGCTCTCCTAGGGACAGGGGCCGTCCCAGGGGCCCTGCCAGGGACAGCATTGTGCCCAGGGGCCCTCCCAGGGACGGCGGCGCCCCCAGGGGTTCTTTCAGGGACAGCCGCACTACCAAGAGCCATCCCAGGGACGGCGGCACCCTCAGGGCCCTTCCAGGGACGGCGGCGCCCACAGGGGCCCTCCCAGGGACGGCGGCTCCATCAGGGATCCTGCCAGGGGTGCTACCATCCCCAGGGGCTCACCCAGGGACAGCAGCGCTAACAGAGGCACTATCAAGGGTGCTGTAGCCCCCAGGGGCCCTGCCAGGGGTGCTTCGGCTCCCAGGGACAGAGGTTCTCCAAGGGGGTCTCCCAAGAAGAGTGGAGCTCCTAGGGGCCCTCCCAGGGACGGCAGCACTCGCAGGGCCCGTGCCAAGGGCGGTAGCGCCCCCAGGGGCCCTGCGAGAGACAACAGTGCTCCCATGGGCCCTCCCTGGGACGGCGGCGCCCCCAATGGTCCTGCCAATGGCGCTGGTATCATCAGGGGCTCTCCCAGGGACAGATGCACTCACAAGGGACCTCCCAGGGTCGGCGGGGCCCCGAGGGGCCCTGCCACGGGCTCTGGTGCCCTCAGGGGCCCTCTCTGAGACGGCTGCGTCCCCATCCTCCCTGCTAGGGGCGGTGGCGCCCCCAGGGGCTCTTAGGAAGGGTGGCACCCCCAGGGGCTCTGCTAGGTGTAGTGCCACCCCTAGGGGCGCTTTCAGGGGCGGTGGTGCCCCCAGGGGCCCTGCCAGGTGCGGTGGCGCTCCTAGAGTCCCTCCCAGGGACGATGGTGCCCCCAGGGGCCCTGCCAGGGACGGTGGCGCCCCCAGGGGCCCTGCCAGGGATAGTGGCAGCCCCAGGGGCCTCCCAGGGATGGTGGCGCTCCTAGGGGCCCTCTCAGGGGCATTGGCGCATCAAGGGCCTTGCCAGGGGTGCTGCACCCCCTGGTGGCTCTGTCAGGGAAAGCGGTGCTCCCAAGGGCTCTTCCTGGGATGGCGGCGCCCCTAGAGGCCCTGCCAGGAGCGCTGGCGCCCCAAGGGACTTTCCCAAGGACAACCGCGCTCCCAAGGGAATTCAAGGGACGGTGGGGCTCTCTGAGGGACGGCGGCACCCCTAATGGCCCTGCCAGGAGCGGTGGCGCCCCCAGGAGCTCTGTCAAGCATGTTGGTGCCACCAGGAGCCCCGCCAGGGGCGGTGGCGTATCCAAGGGCCCTCTCAGGGACAGCGGCGCCCCCTTGGGCCCTCCAAGGGGCGGAGGCGCCCTCATGGGCCCTCTCATAGGCGATGGAGCCCCAGGGGCATTCCCAGGGACAGCAGCGCTCACAGGAGCCCTCCCGGAGGCGGCAGCGCCCCCAGGGGCACAGCCAGTGGTGCTGACGCACCCAGGGGCTCTCCCAGGGACGGCAACACCCTTAGGGGCTCTCCCAGGGACTGCAATGCCCCCAGAGGCCCTCTCAGGGAAGGTGGCGACCCCAGGGGCCATGCCAGGAACAGTGGCGCTCCCAGGGGCCCTCCCAGTGACGGCGGCATCCCCACGAGCTCTCCTAAGGATAGTGGCGCCCCTATCGGCCCTCCCAGGGACTGCGGCGCTCCCACGGGCCGTGCTAGGGGCGGTGACGCACCCAGGCGCCCCCAGGGGCCCTACCAGGGACGGTGGCCCCGTCAGGGGCCCTGCCAGGGTGGCTGGCGCATCCCGGGGCGCTCCAAGGGACAGCTGCACTCCCAGGGGCCCTCCCTGGATCGTTGCCAGAGGCAACGGCGCCCCTAGGGGCCCTCACAATGGTGGTGACGCCCCCAGGGGCCCTCCTAGGTACGACGGCGCCCCCAGGGGCTTGATTGTGGTGTCTTACATAGTGCATACGTCCAGCAATCCCTTACTTAACTGTGATTGGTGGACTAAAATGCAAATCCTCCAAATTACAGCCAATAGGAGAACAGAGCAATCAGTCAGCACAACACCCCAACTTATGTTTTCCTGTTGGATTCATCTTTTCATTGCTCAGGATGCGATGATACACACAGCAAATGTGACGATGGGCGGTGTATGAGCGGTGGTGTATCATCGCATCCTGATCAATGAAAAGATGAATCCAACAGGAAAACATAAGTTGGGGTGTTGTGCTGACTGATTGCTCTGTTCTCCTATTGGCTGTAAATTGGAGGATTTACATTTGAGTCCACCAATCACAATTAAGAAAGAGATTACTGGACGTATGCACTATGTACGACACAACGATAATCACCTGGGGGTGCCGCCGCACCTAGGAGGGTCCTTGGGACACAGCCACGCTTGTAAGGGTCACTGGGGTCGCCACTGCCCCTGGAAGGGCACCTGGAGAGGGCAGCGCACCTAGGAGGGGCTATGAGGGCGCTGCAGTCCCTGAGAGGTCCCATAGGGGCGCTGCTACCCTAGGGAGGGCCCCTGGGTGTACCGTCACCTCTGAGAGGTCCCTTGGGGTCGCCACCTCTTCTTGGAGGGCCCTAGCGCTCTTGAGAGAGCCCCCTAAGGGCGCGGGTGTCAATGGGAGGCACTAGCGCCCTTGGCAGGGCCCCTGGAACACCGCCCCTGACAGGGCCGATGGGGATGCCGCCATCCCAGTGAAGGCCCCTGGGAGGACCTTGGGAGAGTGGCTGTCCCTGGAAGAACCCTTGGGGGCACCGCCATCTCTAGGAGGGCCCTTGAGAGCGCGCCTTTCCCTTGGGACGCCGCTGTCCCTGGCAGGGCCCTTGGGGGTGCTACTGCCCCTGGCAAGGCCATTGGGAACGCCGCCGTCCCTGGAAGGGGCCCTAGGAGCGCCCCTGGGGATACCACCACCCTTGGCAGGGCCACTGGAGGCGACGCCCTTCCTGGGAGGGCCCCTGGGGTGGGGGCACCGTACCTGAGTGGGCCTCTGTTAGCACTGATGTCCCTGGGAGAGCCCCTAGGAGCGCTGTGGTCCCTGTGAGAGCCCCTGGGGGTGACGCCCTTCCTGGGAGGGTGCCACTGTCTCTGGATGAGACCATGGTGGCGCTGCCGTCCCAGGAAGGGCCCGTGGAGGCGCCATCGCCCCTGAGAAGGCCCCTGGCACGGCCCGTGGGAGCGCCGCCGTCCCTGGAAGGCTCCATGGAGTACCGCTGTCCCTGGAAGAACCCCTGAGGGAGCTGCCGTCCCTGAGAGCCCCTGGGGGCGCCAGCAGCCCTGGCAGGGACCCTTGGGGTGCCGCCGTCCCTGTTTGGGCTCCTGGGGGCGCCAGCAGCCCTGGCAGGGACCCTTGGGGTGCCGCCGTCCCTGTTTGGGCTCCTGGGAGCGTTGCTGTCCCTGGAAAAGCCCCTGGGGGCCCCGCTGTCCATGGGAGAGCCCCTAGGAGTGCCGTGGTCTCTGGGAGAGCCCTTGGGGGCAAAAGCACCCATAGCAGGGCCCATGAGGGTGCCACCATCCCTGGGAGCACTGCCGCCCTTGGTAGGGCCCTTGGGAGGGCCTTTGGGGCGCAGCTGCCCCTGAGAGGGCCCCTACGGGCGCTGCGACCCCTGGGGGGTCCCCTAGGGAGCTACCACCCCTAAGGAGGGCCTTTGATGGCGCTACCACACATAAGGAGGGCTCCTCGGATTGCCGCCGCCCCTAATAAAACCCACAATCGAATCATGGAGCATATTCGAAATCAGCATGCTCAGGAGTAGCTATAATGTGATTTTCATCAAAATCTAATTTTGGGCCAAAACTATCGGAAAGTAAGCCTTACACCTTAGTAATTTTTCGACCTAAATATAATTTTCTCTTATAATTGAAATTTATGAGGTTTAACTAATTTTTTTTTTTATTAAGTACTTACAGAACAACACATTAATACCAAAATCACACTTTGGAAACCCATAGTTTACAAATAATTAGCATTGTCATTAATTTCCCAGGCATGATTACAATCACTAATTACCCCGCAATCGAATCGTGGACCTTATATTCGAAATCAAGGACCTCAGAGGTGCAACTGTCCCTGGGAAGGCCCTTGGATGACCCTCGGCGCCCCTGGTAGGGCTCCTGAGGGCGCCTCTGCCCGTGGGAGGGCACCGCCACCCTTGGGAGGGCTCCTAGGGCGCCGAGGCCCCTAGGAGGTCTCATGAGGACGCCTACGCCCCTGGGAGAGCTCCTGGCGGCACTGCCGCCCCTGGGACGGCTCCTGGGGGCGCCACCGCCCCTGGCAGGGCCGATGGGGAAGCCGCTGTCCCTGGCAGGGCCCCTGGAACGGCCAATGGGAAAACCGCCGTCCCTGGGAGGGTTTCTAAGAGCGCCGCTGTCCTTGGGAGAACCCCCGGAGATGTCAGCGCCATTGGCAAAACCCCTGGATGCGACGCCCATCCTGGGAGGGCACCGGTGTCCCTGGGAGGGCCCCTGGTGGCGTTACCACACCTGAGTGGGCCCCTGGTAGCACTGTTGCCCCCAAGAGAGCCTCTGGCAGTGCCGGAGTCTCTATGAGAGCCCCTGGGTGTGACACCCTTTCTGGGAGGGCGCCACTGTCCCTGGGTGAGCCGCCATCCCTGGAAGGGGCCGTGGGGGCGCCATCGCCCGAGAGGGCCCCTGGGAGCGCCGCCGTCCCTGGGAGGGTCTCTTGGAGCGCCGCTGTCCCTGGGAGAGCCCCTGGGGGCACCAGCCGCCCTAGTAGGGTCCCTTGTGGTGCCGCCGTCCCTGGGAGGGCCCCTGGGAGTGCTGCTGCCCTAGGAGAGCCCTTGGGGGCAAAATCACCCATGGCAGGGCCCCTGGGGGTGCCACAGTCCCTGGGAGGGCACCTGGTAGCCCTGCCACCCTTGGCAGGGCCCTTTGCAGGGTTTTTGGGGGTGTAGCTGCCCCTGGGAGGGCCCCTACAGGCGCTGCGACCCCTGGGAGATCCCCTAAGAGTGCTGCCACCCCTAAGGAGGGCCCTTAGGAGAGCTACCACACATAAGGAGGGCTCCTCGGACCGCCGCCGCCCCTAATTACCCCACAATCGAATTATGGAGAATATATTCGAAATAAGCTTACTCAGGAGTACCTATAATGCGATATTCAACAAAATCTAATTTGGGGCCAAAACTATCAGAAATGTTAGTTATTTTTCCACATAAATATACTTTTCTCTTATAATTGAAATTTAAGGGGTTTAACTAATTAAGTACTTACAGAACAACACATTAACACCAAAATCACACTTTGGAAACCCATAGTTGGCGAATAATTAGCATTGTCATTAATTTTCCAGGCGTCATTACAACCACTAATTACCCCATCGAATCGTGGACCTTATATTCAAAATCAAGGACCCAGGGGAGCAACCGCCCCTGGGAAGGTCATTGGATGACCCTCGGCGCCCCTAGGAGGACTCCTGAGGGCGCCTCTACCTGTGGGTGGGCCTTAAGGGGTGTCGCCACCCTTGGGAAGGCCTCTAGGGTGCTGAGGCCCCTAGGAGGCCCCATGAGGGCGCCACCGCCCCTGGGAGGGCTCCTGGGGGCACTGCCGCCCCTGGCACAGCTCCTGAGGGCGCCTTCGCCTTTGGGAGGGCCTTTGGGGCCATCACTGCCCCTGGGAGGGCCCATGAAAGTTCCCCTGGGGGCACTGCCACCCCTAAGGAGGGCTCCTTGGGATGCTGCCGCTCCTGGGAGGGGCCTGGGTGCGCTGGCGGCCCTGGGGTCGCCACCGCCTCTTGGAGGGCACCTCGCCGCCCGTGGGTGAGCCTCTGGGAGTGCCGCCACAAATAGGAGGGCTCCTGGGGACGTCACCGTACCAGGGAGGACTCCTGGTGTTACCGCGCCCCTGGGAGGTACCCTGGGAGCGCTGCCATCCAAGGCAGGGCCCCTGGGGTCGCCACTGCCCTTGGGAGGGTTTTTGGGAGTGCAGCCACCCATGGGAAGACCACTGCCCCTGGCAGGGCCCTTGAGATCGCCACTACTCCTAAGGAGGGCCCCTGGGGATGCCGCCGCCCTTGGGAGGGTCCCTCACAGTAATTTATTTACTGAAATATACTTTTATCTTGCAATTGGAATTTAAGGAGTCTAGCTACTTAAATATTTCCAGAATAACACAAAAACACCAAAATCACATATCACAAACCCATAGTTGGCGAGTAATTAGCATTTAAATAATGTAATTAGATTATTCCGAGCATTATTATGACCATTAATTACCCCACAATCAAATCGTGGACCATAGATTCAGAATCGGCATGCTCAGGAGTACCTATACCCGTATTGAGATTTTCATCAAAATCTAATTTTTGGCTGAAACCACCAAAATATTCAGCCACATGTCTTTGAACTTTGATGAAGAGACTTGAATTTGGTGGTGTAAATTTCATATAGTGATGATATATGTATCTGTATAATCAAAACAGGTTTTTCAAATTGTGTAGCAGCAGCACAAGAATTTCCACACACCCAGATGAATAAACAGACCCACACCATAGTAGTGTACATCTTCTAACAGGAACTTATAATAAAAACAAGATGATTTGGAAATTGCAAACTTTTTCACTTGACAATATAAATTTAATTTTCTTGGCACAACTACAAAATAATAAGTCTTTAAAAAAAATTCATGCACACAAGGCATAAACTAAAATATACTGTAGATGTTTGTAAATAATGAAATGTATGAATACTTGTCATTTTCCCTTTGCCATTGGGAGGTTATCTTCACTATAAGAATGAATTGCTCTCCAAATTCCAGCTAGTCATTATCATCATTAGATCCTTCTGATGACAGGAGAACCAACTTAGCAGGAGAGTGCATTTAAAATAACTTTGTCTTCTGATGTCCTGAGCAATAATTACAACCCCCAGTCCCTAAGATGTAATGACATTCCTGTAACCTTACAAAATAACTTTCTATAACTACAAATATCAAATGGTTTGAAAAGACTCACAAGAAACTTTAAAATAGTGACTAAGTGATATTTCATGGGAAATGTTAATCTTAGCATATTACATAATATATGAATTGTACAGGTACAGTATTTCTCGATTAAAGAAAGGTTTTAAGGAATGCAACAATGGTAAGTTGAGGATGCCTGTACTACACTGCAACATGAAGTTCACAAATGCATTATGATGCCAAGTTGTGAAATATAGGCATCCCTAAATTTACAAAGGACCAATTTAAGAATGGCATTCTGGAACAGAACCTATACTGTGTGTAACTCAAAGGTTGCCTGTACTAAGGTTTTCAGAATTGTAGTCTTGGTAGTGTGTGTGTGTGTGTGTGTGTGTGTGTGTGTGTGTGTGTGTGTGTGTGTGTGTGTGTGTGTGTGTGTGTGTGTGTGTGTGTGTGTGTGTGTGTCCTTCAATAATCTTGGTGTCTGTAAACAAATACTGGTCAGTGAGTGAGTGTTCATGTTACTTGATTGACACAATGTTCTATCAGGTGGTGTGAACTGCCTGAGAGGGATAAGATGAGTGGTTATAATCTTGTCACTTCTTCATATGTGTTGTGGATGAACTCTCTCTCTCTCTCTCTGTGAGTACAAATCTACATTCGATTATAAACCACTTGACAGGACTACAGTGGATGGGGCAGTGGCTTTGTAGCATACACTCACACCTCTGTAAATGTACATCATCTTGATCTACCCTGTACTTGTCCAGTCATCACTCAAAAGGTCATCCTGTTTTATCCCATGTTACCAATTCTGCACTTAAACAACTTCATTACTTAAAGCCTGTACAGTAAATGTATATTCTGAGAACACTGATTATTTTATCTAATAACTACTAATACATATTATTAATTATGGTCAATGAATGGAAGTTATGACCTAAGCCACAAAAAGACATTTCTTTAACATTCTTATACAACACTTAAAGAGTGAAAAACAGTTTTGAATTATCTTATCTGAATGCCAATAATTACTGACTGACGGACTACTTTCTGACCTGTCCATGCAGCATCACATTTCTTGTTAAACTTTTTGGAATCTTTGCAAGGAAGCTACTTTTTTCTGTGAACAACAATTGGGAAATTCCACTCAGAATGTGACATGTTAGGAATTGTTAACAGTGAATATGGCACAGGAAGTGATAGACAACCTACAAAATCAAACACAAAATTCATGGCACTCAGGAAACTTTGGATACAGTATTTGGAGAAATGACTAGTTATATTTGTAAAATATACACACATTAATGCACATTTAAAGAACAAAAAATTATGCATTTTCTGCAAATAATATAACATGTTGATGTGATATTACACATTAATAACTTAATCTAATTCAGTGTTTTTTCTCTAAGTTGAGCTAGATGACCAAAACCAAATTCAAGGAAATTTGTTTATAGGTTATCTATGGATGGGTTAAGTTTTTCTATCATCACAAAAATTACCGTTAAATATTTGTTCTAGAGGAAATCTGCACTGGACCTGACATGAATTACAAAAGATCAGCCAATTTGGTCAGTAGCCAGTTCACAGTGAACATCTTGGACTAGTGAATATTAAAACTGATTTCTTGTTGAACAAAGAAAAAAAAAGAGCAATATGAAGGATTCACCAGAGGCATGTTTAATGTAGGTGTGATGGGCCCCTCATATTGTGGGCTCCCAGCGTACAGCAAAAACTAAATGAGAGGTTCTGAGTATGCTGTGCTCTTTTCTGAAGTTTAATACAATGAAAACTAAAGCTTTTGCATGTACAGACATAAAGTACATATACACTGAACTAAGTATTGATTTTGAACCAAATAATAACACAAACTTCTGTATGGATGGACCCATAAAAAATGGCACTGAATACAGTAGTTTGAAGTCTGAAAAATGCCTCTGGGATTCACTGCATCAATACAGGTCTTGATTCTAAGGCTGCAACATTGTGGTTTTGTACTGTTAGAATAGTGCAAGTACAAAATACAGTACTGTAGTGTTAAACCCTCATAACTAACATCCAGGACACTGATGAGACTATTTGCCAGTTTAGTACATGCAACAAAATAACACCCGAACAATCCTACGTGGCCAAGGTGATGAACCTTTGGGTTAAATATTTGAAGCACTGCCAACAAATCATTAAACAACAGATAATAGCCAATCATTATGATGAATGTGTGACCCAGAGGACAGTCAAAAGCAGACCGTGGCAGTGAACCATTGGGGTGGGCTGGAGTGATGACACTTTGACATGTTATAGCCAATATTAAACCAGGAACATTTTCATGCTAAGTAAACAGTTTTCTTAATTGGGTCCTCGTGCTAATGTGAATTTCGTACTGTGAAGAGCTACCTATATATGTATCACAATGGCAAATCAGTATTTGCTTAACCCTTTCAACCTCGCACAATGCCATTGTGGAGTTGAACATAAAAGGCGAAAAAACTTATGCTCAGCCTCGCGGCACCAACATGGTACATCCAATGGGCTATATTTCAAATAACTCAAGAACTATTCAGTGAAACTGACTGAACTTTGGACGCCATTTGACAGACGTTGTTTTCTTTGTGTGGGCCTTATCACCTTCCCCAAGACCGTCTTGGTCATTGTGTGCATGGCAGTGCAGTATGAAGCCAGTGTTGCTTTGGCCATTAGAGCGAGAGGAGGGTGTGCCGCCTGGCCCTTTAATTATTCAATGAGTTTTGTGTTATATTATTTTTCCTTATACCAAAATATTCTACATGCTTTGTTCTTTATTTTGGTATACAGTACATATCAATAAACACCATAATACAAGGAAAATGTGAATGGAAATCGAGATGTTACTAAACATTTTCCTACTTTTTCAACTTATACTCGAAAAAAGTGACATAAAATTCAAGAATTTAAATTAAAATTTTTTCAGACAATTTTATGCTGGAAGAGACCCCATTACAATTAATAAAACAATTCCATAGCAGTAAAATGAGCCCCTCCCCCCCAAAAAATCAAAGATTCTTCGGCAAAAACCTTCTAGGCTGAGCGTTAATTTTCCTGCACGTATGTGTCTCAGGCTCCGAGGCTGAGAGGGTTAATATGATTACACCAACATAGTATCCTTCTGGAAAGCATATACTGTACTGTGTTAAATGAGCAACAACTGTATATTTATTCAAACAAACCCACAAGATATTAAGATATTTATATATAGCCCCATACACTATTGATAGCTGGAGTGTTTTGTGCATCTTTAACATGTAGTGTACAGACACACTGGATATCAAGTAAGGAATACTGTACACATAAGTATTCCCTCCAGCACATTTTGTTTTAAACAAATATTAATCAAATTTTAGAATTACTATTTTCAATACCAACCCTTCAGACATTTAGATACTGTAGTACTTAAATATAAATAAAATGAATAGTTAACCGGGTTATTGCTCCTTGGGAGAGGGTTGGACTTGTGACTGGCAGGTCGTGTTAGGCTTGGTGGGTTTTTGCTGGGTGGGGACTCCTGACTGGCTTACCGAGTTAGGCTTGGTGGCAAAATTTAAAATGGCAGCCATGTATAATTGGGCTTGCCTTCATGATGAGTAGAGTAGCATCATAAATAATTTCTCATGTACAGGCAGATTTATGTAGCAGACTCTCATTTGAAAAGAAATGACCAACGAGAGGCAGGAAGTGGCACAGGAATTGGGTTTACACATTTAACCATAAAAGGCTGGAATTATCTCCCATACAATGAATGATTGTAAGAAAAATTATCCTTGCATATGAATGCATTAGCAGATGCTGACCTTGTCATATTAAGAAGGTAACAAACTTCTTTCATTCTATTACCCTACATAAAGTAGCATGCTATAATCAAGGAATGCAAGGAAGGTAAACTATTACCTCACTGAGCTTCATTGTTGTTGATCAACGCTAATGTTACATGATAAACTATAATAAATCATATGTTGACTTTGCTGGCATTGTTGTACACACTGTCATCATCATCACTGTTTTACAGACATTTTCCACGTTTGCAGCAACTGATTGTAACTTGGAATTTGCTTTATTTTGCATTATGGAAGTTTTACTGTACAGTACTGTACCATTAAGATACATTTCCTACTGTACAATGTCAATTAAAATTTTACTGTTCATCACACATCTTTTACCATCATCATCACCCGTTACATGGCCAGTTTCCACTCTACAATCAAAATCTATTTGCCAATAGGATTTTCTGCATAAAAATCATAAAAACACAATATCCTATGCAAATATTAATAAATATAAATTTCTGAATAAGTAAATTAACAATTCATATTCAGTCCAAAAAATATTTTCTCTTAAAAAATTTATTATTGAACTCAATTACAGTACAGTACAGTACTGTACATGGTTTAAAAGTCTCCAAGAAGATTAACCTCTTGAAAATTTCTTTCCCTTACTTCCTGCTGTGGTTTACTATTACAAGTATCGTGGGTATTAAGAGTGAGGTTTTCCATTGGTTGGACAAGATCTGTTGCCTCCGTGGCCCCCTCTGCGTCGAGCAGTTCTTCATCATCCTCGTAATCTCCGGTCTACCGACAATAAAAGAAATTGATGAAATTTCAGGACAAAAAATAAGTCAATAGAATTTTAAGACACAATGTTAATATAAAAATAATGATATCTCCATTAGCCGGAACAATTGGTGCAGAGCACTTCAGGGAATGAGAGATTTCCGGGTAACAACATGACTCTCAAAGCCGGAAAAAAAAAATCCCTCATCCCCAGAATTTTCTGGAATTTTCCAGGTAACGGAAAAATTTCTTGGAAGTTCCAGAATGATGCATTACTCCACCTCTCAAAGCCAGATAAAATCCCTCATCCCCCCGTAATGTTTTGGTTAATGGAAAAATATTCTCAGAAGTTCCAGAAATTGCACATTACATCATCTCTCGAACCCGGAAAGATATATCTCCCATCCTTGAAATTTCCGTTAAATGTGCTTGATTTTCATCTCTCAAATCAGGGGGAACTCCATACCCGGAATTTTCCAGGTATACTGGGAAAATTTTATCGGAATTTTCCAGAAAATGTGCCCCTAGTAAAATCGTTCCCAAATCTGGAATACTCCAAAAAATTCCAGCTTTGGGAATGATTTTACATAGAAAATTTCAATTCTGGCTATTGGAGAGTTCCGGGTTTGAGGGATTCCGGCTAATGGAGATATTACTATTATGACTACAAACTAGGACAAAATTTCTGGACAAGATAAAACACACTTAGGAAAGATGTGCATCATATCAGTTAGTATTCATTGGTAGAAGGCCTCCCTAAACATCATGACCATCTGCTATTACAGGTATAGACCCTCATATCCTAGACCCTGAATTTTGTAACTTCAGATATTCTGTATATAAATCAAAACAGGGGACTAAAGTTCAACTAAAGATGTTGATGAAGATTTGGGAGGGCAGTTTCTGCAGGTAGATACAGGTCGAGACTGTCTAAGCCACAACTCAGAAAATCAGAGACTCTTAGCAGAAAGTTACATCAAGTTTTGATACCATACATTTGCCAACTAAACAAAATTTTTGCACATACAGTACATCATTGTTCCACCGACTGTCTCATCCACTAATGTGTCTGTTCATGTAACCTCTCTTCTTGCCCTACACTTGGTCTTCAGGTACCCCTCCTTGTTACCACCCAATCTTCTTTTTTCCTTTATTGGTCTGTCTACTTCATAATTCCTCCACCTTGCTACTGCATGCCTTGCTGGGTCCTTTGTCCAGCCACACATCTTGTCAGCTGCATTCAGCAGAACATCCTTTAGTTTGGCCCAGTATCTCACTACACTACCCCATACTCTCAATGGATGTTTCCAATCTTTTCAACTCCATACAAAATGCTTCTCTTGCATTCGAAATGTTCCTCCAACTTCCACTCTCTTCTTGGAACATACACCTTCTTCCTTTCTCTGCACCTTATAATCATCACGTCACACACACAAGCAATATGTGCTGCATGGCAACACCTTTACATCCCTAACAAGTTTCATATCAGATTTCCTAACAAAGTAATCAATCTGTGAATTTGTTCCACCTGACTCAAACATAATCAGCCCACTAATCCTCTTCTTAAACAATGTATTGCATACAACCATGCTCATTGCATCCCCAAACTCAAGTTATTCTCTCTCCTTCTACATTTCTTGTGTCATAGCCTCTTCTGCCAGGCATACTTTCATAACCTTTTGTTTGTGCCCAAATGTGACTGTTTACATCACTATCCAGCACCACAATCTCTTTCACCCAGCTATGACACCACATGCAACAATTTATGCCAGAACTCAACCTTCATTTCTTCACTTTGCCTAGATACTTTCCTACTTGCACTTAGAGCCAAAATACTTTACTTACATTCACCCTTTTTACCTCTAGTACTTTAACCACTTTTTGGCGATCAAGATCCCTACACCACCTACTCCAGATTCACCTCCCTTCTAGAATAGATTGTAGTGATCAGTCTTATCATTGATCATCCTTGCTAGATCAGTGGTTCCTTACACCACATTAATATACCTGTAAGCTATCATTCCTGTGGTCTGAATGAAGAGTTGTTCCCACCATGTCTAGCTCAATGGGAAACCAGTGTTTGTCATGCATTAATTGCTGACACTGGCTGTGGTAGCTTGCTAGACCTCCAATGAGTCGAGTTAGTTGTTCCGTTAGATGCTGGACATGTTTGGAATCGAGCAATTCTAGTTTCACCAAAACATCTGATCTCAGTTTGGCAAACTTGCCTCGAGCTTCTTGCCTACAACGCAAGACCAGTCTGCAAGTAAATGGAAGAGGATTTATCTTACTTACTAGTTCTCTTGACATGGTGAAAAAGGGTATATCAACGCAGCTGCTTGTAGGTACTGTACTCTAGTGTTAGAGGAAGGAAAATAATGATGATCGTATAATCTGAAGGAAATCTTTTTAAATAATAACATTGGCTACAATCACTTATTCTTCATTAATGGATATGTAAAATTTAACACAAAGAGCATAGTTTATGTATATAATTAATGTGAACTTCTTACAAGATATTAAATTGATAAATGTTAAAATACAAAATGGAATACCAAGTACCTAAGGAAAACACAAGGGAGCAGAAGGTGATAACATGATGTAATGGTAACATGCACACAGGTGATGTAATGGTAACATGCACACATATGATATACAGTTGTACCCCACTTAACGCGGTCAATTGAACCCAGAGGGTCCCGTGTTAAGTGAAATCCGCGTTAAGTGAACAACAGAACATATGGGATTAATTCCAATAGAAACCGGCCCGACCCCCAAACTCCACTTTTTGAAGGCACATACCTATGTTGTAGTAAAAATAACATCTTAATTTTATGATGGTACATGCACACAATTAATACTTAAGAGAAATAGAGAAATACAGTCGCCAAGTTAATGTCCATTCAAATAATGGACTCAACTCCCTCCCCCTCTCACACTACACAGCCGGCTAACAGATGGTCGGTCGGTCCCTCCCTCCCCCCCCACCCCCCACCAACCGTCCCAAGGAGATGTGTGGGATAACCTCAAACTAAAGTTAGGAAAATATAATTGACATTGCTGGATTCCTTGTAAGACCAGGAATATTTTGAATATAAATGTCATATATTTTGCACAAAAGATAACATAGTTACCTAGAGAAAAATTTTTATCTAAAAATTGTAAGTTTAAAGCAAAATATATGATGTTTATATTCAAAATGATCACCAAATTATAAGAATTCCAGCAATGTAAATTATATTCTGACCGGGTAATTTGTATGAATTTTATGAGCTAAAACAAATATCTTCAGTTAATAAAAAAAAAATAATCTTCACGACACTATCTGTCAATCAAAGTACCCCACCTTGCCTCCCCCCTCTTCCAACCGCGCGGTCAGTCCCAACCCTCCCCCCCACCCCCCACCAATCCTCCCTTCCAGAGTTTTTAACATTTAGTATTAAATAATACCTCAGATTAAAGTTAGGATAATATAATTGACATTGCTGGATTCCTTGTAAGACCAGGAATATTTTGAATATAAATGTAAGTTTAAAGCAAAATATATGATGTTTATATTCAAAATGATCACCAAATTATAAGAATTCCAGCAATGTAAATTATATTCTGGCCTGGTAATTTGTATGAATTTTATGAGCTAAAACAGGCAGTCAGGCAGGGTGGCGGGTGGGGCAAATCTAAAAATAGCGTCTCGGACACTCACCGCGTATATGTGGAAAAAATCCGCGTTAAGTGAAAGTTCAGCTTTGGCAAGGCACCGCGTATATGCGAAAACGCGTTAAGTGAAACCGCGTTAGGCGGGGTAAAACTGTAATGGCAACAAGTACTGTACACAGTTTCATAACTCACCTGTACTCATAGTTGCCTGTCTCCACTCTATATAGAGGCTCTTGCAACTGGGCAAACTGCATTTCTTCATCATCCATCTCCTTCACCTTGAGACAGTAACTGAGGTATTCAAACTTGGCATCCGCATACCGCCTGATGGTCAGTCTGGTGTCAGGAATGGCTTTGTGGAGGTATGTCCCCAAATCACTCAAGATCTTGAAGAACATTAATAAATATAAACACAATCTTCATTCTTTGTAACTATAAATTTACATAATTCAAACAATTTCTGGAGAAAATGACAATTATCCTACTTTTTTTTTACAATAATCTTCTGGATATTAGAAAATTATAGCACTGGATGGGCCATTCCTAATTATAACTAGGAACAAGTGCAGTAAGTACATGAAGGCCATCTGCCAGTTACAAGGTATTATGTCTGAAAATTCACTATCTATAATTGTGAACTTGCAGCTCAATTTATAGTGGGATGCAGTGTATCAAGACTGGATGAATGTTCCTTGTGGGAGTACATGTGACCATTCTGAGAACAAAATAATTCTGAAAATATGAATAGCAGAATCTGCTATGCAACAATGAATGAATTGTAAGCATTGCTCTACAGTTTCATGTCTGCTTCACGCTAAGGATGTATATAGCTATCGTGTACATATTGGGTTCTCCTGCATATATATATATGAATTACCCTTTTTTATATTTAGGTAATCAACGCGTAACTTCACTGAACACTGTCACTAATGATCCTCTTAGGGGCCATGCTTGCAGTAAAATTCACCAGTAGATTAAACCAAGCATTAGCACAGTACTGTATTATGATAGTAGATCAAACCAAGAATTACCAGTGTTATGATAGTAGATTAAACCAAGAATTACCAGTGCTATGATAGTAGATTAAACCAAGCATTAGCACAGTATTATAAAAGTAGAGTAAACCAAGAATAATCAAAACCTAGAGCTTTGAGGATTAACTAAGCAAAATTAAGTTAACTGTGCAAATTTCTTATATGCATGAGCCAGGAAGTTGTGGCACTGGCAGGTCTGAGAGACTGTCATTGGCAAAATTTACTAAGTATTTTACCTATAGTGCATCAAAATCAAACATTTCTGAAACTAAAGTATTGATACTTACCAAAGCAAAATTGTATTTACTGTAAATTTATATTAACTATACTAAGCCTGAATCATTCATCACCAAGTGTAGCCAGCTGATAAGTTCATGAAAACTAGATGTTACTAAATATGCACCATGTTTAGTAATATCTAGTCATGGTAATTTTTATGTTTCTTATGCTATATCCCATTTGTTTTAAGTTAAATGACTTTGTTTAGAATGGCAATACAGTAAATGCTGATTTTCTTATTTTCCATCTGACCATATGACCACTTGTCATACCTCTCTGGACACTTATCTTGATTAGGGTGCATATTCTCCACTGGCGAGTGAATAACATTAAAAGATCTCTAAGTGATGATGTTCTATGGTAACATCTTAAAACTACCACTGCTCAGTTTAAGCCATGATCATGGTGCACATTATTTGCACCACAGTTTGAACTGTCCATAGATAATAGCCGCTCCCTGTATTTACTGGTTGCTTCCTCAAAGCCTCAGTACCAACTTTGTCACCATGTTAGATGCATGTGGTACAATTCTGCAAATCTCCCTTCAGCCCCACCAAACATGCCACACAGCTACCAAAGATAGTTGGTAAAATTAAATTTAAGGTTAACATACATTTTTTTTTTCGTAATTTAGATTACCAAGTTTGGTATCAATGGAGAAGTTATTTCTTGCAGATGAAAGTAGTGAACAAAGAACAAGTGCCCTAAGGAAAAAATTAGAATGATGATGACATTTATCGACTGTAGATTATGTCTATACTGTACTGGCCACCTGATGGTATCTACCTTTCTTGGAGCCAGTCATGAGGAACTAATGAGAGAGCTTGGGACATACTGTAGTTCCTACTGCCAAAAGGCCTAAGGAATTTTTTTAATGTGGATTCACTTTGCATGTTTTTTTTTTTTTTAGGAATAGAACCTAACCTAATAGCCAAGTAAATTAAGGGTAAACAATACTGTATAGTAAAAAGAAGGTTTTTTTGGGAGGAAGTTCTTGTGATATTTGATGCTGGGTTATGTGAAGTGGCAGTGATAAACCAGATGGATTTCTTGGGGCTATGCTTTGTTGTGGAAGGGAACACTAGAACAAATTTATTTATTTATTAATGTTTTTTTTTTTTTTTTTTTTACGGGGAATAGCCGACCCGGGAACAGGTCATAGACCCACAACAGGGCCTAGGGGGCAAAAAAGTAAGAGTAAAAAGAAATTAAAAATAGAAAAGAAAAAGATTATATTAATCTAAAAAACGAATATACACTCATGATAGCAGTTAAGAGAAGAATGATAGCAATTATTGGAGGAGTCTTTGCTGCTCTTGAGTCTGGCCACCTTGTTAAAGAAAAGGAGTGATGAAAAGTTTCTGCTTAACTTACGGGCTTGAGTCTCTTGAGCATCTGAATACCGTACTTCTCCATCTGGCGATGAGCTTCTCCAAATTGGTTGAATGCCTCATTAGCACTCTGCTGAAGCTCTCGAACTCCAATTTCACAAAAGATATCTCCAAACTCTGGAAACACAATAAATTACATAACCTGTATATTACATTCTTTTAAATTTTGTTAGCCATTCAGCTCCAAAAGAGTCAAGGCCCATACTTAATGTAATGTGAAAGTGAGAGTCAGCTCCATATGCTTGTCAGCCCATTAGGGGCAGTGTGGATACATCACAATGAAGAAAATTAGTTTTTCAATAAACAAAGATGAAGAACTATACTGTATGTGACATGACCTAATTTACTTGCTGTACACCGCGACCCAATCATATCCCCAGAGTTTAACATTTCACTTCACATAAGTCCAAAATTATGTCATGTAATAATTTTGATTCTAATACTGAATTGTTTATTTATTACTGGTAATCACTAAAGTACACTGTATAATTAACTGGAGGAGAGGTGAAGTGGAGGAGGAGGAGAAGAGGGGGAGAAGAGGAGTGGATGAGAGGAGAAGAGGAGGGGGAGGAGAAGAGGAGGGGAGGAGGTGGTTCCAAGTGTAGTCAGTAATTTATAAGGAGAAAAGTGTGCATTATTTAACATTATAGGAATTAGATGAAGAGAAAAAGGCCAACTGTGGGGACATGACTGGTTGGAACTATAAAGCAGATGGTGTGTTTGGAAAGATAGAACAGGTCACCTTACATTATACAGAACCATATATGGAACGTAACTTTTTTAATTTGTTTTATAGGCTGCAAATCATGTAAACAGATAATAAAATAATGATGACAATGACACAAATCTCTCTAAATGAAATGACTCAACCAGTGATGTAGTGTACACCATGCATATCTTTCCTACAAATGTGAGGTGCATCAGAATATTTCTTCCTACTTTATACTCTTCTCAAATAAAATACAAAATCCTTTACACTAAGTTGCTAATGTACGTCATGGAAGCATTCTTAAAAACTGTGAAGTTATCCAAACTAACATTATTCAGATACAATTTTACCACAGATTCTAATACTGTATTATAATGGGGGATGAGTTTCCAAGGCAAATTTTCAATCATCATGCCTTAACTTACACTTGACTTAATTACATATTAGAGATAACATTAAACATATTAATGCAGAATACTGTACCAATAAAATAAACAAATAGACAATTTAATGAACACAGTTACCAACCAGAGCTTGCCTTCATATCACTGACACATTTAACCTTCTCTTGAATCGGCAACAAATTTATGGACACATTTCACTTACTGGAAGTATTCTGTTATGGCTAGCCATTTCTACAAATGAACTTACTTCTATAGACAATAGCTAAGTCAAAAAATGCCTTTAGCAGCCTCTTAGTGTGGTCCATGAGTGCTTGATACATTTCTTCAGTCCTCTGTAAGTCATCCAACTTCTTGACCAAGGAATCATTGCAAAGAATGGCACGAGAGAGTCCCAGGGCATCTGCTGTCGAGGACGACAGATTCTCCACCAGTCGATGCTTCACTTTTTTCATGGCAATGTCCAAGGTCTTGCCTTGTTTGGGGTCAGCATGAAGTTTGTTGTACTGGATGGTGACAGAACCCTGAAAATGAAATCAACATAGTACAGTACAACTGTACAAAACTAGAAGCCTAAGGGATGAGAAATAGAGGGTTGATCCTGATATCCTTACTAGTATTTTCCTAGCTGAACCTATACCCATTTAGCTTTAATTATCACACTTGCCCACTGTTCTTTGCCCCCATTTGACACATCAAAGTCTATCTTATGATTGCCCATCCCTCCCTATCACAACAGCTGACCTCAGAAGAGGGTGATTAGAAGCAGATAGCATAATGTGGGCAAAGCTATCTAGTCAGTATTTAAGGCCATCTGAATGCAGGGTCAGCTAGAAAATAAAATTTCAAGATCATTCCTTTATTTCTAACTACCGGTACGTATAAATTCTTTGTCAGACAGCTCTCATAACAGACAGCCAGCTACAACACTGGGAAGAGAAGCTACATATGTTCCATTGATAAGGTCAACATGCACCCTAAGAGAGGAATAGGGTGGGGGTATGCTGGTTTTAAACTGTAACTCTCCCTTACTATATAGTTTATTCAGTGTTGTCCTCGAACCTTCACAGAGCTTTCAATTCCAGAGCCCCTAAAACCATGGGTCAGGGGAAGTCATCAACAAGATCCCAAGAATCAGTGTGCAGTAAAGGTTATCTTGCTTATCTTGCAATGACCTGAAGACGGTCATACATACAAACTGAATAATCCTCTACATATCACCACCACCTTAACAGGTAGTAGGCAGCTACCCTGTCCCAAACAGGGAGGTACTACCACCAGGGAAGATATTGGAAGCATATGTGTTGTCTAATGGTAGACCCTGCTGCCATATGGCACCACGAAAATTGTGACCAAGTTCCAGGTTGCTGATCTGACTTTCTGCTTCATTTACACACAATTGCAGGGTCCAATTGTTTCTCTTTCTTTGACAACACAACATACTGTACATATATCGTTTCTCACTATTGATCTTTTTTCAATTTTTTATAACTTTAAGGTTCTTTATTATTATTATTGTTATCAGTGTTATTATTAATATTGTTATTATTATTTATTTTTTATTTTTGCATTTATTATAAATTTTAATTACTTTGAACTGATTATTATTATTATTATTGTAATTATCATTACGTTTTCGCGCCCCAGGCCTCGACGTGGGTCAGTGACCTGTGCTCGGATGGGTTAATCCCTGTATAATAAAAAATAAAAAAAAAAAAAAAATCGCATATACAGACAAATTTCACTAATCCTGACTTATAGGGGGGAGAGAGTATCCAGATCATCTGATATCTGAATGGACCCTGTTAATCAGGACAGTCCAGATGTTTAAAAAAAAAAAAAAAAAAAAAATCAAGAAAAATAACTTAACTTATGTGTACTCAAGTGTTTTAATAACTTTGAAAATACATACAGTGTATAATATACAACTGAAGGTGGTGAGAGATTCTGACTGAGTCAAAACATAACTGCTGCTGTGGAGCAGCTGAGGATGACCAGCTGTGCGCTAACTGCAGCCCATCAGGCACACTCAGTGTTGCATTCATTTGGATTAAGAACAGATTAACATAACATAAATTCAGATGACAAGAAGCCAAACGAGGCCTTTCGAGGTCTAATTTCTTGTCCGGAGTTTGACCATATCCAGAAATTATATACTAATGGTAATACGTTAGACTAAACTTAGTCCCTTCGTCTAGTTATACTTCTCTGATTAAATCAGTAGTAACTCAAGTACAGTACATCATAATATAATCACGCTCCTTTTGTTAAAATTAATCTCTATAATATATACAGTATAATACAGTGCACCAATTGTTGTTTGCATCATCAGCCAATGAGAGCGATGAAAATGTGTATGCTTCTATCCAATGAGCGCTCTCTCTTCAGACATACATTTTTCTCAGTTGTGCTTCTTATGATGGACTACCTACTCTCTCTCTTACCTGAATGATTTCTGCAAATTATTGTGACTGTTTTTAGACCCTTCAAGTGACAGTGTTCCAAGTGTTCCTAAAGTTTCAAGAATGAGCCTCTCCCACACTGCCTCCCACTCCTACTGTGATGTGTTACCAGTTATTGATCACTACCCAAGGCTATATTGTTAAATCAATCTTAAAATTTTTTATAGGGTGTGTTATTATGCATGACAAAATGTTTGTGGCTGAAAAACTTAATTGTGTGGTGGAGGACTGTGTGGTTGACGAGTGTAAGTGTGTGTGGAGAGCTGTGTGGTTGACGAGTGTAAGTGTGTGTGGAGAGCTGTGTGGTTGAAGAGTGTAAGTGTGTGTGGAGAGCTGTGTGGTTGAAGAGTTTAAGTGTGTGTGGAGAGCTGTGTGGTTGACGGGTGTAAGTGTGTGTGGAGAGCTGTGTGGTTGAAGAGTTTAAGTGTGTGTGGAGAGCTGTGTGGTTGACGGGTGTAAGTGTGTGTGGAGAGCTGTGTGGTTGAAGAGTTTAAGTGTGTGTGGAGAGCTGTGTGGTTGACGGGTGTAAGTGTGTGTGGAGAGCTGTGTGGTTGTGTAAGTGTGTGTGGAGAGCTGTGTGGTTGAAGAGTTTAAGTGTGTGTGGAGAGCTGTGTGGTTGAAGGAAGTGTGTGTGGAGAGCTGTGTGGTTGAAGAGTTTAAGTGTGTGTGGAGAGCTGTGTGGTTGACGGGTGTAAGTGTGTGGAGAGCTGTGTGGTTGAGAGTTTAAGTGTGTGTGGAGAGCTGTGTGGTTGACGGTGTAAGTGTGTGGAGAGAGAGTTTAAGTGTGTGAGAGCTGTGTGGTTGAAGAGTTTAAGTGTGTGTGTGGAGAGCTGGGTGGTTGGGTGTAAGTGTGTGTGGAGAGCTGTGTGGTTGAGGTTTAAGTGTGTGTGGAGAGCTGTGGGTTGACGGTGTAAGTGTGTGTGAGAGCTGTGTGGTTGACTGTGTGGAGAGCTGTGTGGTTGACGGGTGTAAGTGTGTGTGGAGAGCTGTGTGGTTGAAGAGTTTAAGTGTGTGGAGAGCTGTGTGGTTGAAGAGTTTAAGTGTGTGTGGAGAGCTGTGTGGTTGGAGTTTAAGTGTGTGTGGAGAGCTGTGTGGTTGAGGTGTAAGTGTGTGTGGAAGAGCTGTGTGGTTGAAGAAGAGTTTAAGTGTGTGTGGAGAGCTGTGTGGTTGACGGGTGTAAGTGTGTGTGGAGAGCTGTGTGGTTGAAGAGTTTAAGTGTGTGTGGAGAGCTGTGTGGTTGACGGGTGTAAGTGTGTGTGGAGAGCTGTGTGGTTGAAGGTGTAAGTGTGTGTGGAGAGCTGTGTGGTTGACGGGTGTAAGTGTGTGTGGAGAGCTGTGTGGTTGACGGGTGTAAGTGTGTGTGGAGAGCTGTGTGGTTGACGGGTGTAAGTGTGTGTGGAGAGCTGTGTGGTTGACGGGTGTAAGTGTGTGCGGAGAGCTGTGTGGTTGACGGGTGTAAGTGTGTGTGGAGAGCTGTGTGGTGATATGAATGGTTTATGCACCTAATATCTTTCTTACTGATCTTTTTTTTTAAATCTAAATTAACATTTGATTGTTATTATTTATTTATTTGATAATTCTTTGTGTGTAAAGACAGCTGTTCCCTTACTTCTGGCAGTGAGCAAACAGCATTACCATAGAAACAAATGCACCATTCCTCTACCACTTAACCATCTCCTTCATCTCTACCACCACCACCACTTGTCATTCTTTCAATGATGAAGAGATTGTAAGATGTCCAGAATGGAAGGAAACACCAGAGTAATGGCTGTCACTTTACTGAGAGTTCTTAGCATGAGTCTTGGCTGTCACATACTGAACCCACGAGAACCACACTCCACACACCGACCGCTCTCCTCCACTACCAGGCAACGCCCATCTCACTGGTACAGCCAAAGTAATATGGCAACACTTAACGATGACTCACCGTAGACCTTTGGATGAGATGGGCCACCTCCTGTTTTGACTTGCCCTTGACGTTGACCCCATTGACCCCACTGATCTCGTCTCCACTCTGGAGGGTCCCTTCACGTGACGCTGCAGTGTTGTCGAAAACCTGATACGATAACATTACTGGTGATGAGTTTTGTAAATGTAATTAGTATAAGTTACATGAGCTTCAGCTATCTGAAGCCAAAATGCATCATAACAGTAGAATACAGTACAGTATATACTAGTGATGAAGTCACGACCAAGACTGAGACCGAGTCTGAGACCACAAATGAGAGCATTTGTCATTTTAGCCCATAAGGATCATCAGAATAGTCCAGAGTGCTCACCTTGGCTTCACCTGATCTCCTCCTGTGGAACAAACTAATCAATTTGTAGGGAAAATATGACTTAATTCTGAAGGTAACCTTCTATATGAGCTGGTGTGGGGACACAGGGCTGTAGGCATTGCTGGATCAATGCATGGGTAAGTTGGGCTCACACCCATGGGTCCGTAGGCTCAGAGGGGCCCCAGCACCACTCGCCAATGATTGAATACAGTACTAGTATACAAGGGATGTGTCATCAATTCAGTATCTGATTCATCAATAGTTTGTTGTCAGGCACAACTGGTATGGGTAGATGATTTATCTTGTTGCTGTATCCATCCACTGCTGTTGAACTGTGGGAATTTTAAGAGCACACAGGAATAAAATTTTATGCTGACAGTCTATCCTCTGAGAACACAAATGTAAATTATTCTTTAAAAAAAATAGTTTCACCACCTTCCCAGCACTGTGAATAAATTTTCCTTTTCTGAAGTGTGGGATGCCTGCAATACTGTGACTGGTCACCAGATGCACCATGATCACAAAGTTTGGTTCCTGATGAAGCTGATACCTCCATTGTTAACAAATGCACACTCAATTAGCTTTTGGTTTTTCTTATAACATCCATGGAATCCAATAAGCTGCAATCATTCAATAAGCCTACTGTCATGAACAATGGTACAGCATATAAGCTGTTCCAAGAGAGATTCAAAATTTTTCAGTATTGTCTCAGAGTCTGTGTGAAGGACCAGGATGTTACATCTCCTAGAGGGCTATGCCAGATCTGAGGTACTGTACTATCAGGAAAATGCATTAATAAAAAATAGAATTATTTACACAACTTAGTCATCACAAATACTACAGCACTTTTCACTCTAAACCACAACATTTGAATCTCTTGGCATGATAAAACACCACACTTGACACAATTGACAACACCACCACTATGGTGTCGCTGAGATCCAACCCCGACGCTATGAGTGAGTCTCCACTGCAGTCCTGGGCTTAGCAATGGAGTAGATGGGTAGAGGCAAAGAGGTAAAGAAGTGATGTGGTAGAATAAAAGTGGCAGGGAGAGTATGTGGCTGGAGCAGCAGAACAGTGGTTAAGTATGGCAGGACACTGGCAGTGAATCCGAAGCAGTAGAATGTTCTGTTGACGAACATATGAGAATGTCTCTATGCCTGCCCCTTGACAACAGTAGGGTTTTGGCAAGGATATACAAGAGCAGTGTAGTGTGGGGGTGTACAACCTCATACATATTCCATAAATTTAAATGAACACAAACAGTATGCCCATCCCCCAAAAAAAAACAGAATTAGTGACAGAGCTCACCTCAGCAGTCACATGGATGGATGAGACCGACACATGCTACCAAGATTCATGATTCAGAGATTCAGTACAGAGTTGAGCAAAATACACTGTAATCAAATTCTATTTCTGGGAGATAAGACTCCCAACATCCCTCAAATGGTGATTTTCATTAATTTTTACATCAGCTTTTACTCTCATTTCAGACTTGTTTAGGTTTAAGAGCACCATTCACTTGGTTTATTTTCAATATCCTTAGGCCAGAAATTAAATTTCTGTATCAGCCAAAAACTGTTGCTCAAGCCACAGCTTGATCTTGGTATGTCTGTTGAATCACATTGTGCATTTCTGTTGACAGCCTCCCTCTGTTCAATTCACAAAATCTTCAATGGGTGGACAATACCACTCTATTAAACAATCAATTGAACTAATATCATAATTCACTGATGCAAACTAAGACATGTTCCAATTTGTCCTCTCAAGTTTATTCTTGTAACATTAACAAGTCTCCAGTTATGGACCCAGTCACACTACATGTCAACAAGCCCAATATTATGCTCAATTCCATACCTGCACTACGTAGAGACAGGGGCAGTACTTGGCACCGCCTCCAATACTAATACCGATGAGATTGCTGTCATTCTTCTCAAGGGTGACACTCCCCGAGGTGACGGTCATTCCCCTGGTGACCAACATGCAGTTAGTATACTTCATCATGTTAGTCTGGGTCAGTACACCATGGGATGTTATTTTGTGTGTGAGAGAGAGAGAGAGAGAGAGAGAGAGAGAGATAGAGAGATGAAACAGACATTAACAAGAAAGCTTGTGTTCACCATTAGGTTGCATTAGTTATTAATATAAGTATCTTTCAATATACTGTACAGTATTGTATGTAGGAAATATCTTGTTCTACATGATTATGAAAATGATTAACTTAGCCTACTATTTTATACAATCGACTGACAATTAAAAAATATATGAGTTCAGAACTGGTACTATTTGTTCACACAGAGATTCTTAGAGTGACATATATTCATCAACACTACAGTACCTTCCCCATGCACATCTTGGTTAATGTCTACACCCAAGACTCATGCAAAATAAAAAAGAAACCTTTCACCACAAGCAACATATAACATTAAACACAAGCAAACCACAAATCAGCAAAATATAAATACTACTGTACAGTATAAGCAGAAGCAGCATCAACTGAAGCCTTTTATGTTCATCCACAATACAGGTAATGAGAATAATTCAGCATAAAGGCAAAAAGCCTAAATAAGAAACAGTACACTTAATCAATGTCATATATGGAAGACATTATTTTCCGCCCAATATTTTACTTAAAGCTTTATCAGCGCGTTCAAAAAGTTTTACCTCAGCAAGTCATAAGAAGTAATCACGAGTCGACTCTCAAATGACCCGGAGACTAACATACAGTACCACCAATATAAGTTTACACGGGTACACATACTGTACTGAGGAAAGTCAATTTTGAAAGCTTTGTTATATAAAAAGCCCAATGACATGAAATAATAATGTCCACTACCTCATCATAACTCTTGCACTATCAATACTACTGTCCATGCTGATGTCTGAGTATGGTAATCAATTACTATACATTTATCTCTTTGTCATAGTCTTGGTCTGTCTAACAGAAAAAAATAGAGTACAAATAAGGAGAAAATCACCATATTTTGTTAGTACAGTTCTTCATGATAATACGTATACACTAATAAATGAATACTTAGTGCTCAGAACTGGACTATCACTGACAGTGATGACTGTTGCTGCTACAATTTGTACAGTACAGTACATCAAAGAAAGGGCCAGTTCTTTGGTAAACACAGTTGTTAAATGATCATTATCCAACTCTCTCTAGATATTCAATATACTGTATACAGTATTGTAAAGTTATTCACTCAAGTTCTATTTGAGCCACAAATCTTCACTCAAGCCTATGAATAGGAACAACAAACACTGGACAAAGAAGGTCGTGTGTAACACACCAACTGGTCAAATGGCTCGTAAGCTGATAAACAGTGATGATAAAAAAAAAGGGCAGGGATAAGCCTGTGTGTCTCTATACAGTACAGTATATACAGTACCATGACAGAGGATGTAAGGTCAAGTTAAGTCAGCTGCTACCTTTCAAAAGACAACATATGTACCAGAGCTGTACACACAGTAATAACATAGAAGTTGTCTCACACCACTGCTGTACACCCCACCACACAACATTCACTATACTGTATAATGGAGTAACAAAAGTCATGTGCGGACTTTCCTTAGTTTGTACATCTGGTGATGTAATTTGTCAACAGGAAAAATTTAGGATTAAAAAAGTCAAGGTGACAGAGCACCTAAAGTCAACAGTACTGAGGGTAATCTAATTAGTTTGACTAAAAGATAACCTAGCTAACTCACTTGTGAGTAACCATACAACAAAATGTAATGAGCATGCCAAAGGGAGGCAAGACATACAGTACTTACGTGACGACCACAATAATAACCCAACACTACCGTACAGTAGTACTGTATTAACCCAAAACTACTCCAGTATTAACCCAACACTAATACTGTATTCATTTAATTGCTCACAGTTAATATCCAGGATGTCTTTCACTTCAATATCAGCAAATAACTCTCATTAACTAGACTACTGTCCTCAAGTTTAACAGTTTAAATACAGCAAATTATATTTTCAGTTGTGCCTTAACTACAGGTACAACTTCACCAATCTTTGAATATACAGTACAGTACTGTGTGAAGTCCTCTCATACAGACATGACATCCTCATCAGTATGTTAATTTAATGTCTTGATTATTGGAGGACCATACTTGTCTCTTAAGCATTTTAGGTTACCAAGCAAGTTTCTAACACACAAATAAGCTCCATCAACATCAAATTCAGTGAAGACCACAACTACAAAAAGAGAGAAAAATATATAAAAAGTAAGGGACATTAAAGCAATTCTGTGGGTATTTCAGGTGTTATCATCATCAGATATAAGATGACCGGCCTCTTACAATACAGGGGTAATTAGCCTTTATGATGTACTGTATTTTAGAAACAATAATGTACCACCATTGATAATAATGAAAACACATAATTTATTAATAAGCCGTTAAAGAAGACAATGTCATACCACCTGACAGTCCAACATCTCTGGTAGAAGTGGTGAGCACAATTGTACCAATATTACTTGGTCGTCTACAAGACAATAATATCTCTACATAAGAATCTTTTGTTTCTTAGATTAATTTAGCCTTCTACTTACATTTTATTTTCACTTCGAAATCCACACAAAAACTTTTCCCTCTCATTACTATCTTCTTCTTCCTCTTTAACCTCATCCTCCTTCCCCTTGTCATTCTCCTTTTGTTTGGGTCTTGGGAAGCAATGAAGGAAGAAACCAAGCAAACACAGTGAGACACAGTCGTCACACCACACGATAATACCACACATGGAACTTTATTAATATGGAAGCTTTAGGAATCTGTATGCATTGTTACCATCATGTTGAAGGGGTAAAAGATGCTACACCAGCTCTTACATTTTCCTCAGAACCAGAGAACACACTAACTTACTAACTTAAGCTATAACACAAAGATTCATTCAAAATGGTTAATACAGTATGTTAAACTTCGTCCCAACTGGAAATTGAGAGAACATCTCTGACTCACTTGAGCTACAACACAAAGTTGGATTCCCTACGGTTCATTCATTAAACTTTTCTTTAACCGGATATGAAAGAACACATCTGACTTGTTATGCCGTGGCACAAGAATGTTGGCCAAAATTTATGAAAACTGCACCGAAGCTCAACCATAACAACAATTATCGAGGATTAACGTACAAATCTTCACAAATATGGTGCCTGAAACATGTACGATTATACACTAAAAATGTTCAAGGTCATAACTATGTGTATCCACTCTATGTTTAGTATGTGGAGAAATTATTATGATTGTATTCTACCCACTTTTAGATCATAAAATTTTGAGGAAAATTTGATGACATTACATGGTTACAATACAATATTTTCAAGGTTCCTTCACCACCTATCTCTCACTAATTGATTATGAAGAAATTCATGAAATTGACCACAGTTCTGTCATAGGTTTCTGCTGATACTTGACTCTTGGTTCTATTACACAGCTTGATATAAGTTTATAGAGCTTATGCATTGTACTATACAATCTCAGACTTATTACATGTGGTAGTTGTCTTTCCTCCACTGCTTTGACTCACCACCTTCCCTCCTGGACTTATGATTCCCCTACCAGTGCTGGATTTAGGAGCATTCAGGGTGTGCTGTCAAACAGGGCCCGCATATTTTCAGGGTACCCAACTTTAAAATATAGAAAAGAAAATCTAAAAAGCTAGCTTCAGTTGGTTTATTTTCATTGTCACTGGCTAGTTAGTTTTTCTGTTGTTGGTATGGAATTGGCACCCTTTGGGGGCTGTAAACAGGTATCCATCGATATACAAATGGATTAGGATAAAAATCACTAAGTGAATTTTCATATCTCAAATAAAAGAACAAATAAGAAAAAGGGGATTCGGTTCCCCAATGACAAAAATACCTACCGAGTTGAAAAATAATCATAACATAACAAGACCAGACTTGACCAACACTAGAGCAGGTTGATACATTCAGGAGCCAGCACATGCCCAGTACTTGCCAGCAGTGCGTAACAGAGACGTGAAACACTGCCCAAGTGGCTAATGAGCCGATCAGTGGCGAAGAGGATAAAACATAAAAGTAATTCCTTTTATGTTTTTGACCTGATGATAATTATTATTTTTTATTTTTTTTTGCACATTCTGTATGTAGGATTGTGTGTGATTGCAACTGAATGGAAAAAAAAGAAGAAGAAAGTTATGTTTATAGTACAGTACAGTACAGGATATACCCGAAATTACGGGTTGAAAAATAACCAGAACATAACTCCTAGTTCAGCCTGGTAGGGAAAGTGCTAGGGAGTTGTGGCTGAGTCCTGGGGGCGCTCGATTTGAATTACTGCTGGCAAATTCATATAAGAGGTGGAAGCTTTCATAAGACAAAAAAAAGGGGGTAATTTAGGAATTTTGTATAAGTGAATTTTCGTATCCCAAATTTTTGCATATCGAGGGATACCTGTAATAAAACCTGTAATTTTCTGGCTAAATAACATTGCAACCATCATCATTATTTATACTGTATTGTACAATAAAACATAGAACTAAATGTGCTTCAGTTTAATAATATTACACTGGGAAACAAGAGTTTTTGCTACACAACTTGCTAAACAAGTCTTATGCAAAGTCTGGATCTCAGTGATTCAGTGACACCGAGTCTAACACCAACCTCTCACTACCCATAAATGTTTAATGTACTTTGTAAAACAAGTTCTTTCTTAGGTTGGAACATGTAAATTTGACACTGGTAGTCATTTAAGACAAATCACAAACATATTAAACTTTCATCACTGGACACATCATATGGTATGGTAACTCATATATGCTGTACTTGCAGGCACACAATAGTGTTTCAGTGAAAATGTAAATGGCACTGTAACTTTGCTTTAAACAACAGTGGGTGCCTGCTGGGGACAATGTATCATACAGATTCCTAATTTTCCTCTAAGCACGTGTGAAGTGAAACTTAAGACTGCACAATGCCAACTTAAACAAAAAATCATTAGTGAAAACACACACACATAACATTTAGTACAGTTATATTGTTAACTTTAACAATATAACTGTACTAAATGTTTTGGTGCAAAACTTATGAATTATTTAATGATTTATGAAGATTTTAAAGTGAGCAGTGAACTATATACAGTACAATATCACATGTGGCTGACAGCTCATCAACACAAAAGTGAAGGAAAAACTACTAAAAAAATATCTAACACATATTAAAAACAACATTCACTTAGAGGTAATCACCCAACCCTATTTATTACTATGCTACACTAGTTTCATCATCACCTATAATCTTGACTTAAAGCTTTGTGATGATTATGGCTACAAGATAAAACTGCTATGACAAAAAAATGGACCAAGAAAACATTATAAACTGCATTATTATAGAAATATCTACAGCAGACTACATAAGATCACCACACCAGGTACAGTATACATAAGGCCTGTGCATTTGCTGTAACCAACATCCAGAACTACAATACTGTACAGCTACACCAAAGTGATTCCTCTTACTTGTGGCTCTCTATCAGGTTTAGTCCTAAGGCTAGCCAGAGAGTTAAGATGGGGGGCGGGGGGATTCACAAAGACATGTACAGTACCATACTGGCAGCAAGCACCACACACACACCCCCATAGCTGAGAGACACATGCTGCCCACCATTTCCCTCTAAGCCTCAACTTGGATTTACCAATTAATTGTAAAAAAGAGCCTGAACTAGTCCTAGCTAAAGAGCAAATACACAGGCCTGCACATCAAACACACACCTCTGTTGTACAAGAAAGCTTCATGCCACTATGAAATAAATCTACACTTGTTTACATTCCATCGTACAGTAAATCCACGGTACTGAACAGAAAATTATCATCATAATCATTATCTTCTTCAAAGCTTAATTAGATTGTAAAAAAAAAAAAGTACTCCCCCTTTCACTGTATAGTGCTACAAACTTAAGAAAGTACAGTACTGTATAAACAGTAAAAAAAAAAAATTGCATATATTTCACATGAGGGTAGTACTGTACCTGAGGTGACCCCCATGTCCACAATGAATACTAACCTAAATGTTTTGCAATTATGGTGAAAGCTTTCCACCAGCACACAATAACCACACAATACAATACAGTACTGTACAACAAAGACATTCTTGATGTGGGGCACACAAGTTACCAACAAGAGGCAAAACACAGTACAGTAAATACAAGTAAGATATACAGTACAGTATTATATTGTGTTTTGCTCACTCACAATGCCTTTTGAAGTACAGTATCGTACTGCATAACATATGATTTACTCTATGTATGTGGTTACCATATTTTCTATCTGTACTTGATGGGAGATGGGGCAGTAAAATTAACTAATTCCAATATTACAAGTTAATTTTATCGCAACACCTCCCTGACAGAGCGCTGTAGTGCTGTATCCTTCGCGACTCAAATTTTTTAAAACTCTGGTTGTAAACACGATGAATCATTTCAACAGAAGACGGTGATTAAATCTCTGGGCGTTAACCCCTTGAGGATGGTGAAAACGGATTTGGTCATCATAATTGAAGGGTTAAGACATCATACTCAAGAGGTTATCATTGTACTGTACTCATTGGATTAAAAATGAATGTAGCATTTAGAAAGACTGGAGTGTGTTAACTCAAACCTTAAGGGAAAACAAAAACAAAAATATAGAGTGACTTAAGGTGTAAGTTTAACCCGTTCACTACAGGGACACCACTTTTAAGTACAGTAGTACTGGGTACAGTACTGTTGTCTATTTGGATAAAACCAGACAATTTTATGCAGCAGAGTTGTGTTGGCAGCCTGACATTTATGTAACATGTCTGTTGTGCTAATTCACATTATATATAAATAAATAAGTACAGTACTGTACTGTAATTAGGATAGCTTAAGTGTGCAGTTTTTAATTTGTACTGTGGGGAAAAAGAATATTGTGATGAATCACCAAAATGGTGCCTTGGTTAAAGTTACAAGTATATAGTTAGACATGGAATTCACAGAAATGGCTCAGCATTTTGGGGGGTAGGCTTTAGGACAGGCATTGGCCTAAACATGAATTATCAGCTAAAATTGAGGGTCAACTAATCTGCCAGAATGATGTGTACCCGTATATCTCGGCCTATAAGGCGTCGGGGTGCATAAGACGGCCCCCCCAAATTTCCATTTAAAAAGTAGCTTTTGAGCTCTAATCGCTGTATAAGACCAGTACCCCAAATGTGACACTTACCCACTGACTCAGTAGTCCTTTACCAACCATCCTTAGTTTTTAAAAAAAAAGGCCAATTCACTTCAAGTAATGTCATCAAATGTTACCCGCTGGTGTAGTGTAAACACTAGTGACGTCACTTAAGCGTCTGTATTTAACTGTCGGTAGTTTCAAGAATTAATGCAGTCATTTACTGAATATTCCTTGTAAAAAAATAAATTTTAAATTAATTATTTATAGGAGATAAGTATTATCAGTAAATATACCGATATGCATTACTGACCACCTCCACGGCTAAAAATAGCCCAATCTCGCGGTCACTTTCCCTTTCTTGTCTCCTCACTGGCAAATGGGGGGGGCGTGGGGAGGGGTGTGTGATGATAGCTGTGTTTATTACAGGGGTATAAATCTCTTTTACGGTATGTTAGACAGGTTTATAATACATTTTTATTATTTTAATATACCGGTAATCTTAATTTGAATCCAGCTTGCCAAACGTAAGTTTCAGTATAAAATAATTAGTGGTAAGACCTTGTGAGTGGCTTACGATGTTTTCATCACCACTCTTGACACACTAAACCACAATATTTAAGAGGTAAGAATTTTATACTTGGTGGTTTAGACGACCCCCTAACTTTGGGCAGATTTTTTTAATGTTCAAATTTCGTCTTATAAGCCGAGATATACGGTGTGCTGTTAATTTTTTTTTTTTATAATTGTTAACAATGATTCTAAACATTTCTATATTGATTGTGTAATTCTTATACATGTATCAAAGGAAACAAGGCAAACAACAATTATGATAAAAAACTACAAAATATGAATTAATGGTAGTGGACAGTAACAAAACAGCTGATCACAGCAGGACAGCAGATGCGACCATGAACAAACGTTTAGTACTTATTTTTCTTATTAAATAACAAAGTTACTTCAACAAAACCTTATTGCTACAATTAAAAACTTGAATGCAAAACAGACTGTCCATGAGCCATCCTGTTACCATAAGACATTGTCACATTCCCTTTGAAATAGTTTACTGTTATGTCTATAATTGACATGAATACTGTACAGTGAATCTTGGGCGAGTCATGTCTTGGGGAGAATATGTCTCTGAAACAACTGTAGTAATTCTTATTTCCACTCTTGTAAGCCCTGTTGACTTACTGTACTGACAAAGGGGTGGCTGGAAACTAAGAGTCACACACATTCTCATTTGTTGCCCTGTCACTCATTCTCTCAAGCTACAGTAACAGACCTGTTATACATCTATGCTACTGCACTACCCTAACCTCTCTTCAAATACAAGCTAATAAAGATCCAACACTCAAACAAGAAAAGGTCACTTACATTACAAGAGGTTATAACCTACAGGACATCTCTGTACAGTACTTCAACTTTAATTACGATAACCTAGATTAAAACCTTACAACTGCTAGTGATATGTGGCATGAGAACATCTCACACCTCAAAACAAGTTGCTGTACTTACTCTTCATTCTCTTCTCTGTCCCTGATGGGAGACCCTGATGTTATGCGTGTCTCAGGACTAAGAGATTAGTAGAATTTAGTAAAACCATCATAGATGCACCAACCAAAAATAAATCTACAAAGCACTAACTCAATGTCAAGTTAGGGAAGAAAAGATTGAAAAACAACCAAGATCCATGGACTTAGGTACAGAAATAAAGAAACACATGAACAGATGATTAAGTTTTTGTAATACAGTAGTTGACTAGAAATCTGAAGATGTAAATTATGTAACTGGATGTTTTTAGCTATATGAGGAGAAGCATTTCAAAAAGAAGGATGCAGAATGCTCAAGGTGTCTAAAGCCCAACACCACAACAAACATATATGTACAGTAAGTAGTAAGGTTGCCTTTTGAAAGTGTTTAAACAGTTCAGGGCAAACTTTGACTCAGGGAGAAAGTTAGATAAGGTTGGGATAAGCTATTTCAGGTTAGGTTAAGTTGTAGTAAGTTAGTACAGGTTAGGCCGTAGTAAGTTAGTACAGGTTAGGTCGTAGTAAGTTAGTACAGGTTAGGTTGTAATAAGTTAGGGTAGAATAGGGAAGATCTTAAACTGTCCTGAACATACCGTAATCCTCTAAAGAACACAAAATCAACAAACTACTAAAACAATGTTGAACTGCCTTTTTAACTGGGAATTCATACATCTTTGTCAATAAAAACATAAAAAAAGAAAACAAGTTCCACATAACTATAAATGAAAAACCACAGAACAAACGTTGAAATAACCGGTTAAATCACCTGCTGTAAACATTAATCACACACGTACAGGCAGGTGAAGGTGGACAAGTGTGTGAGGGAACGCCAGAGATGTACACCATCATTTGTAAGGAAGCTTTAAGCTATCTGACATCATCAAATTAAGAAAGAGCAAGAAAGCAAAAGAACTGAAATCAAAGTACCAGAGGAAATAAAGGCAACAGGAAATAAAAATGCAACAAATGCCAAAGCACCAACATGAAATTTCTACCACAGCAATAAAGTAATTTAGCAAAAACTGAAAATCAGACAACATACATGCGATCTTCAAACATGGAGTAATAAGCTTCCATTTCGTGTAGAGTTGTGAGATGTTCAGGGTCGTAGAAGGGCACCAAGGAATACTCATACATTCCAGGAAAGTTTCTTGACCACATTGATACTCATTGGGGGGGTCTCCACTACCTATATGCACCTTGGGTAAGCACAGTAGAGCAACATTCATCAGTAGCATCAATCTAATAGTATAAAAGTGCAGACACTTTCATTAACCCTTCCCTCACAGCAAACAGAAGCCATGATGTCACCCACTGTTGGGTGTAGTGTGCATGTACCATGATTTCAATTTGCGATAAAGAAAGCAGTACTGTATACTGTACAGTACTGTATCTTTAGTTAAACCAAATTTACTCAACAATTAACTGTCAACAGCTATCAGGTCAATCATGTACGAATACTACTGTACTGTACTGTACCGTGCTGTACTGTACCATACCGTACTGTACTGTACCGTACTGTACCATACCGTACCATACCATACTGTACTGTACTGTACTGTACTGTACTTGTGACCATAAAATCCAAAAATTAAGATATTGATGGATGATTTCTAATATTACAAAATAAAAATAATCATAGAGTGCAAACTTACTGTAGTAGCTACAATACTTAATGGATTATACTAACTGCTGTGACAAATCTGCACTCAAGTTACTGCATATTTTTAAATGACAATTGGAAGAAGTTATAAAATTGATAATTTCTATAATACAGGTCCACTACCGATTTTCCAGCACCCTTGGTTCCAAAGCCTTGCCGGATTATCCGTTTTGCCGGACCAGCCGAGGTCAGGTGATAATAATTCAACAATACTGTACACCTCTGGCCTACTAATTATACACCTCCCGTGTCTCTAAAGCACTATGGACTGCTAAAAACTTAAAACTCCACCACCGACACTTGTACCTTTCTTAGAAGCCATACCTATGGTTAAATGCAAGCAAAATAAGCTAAGAATCGCCCAGTAAACTAGTCTGGCACTCGCAGGAATTTCAAGCGCCCTCTCGTAATTTTGTCCGGACTAAACGAGGTGCCGGACCATCAGTTCCAGGAAAATCGGTAGTGTACCTGCACTTGGCTGACCACAATTTCACTCCAAAGTAAAAAACCCACAATGTAAGATTATTGTAAGTTTAACTACTGTACAGTATTTGAATTCTGTACAACATAAATTTACACAGTTAGTGAGCACATGAGAGGATCATTATGGTCTTCCTCAAATAATGTGCTAACAATAACATGGCAGTTTTCACAATATGGGTACTTGTATACAGGTCTTTGTATATAAGATTCAGAGAAGTTGTGAAGGGGCTGGGCATCAACTCCTCTTAGAGATCAATACATACTTTATGTGTTTAACCCCCTGTATATGGCATTGTCTCTGAGCTTAATAAAATTGCCTGGCATTAGTCAAATAAAGTATAGAAAGAGGCATCCCCATAGTGAAGGGGCTAGGGGAGGAACTTTGGTTAAGTACTGTCAATACATTTTCTATTAACAAATAAGAAAAAACTTTTGCTACAGGTAATAATTTGAATAACATACACATTAAATGAAGTGATTAATTCATAATGAAAAACACAAAGATAATACTTTCTGAAACAAATGAGAAAAAATCTGAAATGAGTGTACTGCATGAAGGATCGAAAAAGATTTGATAAAATGAATATTCGTATAGCAAATAACATAACATGGGTGAAATAGGGTTCAGTTCTTCAATGTCAAGAGACTTATATCATGGTCCTGAACAGGAAAATGAAAGTAGGCAGGGTACGAAGGATGAGGGAAATTGTGAGGTAAAACATGGTGAAAAACTGATGCTTTGACACTAAAATGACGTTTCTACGTGATTTGAATGTGATGAAATGGTCAATTTATGATAGGAGCCAGGTTTTTTATTTAAATAAAAATTACGCTTTCCTATGGTTTTTGTTGTGATTCAAACGAATCTGACCTTCATTTCTGGTGCTAACCTAACCTAATCACTGTGATTGGTCAATGCAATATGTGTCATCGCTAACTGGCTATGGCCTTACCACAATGCAAGACATTAAATAAATTATGAACAGGCCCCACATTTCCAACAATGTATCATTCTCCTCCGTTCATCGTTTACCTACTGCCGAGAACAGAGCTCTTCAAGGAATGCGGTGGCTTTTTAACTCGCTATATCTCCACTATTTCTCGTCAGCTCAGAAAGAGTCTTAGAAGAAATCTGTCTTATTTTTGTTAGGTAATGTGGTAGCAAACAATAAAATAACGGAATTCGAAACCTGACTACAGTACTGTACTGTCCTAAATTGACCAAGGAAATTAATTACTTACTGTACATTAAATATTCTCCTGAAAAACCTGCCACTGTCAGCGTTGTCATCTGCTCTATGTTTGTTTACCTGCAACAACAGACCCGCTCAGTCCGAGTGTACTCACACATCCACAAAAAAACGTAAAATTACACAGGGATGCTTCAATAAAGTTACTTTCATTGTTACTATATATCAAAATTAGTACTATCTATTTAATATGGCGAGAAGTCCAGGGGGTAAGGTAGTTAGGTTAGGTTTCTTTGGTAGGTTAGGTCAGGTTCTATAAGGTTCTGTGCATTATCGTATCATTTTTATTGTGGTAAATTTGCACTTGCACATTCCACTCTGTTAGAAAGTAAAAAATAAATTTTTCTAGTGTATTTGTGTGTTTAAACCGAATATGACCTTCATTTCCGTCGGAAATTGGCTGTTTTTTTATCGATTTATTTTCATGGGACGCTTTCCGAAAAAAAATAATGGCTAAGCGAATAAAAAAAAAAAAAACGCTAGAAAAACCAAAACCAAACCTAACTGACTCTCACCACATGATGGAATCACCTATTTCTTACCTTATTGCCGTCTCTTCTTTGTCTTTGGGATAAGGGACGAGTTAGGACACATGTTGTTTTTTGAGATATTTACATTGTTTTGCACTTAGGACACTTTACTAATGTTGGAAGAACACCATGCGATCGAAAAAATGCAACAGTTTCTTCGTTTAAAAAAAAAAAAACTCGCAATAAGCTGCATATAATTTAAGTGACATCCATCGCAGACTTCCATGGTCGGAACTGAATTTGAATTTCGAAATACGAGAGACCCAAAATAAAAATTGAATTTGAGTGTGTCAAAAATACCGCGAATTAAACCAAAATTCATTTTAATTGGTTGCAAAAAAAAAAAACGCTTTTGATTGGCCGCGTGACGTGTACGGGAACGCATGCCCGTGATGATTTATGAAGGAGACACGCAGTGTGGGAGGTGAGGTAGGCGGCAATGGCGAAAGATTAATGGAAGAAAATAGAGAAATTTTGGATATGCTATCTCTGTTATTATACATTTGCGACGGTAATGTAATAGATGAAAATTATCTTAAAATTAGACGTCTTATTAGAATATGATAATAGATTAGTGGTAGGAATGTGGAATGTGAAAATGCAATAAAACCTTTATTACTTCCTATCACCCAAAGAACATTTGTGGAAAAAAATAATGAAATCAAACAGCAGGTTCTGGTGTTAGCCATCTTTTCCTGGATTACCGACCTATACTAGGTAACAAGATGTTGGTAATAAGATTTAGGTAACATGATATTGCTAACAAGACATGGTTAACAAGACCATGGTCAACACTCTTGCTGAGTACCACGTGTTCTCAACATTTGATCTAAGGGGCGCATACCATCAACTACGCATAAGCGAGTCTGATAAACCCTTTACAGCATTTGAAGCAAAAGGCAGACTGCATCAATTCACACGTGTACCATTTGGGGTCACTAATGGTGTTGCTGTTTTTCAAAGAGCCATAGACAAGTTCGTGGAGGAGGAGAATCTATGTGACACATTTCCCTACCTTGACAATATTACCATAGGTGGTCGGGATCAGAAAGATCACGACACAAATCTTGAGAAATTTCTTGCTGCTGCTGAGAAAAGGAAGCTGACATTCAATACATCCAAATCTACAATATCAGCAACATCGATCAATCTTCTGGGTTATCAACTTGGAAATGGTCAAATCAAACCAGATCCTGAAAGGCTAAAACCACTGCAAGAACTTCCACCACCTACAAACCGATCGGCTCTTCAACGTGTACTTGGTATGTTTGCTTATTACGCTAAGTGGATCCCGGAGTTTTCAGACAAGGCACGGCCTCTCTACAATGCTAAATCTTTTCCTCTGGACCGTGAATCACTCACAGCTTTTGATGACTTGAAGAAACTGCTTGGGGAAGCTGCCCTAAATAGCAGTGACCATGCCATCCCATTTGTTGTGGAGTGTGATGAGTCGGATGTAGCCGTGTCTGCTACTTTGAATCAAGCTGGTCGGCCAGTAGCCTTCATGCCTCGGATGTTATCTGGCAGTGAGATTCACTATTCCCCTGTTGAGAATGAGGTGACTGCAATAATTGAAGCGGTAAGAAACTGGTCTCGCCTGTTGTTGGGACGGCACTTCACCATTGTTACTGACCAGCGATCAGTTGCATTTATGCTGGACAGTCGTAGGAGAACTAAAGTGAAGAATGACAAGATACAAGGGTGGCGCCTCGAACTTGCATGTTTTAGCTATTCCATTTGGTATCAGCCAGGTAGAGACAACGTTGCTCCTGACACTTTCACTCGAGCGTTCTGCGGACCCATCTCATCGTCAAACCTAACTGTCATCCATGAAGGGCTCTGCCACCCAGGGGTTGTCAGAATGCTTCATTTTGTCTGGACAAAGAACCTCCCATTTTCTACGGAGGATGTGAAAAAGGTCTGTTCAACTTGTTATGTATGTGCTGAAATCAAGCCAACATTTCACAGGCCTACTGAAAATACCCTTATCAAAGCTACTCAGCCAATGGATAGACTGAGCATTGACTTCAAAGGTCCTCTTCCATCAGGCACGAGAAACTCTTATCTCTTCACTGCTGTGGATGAATATTCCAGATTTCCCTTTGCTATTCCATGTGCTGACATGACATCCTCAACTGTCATCAGATGTCTGGACACCATCTTCTCGCTTTGTGGTATGGCGAGTTTTGTCCACTCTGATCGAGGAAGTGCTTTTATGTCTCGTGAAGTGAAAACTCATCTCGCTAGTCGTGGAGTGGCGTCCAGCAAAACTACACCTTACCACCCAACAGGAAACAGTCAAATAGAACGGTACAATGGCATAATCTGGAAGTCCATATGTTTAGCTGCCAAATCTCGAGATGTTCCGGATACTTAATGGGAAGCTCTCCTACCCGAAGTACTTCACTCCATTAGATCATTGCTCTCAACAGCCATCAACGTGACTCCACATGAGAGGTTTTTCAATTTTCCGAGACGATCTTGTCAGGGTACATCCCTGCCAAGGTCCTGTCTTCTTACGCCGATTCGTCCGCTCAAGCAAAGGTGACCCTCTCGTTGATGAGGTGGAGCTCCTCGAGGCTAACCCAACGTATGCACACATCAAGTATTCAGATGGACGCGAATCTTCTGTTTCCCTCCGTGATCTTGCTCCATGCCGGATCAACCTCACCTTCAGTGGAGCCAGAAATGTTGGATAATGGTGAGGGAGTTGCTGCAGAGGGAGATACAGGGAGAACATTACTGAATCCTAGTATCATGCAGGAGTTACCTCCTCGTCATTCTACTCGGCAGCGAAGAGAACCCCAGCGATGCGGCTATGATGTTTGATTGATTATGTTGGCAGGGGTGAATGTCATATTATGGAATAAATTATGTTTGTGTTTACCTTTACTCTAAATGTTCTCTTGTTCTAATTGGGCTTTGTTTTGTTCTGTTGCAGATGTATATGGATTTATGAGTTGAATAAAGCCTTGATTACTGAAGACGTTTGATATACGACAATGGGTAAAATGAAGAAGGTAAAAATATATAGGTAAACAAGATATAAGGTAACATGACGTAGGTAAATGACTTAGGTAATTAAAACATGGGACACTCACAGTTTGTCTTCCTCCAGGTAAAACTCGTCCTCAAACTCCATGTGGAGGAAAGGTGACGTGACGGGAGGAAGAATAATGATGGTGAAGGTATATTACTACTGCTGCACCAAAGACGTATTTAGTCTTTACTACTGCAGTGTTTTGTTATTTTTCTGTCAACCTGTCTGACGTCTCACGGCTTCACGGCTTCACTCGAACCCCCAAACCTCTTATAAGGGAAACGGAACCATAAATCTAGGTAGTTGAACCTGTTTTTTGGTCATTATTTATTTTATTTAAACGGCTAGTAAGCTGATAAGTAGTGAAACTGATAAAAATGTTTTCATCTATATAGAGGGATCGGGGATTCATGGGTTCAGTAATGTCTTGATCGACTCCCTAGTAGGTAGAGTTCTTGGGGGTATTGTCAAGGATTATATTAAAAAAATCCTTGGTATTGGACAAAAGAAAGGAATGTTAGTGGTAAAATACACGACCACCACCACAGATACACCCAATTTATTACTTTACTTTATCCTCTGCGCTACTTATCGGCTGGTTACGTCTCTCTTACGGAGATGATACTGTATTAGTAAAGCCTTTGGTATTAGCCCCCGATGCTAGGCCTATTGATTTTTTTTTAATAATAGCATACTGGATACAACTATCATTTACACACAATTGCAGATTCTCAGTTGTTTCTTTTACTGTCGACAACACAACATACATAATGTATGTCGTTTATCACTATTTTTTTTATTTATATTATTTATTAATTGTTAATTATTATTGCTGTTATTGTTATTATTATTATTATTATTATATTCTCTCCCTGCAGGCCCTGACTTAAGTAAGCTAGGACAGTGTTACCAGCGGATGGGGGTTCCCAATTTATTTTAAGCACTCATCAACCCAAACACTTTAACTCAGTCCGTCAACCCCTTGTTAATTCAACTTGTTTGTTTATTTACATTCAGGAAGGCAATAAAGGCCGAGAAACTGGAACTTAAAAGTATATGCTCTCAGGTGTTGTCTATAATGAAAAGGAATGTGGGTGTAGGTGCTCACATGGTGCTCTTCCTAATCAGGATAGGGACAGTCCAACTCTATAGAAGACAGAGGTTGTGAATTTGAATGGTAGACTAAATCAAAATACTAGTATGCAAAATAAAACCTCTCCATATTACTTAAGAATATTATTATACTGACGGAGATTAAAATAAACTAATGTACACAACTTATAAATCTAATGCCACATCAAGTATTATAGTTTTGAAACATTGTGGCAACCCTGATATTAGGAATTTGTATTGTCAACAATAATTTATAAAATATATTAATAAAGTTTAGAGGAGAAATTAGTGTGTAACAGTTTATGTAAGCTCAGTGTGTTGATACATCATCCTGTAAACATTGTCAGCTGTCTAATTATTAGCAGACAATGTTCCCAACTATACAGAATAAAATGTGTTCACTGTGCTATATACCCTGAACAGTAATTGGGAATATCCATTATTGAGTAGTTTACTGCATTCCAATACTTCAAGCCACGCCCATCCTTCAACTCTCTCCTACTCTCATTCATGTCTCTCATCACAATCAGTCTTCCCCTTTGTTTACATTTGCTATTTCTGCAACCATTACATTTCAAAAGTTGAAACATTTTTGCAAAGTAAATATTGTAATACTGTATCATAAAATTAAAGCAGACACACTTATAGGAAACATAAATAAAACTAATTGCATTAATTAGTGTTTTTACTGCAGTACCTTTCCATAGTACAAGCATGTAAAGCTGAGGCAGCAATTTTAGTGCAATAAATTTTACAATTGTAAAATAGTTTCACATTGCTTTTGTTTTCCTCCCCTGCAGTCCAACTGGGTGATTTCTAATCATGGCCAGGGGCAAAATATAGCTACGGTAAATCCTAGCAAACGTGGAGATAAGGCCAAGTTAATACATTTCTCATCTTAGTGATTGGGTAATAGATCTGGGTTGCAGAAGAAATTCCTCTCTACATCTGGACTACAATATTCTGTACATATCCAGGCAGCGTGAACCAATACCTAACACTACAATGCTAAAAATCACACCAAATTTCAAGAATTAAATTGTTTATGGTCTTTTTTGGCATACCATTCAGGTCATATTGATTTTCTTCTGCTTGGTATCACTTTTTAATATTGACTACTGATATAAGTGTGGCTCGATTAAACAGCATGCTCTTTCAATATTCTTAGTCAAAAGAATATGGGAGAACAAACTTTCACCTCACAATGACCAATGGCAAGACAATGTTTACCACCAGCATACATCAGCTGTATTGGTGACAGAAAATTAACCTTCAATTCAAACTTGATTAAGATGTTTAAAAATTTTCTCTTCAAGGAGTTCTAGCATTATTTATCCAAGGCAATGGTGCTGATGGCAGGTAAGATGATGTAAAGGGTAGTTTATGGTGTGACATAACTGGATGAAGTTAAGGTGACTGGCATGCGTGATGACATAAACCTGGATAGCTCTCCTGCTGGCAAGGATAAACTTAAGGCAACAGTGGGATGGATAAAATGTAGCTGCTCTCATAACTACACTTAAAATAATAAATAAATTAGCCAAATTAAATACTAGAATGTTCTCCACCAGGAATGGACTTAAAAACTTATTAAAAAAAAACTACAAAAATTGTACCTTATACCAAAATTAATAAGGGCACTGTAGAACATCTTACACTCAATTTTAAAGCTGAAAGAGATCACTCGACCTAATGTAGGAGTGAATGCTGATCTAACGTTAGGTGAGGGACATGACAAGTAGCGTCACAGGCCACTATTAAAAACAAAACACAATAGTAATATATCTACATAATATGTTGGAGAGATTTACCATAAATTGTCTCAACATAAAATATATATTCTCTGAGAAGCAGACAGCCTATCAGCATATTTAAACCCCATGTTTCCATTTAACTATAATAGATGGAAATAAATAGGACCTTTCTCTGACTTTTTCTTTTAATACCTGTACAAATTTGGGACAATTAAAACTGGTATAATGCCTCAATAGTGATCTTCCCCATACATATCAACTTAAGTTAAATATAAAACCTGGAACAGCATCAACATGAATCATCAGATCTAAGTAAGTTATATATCAAGTTTTTAAGCCATGTTTGCAGCATTTTACTATCAGTACTAATTTACAGTCTTAACCACCAATAGGATATGTCATCAAAAAGACAAACAATAAAAAAAAAAAGTAAATAAAAAAAATGTAAGCAAACATCAGTTCAGACCTTATTACATCTTGTTGATCAAGAATGTTAAACACATATTCTTGATGTAATAGAAACAGCCATTCTGAAATATGAAACAGCTTCCAATACCAATAATCTGCTGACAGAACACACTATAGGTTCACTATACACAAGGGAACACAAAAATTAAGCCTGAAATTTGTACTGTACAAGAAATCCAAACTTCAGTTCAAGTAAAAACATATCAAATACTGTATATTATCAAATAATTTTAATCCTATACAAAATAAGCAGACCAAAATACTGTATGTATATAATGTATATATTTCTTCTTCATATATGTTTTTAAAATACTAATTAACATTTCAAGGGATATCAAATTCTAACATTGAGACCTACACGTGCTATACTTCTTAATAGCTGCTTCTACAACAGTATACATTCTATCAATTCACAGAAATTAATCCATCAAAACTCCTCAGTAAATTATCTGATATGAAACTTTACATTATAGTAAAGGTACAGACAAATTGTCACAGGTATTATATAATACAATCTGATTGTAAAAAATAAAGACATTATGATATTTTAAAAGTAGGACATCCTAAAAAGCCACTTTAAGCTTCTTACATTTATCAGATTTCACATTTATTACAAGGGCAGTTCATCACATTTACCTTGTTTAGTCGGTCCAAATATTTCTCAATTCCATGGGGTTTATCTTTTGAAACTGAATGACAATTTATATAAAAATTTGGTCTAACAATCTACACCTTGCTTCTCCCACTTCTACCATAAAGCTTGTCCATGGTGATTTTTACCCCACAACTTAGCATTGGTCAGTGGTGTCCCTCACTTTGTGCTTAACTACTCTGCGTGTAAGCTTTTACTCTGGACGTTTGATGATAAAAATGGTTAAAATTGTGAGGTTTCTGACAAGCAAATGACTCATAGATATTGAACCTTGATTCGTACCTCTAAAGGGTAAATTTTTCACCCAAAGTTAAAAACAAATCCTGCAGTTTAAAATTTTAAGAAGTAATATGCTATATATAAAATTGCAAAGAAATTATTAAACAATTTCATGTTTTTCCAATTAGAATCTTATCCAATGGAAATAGAATTTGTTTTCCATAACTCCACACAATTGCATCATTACCCCCCCTTTCCCTTTAAGCTTAAGACAAGATTTCATTAGAGGGTGCTGTTACGAACCACGCCATCAATTGTCATGTCTACCTACCCAGCACCACGAGCAACGCCATCTAGGGACGAAATCTGAGTATGACTAGTCTTAGTTACCACTCCGGGGTTTCCCTTTTCCATATTCTGGTTGTTGCGTCACCTCCTCCAAGTCTTCCTCATCAGCTCCAGTTCGAGGAGAGTTCAGTTCACTCTGGGAAGTGACCACACTAGGATCACCGATCCTGGAAACCTACGGCACAGTGACTACCTACCATCTTCTTCAATACTCAGCCTTACTCGTCAGCCATCTCAGCACTGCACTTAAGTATTGTAATCTTATGTTGCCTCCCACCTCCACTTGCTTCAAAATTGTTGTATGTTGTATAAATATGTATATACTGTTAAGCCAATGTTGCGTATGTTTAGGTAAAGTATGGTTAAGGGTAAATTATAGAAAGCTGAATATTTTGTTAAGGAATTTATGGTACTTTATTATACACAACAAAAACTCGCATCCTTTGTCTACCCTTTTATAGTCAGACTGTCTTTGTTTTTTTTATTGTTGTTGCCTGTTGGGATCTGGGTAGACTTTTAACTATATTCTAAATCCCCAACTCGTAACAAATGGCGACCGTGACAGGATCCAACATTAAGTGCCATATTTCTTCCCCCCTTGTTACTCCTTGTTAATTATTCCTCCCAGTCACTTCTGTTCACAATTGAAGAAGATGGTAGGTAGTCACTGTGCCGTAGGTTTCCAGGATAGGTGATCCTAGTGTGGTCACTTCCCAGAGTGAACTGAACTCTCCTCGAACTGGAGCTGATGAGGAAGACTTGGAGGAGGTGACGCAACAACCAGGATATGGAGAAGGGAAACCCCGGAGTGGTAACTAAGACTAGTCATACTCGGGTTTCGTCCCTAGATGGCATTGCTCGTGGTGCTGGGTAGATAGGTCATGACAATTGATGGCGTGGTTCGTAACAGTGCATAAATTTGGTGTTACTGTACTGAGATTGGTAACAAAATATTTAAATATTTCAAGAATACATAGCCACAGCTCAACATAAACAAGGGGTGGGTTCTATCTCAGAAATATGATAAGGCTTCATTTAGCTTGATGTGTCTGAAAGAAAAAGAAAAACTTGGATAAATAATAAAATTTAAACCTGTTGGCAAAAACCATGCTAAATATTCACTCTACTATATAATACAATAAATATATGGGAGTCAATTCAAACTTACTCAAGAGTCTTAAGTTCCCAAAAGCAACTAGGAGTGTGAGAATAAGACCAGATGATAAAGATATATACAATCATCTCAAGGGTCATGATAAAACACAAAAAGAGTTTAATGAAACCTAAATAGCTCCTAACACACTGGCACAACTGCATTTTAGAAACAATTAAATCCATCAACCAGAGTCGAGTGGATGGCTTGGTTTTCTGCCCACCTCCCAGTGTTGTGGAATATGAGTGATGAGATCTCATGGTGGATTCCTGCCACAAGAGTTCTGAAGATCGCATTTTCCTAAGATTGGGTAAAGCAAAGAATGGCTTTTGGTAGTAACTATCTTGGTCATGTAATTTTACTACCTTAAAAGACAATATAGTATTTATATCACTCCAAAATCCTTTGTATTAGAACTGGTGGATCCAGACATGGTAGGAAAGACAGCTACATCATACTGTACTGAATGTAGTACTGCAGCTATATTGTACTATGAGAAACATAGTAACATGGCTTCATGGCTTTGTCATGGGAAATAGCTAGTTACACCTTAAGACTCTCTCCAGCTAATTTACGATGACCATTTTGTTGTTTGTATATCCCGGGATTTGTCCATAAAATGTTGTTGATGATGACACAGAAAAAGCTGTTGAAAATGTTTATTTCAGTTAGTGAAATGGAGAGGTTGGTGACATCTGGCAGCTAAATAGTGTACAATGTCGATGTACAGTAGAGTACAGTACCTAAGATAAAGTATCTGTCCTCACTGTATGTGTATTTATTTTGGCATAATTAATATGATGTTCGGTCACCAAACGTAGCAGGATCAATATGCCACAGTGGACATCACAAGCTGCATGTAGCATTCAGGAAATCATCAGACCCATCCTGGCATACTTTTTTGAGATACTATAAAGAATCCTGATAATGTGAAATTTTTTATGTCCTGTCACAACTCTGTTTTGTTAACCTCCATTAATGTGACCTATAAAACCCAAAACAAATCTGACAAGTTTTGGATATTGTAACTGGCTACCATAAGTGTTTTCATATAGATATGAAAATAATCCACTTTCAGTAAAAACCTAATATTCGTTGTTTAAAGCAGAAAACTTTTAAGTTCATAATGAAATTGTTCTTACATGCAAATAAATAGATAATTGGAGTATTACTACCTCATAATATAGCCTTAAAATAAAACAATTCTAACAACAGACAGCTGACAATGCATTAAAAACAGTAACAACAATAATAAGCAGTGAATAGTTTAACTACTTACAAAACAAAAAGACATTCTTTCAACTTACCCATACGTGCACTACTACTAATTATCCGCTTCTGCATTGCTGGTGGTTGGTAGGGCTGCATTCCTCCACGAATCACAGGTATACTTGCATGATTTGCCTGAGGGGCATGTCCAGCACGAATTGGTTTGGCTGTAAAAAATACAAGAATGATAATAATTGATAAACACTATAAGCTTTACTTCCACATCGCATCCTCTCTCCTTCTTTTATTTCATTCTCCTCACATGTCAGGTGGTGATTCTCTACCCAGGCTGCTGATTGACTCACACCAATTTGGTGAGTACGAGAGAGAAAGGAATATTTTATTCCGTTAATTTCTCTTCAATGCTGTACTGTATTTATGAAAAAACGGGCATACATTATTTCCCTTTTCACTCTTTCAAGTTTTTTTAAGTTATAATGCAGGGTGGCCCAAATTAAGAGCACGCACACAGACACATGCACACACACACATATATTCTCCATTAACAGCGAAAGATGAGTATTAAAAAAAAAAAAAGGTAAAATTATAAAAAGTTTTGCCATTTGCTTTACAAGAGCCATGAACAATGGGAGGGAAGATACTGTACTGCATAATTATGTGAGCACCCTACCTAAACTCAGGAGACAGGTCATATGACCGGATTCCTTTGTTCTATGCCTTTCTCCCTTGCTTTGTTCTGTTAGTTGACTCAAGAGGGTCCTAGCATACCAGTTCCAAGATTTTGTCTTTCACTTCTCCAATGTGGTTTACTTCATTTACCAGTGTGACCATTACACTTTTGCAATATCATCTACATATTATCAGATCACCTTGCAATGTAGAATACGTCACATTTATTTATTACTGTATTATTTACCTCATTAGCAATGTTTGTAGATTTAAAAAAAATAGTTGTTTGCATAATATTTACAAATAGAATATATTATGTGGCAGCCAAGGCTTGGTAACTGAGTGTTTGTTGGTTTGAATAATGAGGAACAATCTGAACAGAAAACTAGTGCATATCGAGCACATAAATTCGGAAATTGTCGAATAATGTAAAAATATTCCAAACTCGGTTTATTTGAGTCACCCAGAACCCATTTGTTTCAAATTAATAAGAGTTTAGTGTAATAATGAAGGGTGGCCCATATAAACAGGCACGCATGCACACTTCCCTTATTCACTGCAATTTATTTAAATTTACAGTTGTTACTGATGTAATCTGCTATGGTACTCCCTTTTCACAAGGTCTCAAATATCCTTCCAGTTGCTTCACCCAACCCAACATTACCCATCAACAGGACTTAATTTCCCCCAAATCACTTTACTCATTTATGTACTGTAGACACTTCTTTCTGATGCCCATCGCCTCATCCTCCCATCTCCTCATTCTCCTACCATCATTGAGCCTAAAAGGAGGTCTTAAGCCACTAATTTACCCCACCGAAGCATTCACTCTTCAAATACCTTAAAAAATTTCCACAGTAATTCTCATCCTCTGAATATAAAAAGAAAAAAAATCACAATCTAGTAGTACTGTAGAACTGTAGACGTACCGATCTGAGCAGCCGTGCCCCTACGCTGTAGGTTCTTCTGCCTCACTGCTTCCTTAATTCGGTCAACTTCCTGCTGATATCTCTTGCGATCTTTCATTGCCCCTTCCTTAGCCTCTTTTAAAGCAGTTTCCAAAGCCTGGAAAAAAAGAGGAATTGGTCTTGAAATCACAATTTAATATTATGTCTGATATAGTACTGACTAACTCTGTATAACCACCAGGTATATGGAGTTGTATCATTCCTGAGTCCCAAGACTCAAACTTGACTGAAATTTAAATATTGCTTAAATTTTAAAATAAGATTATTGAATTTGCATCCAGAAGTTGAACCACTAACAGCTATTAATTGTCAACACAATTCTTGTGTGATTACAGTAGTCATGTCAGGTTATATTGTTAACCTGGTCATGTTCTGTGGTCACTTGGAACTGTCCAACTTGCAATATTTAAGCACTTGCACAACACTTTAAGATGAACCTTTCTAGGGAGTCAATAATATTTAAGAGCCCTAGTGATTTACTGATCAACAGTACTTGTTCAGCTGTTAGTTCGGCTTGTCTGATTATAAGCAGTCCTCCTTACGTGAATGAGCCAAGATTACTTGATACGGTTTCCCAGTTGCCATCATGCAAATTTGAAGCAAGTTTTATGGGTGAATGCCCTTCTTATCACCAACTCACTCTTACAGTTGAAACAAACCCCTTGATATGCTTGCTACACCGAGTTGCTTGAGACCAGTCTCATGTTAAAAAATAATAAATGTCCTCTCAAACATGTACTGTATATTAAGTTCGAAAAAGTCATTTTGAGATACAAGAGGTCTTCTGGTACCCAGATATTAATACTTTCAGGACTGATTTATATATACAATATTAACTTTAATAAAAATATTGCCTGTAAAAATGTCCAAATCAAAGCCATTAATTCAACCTGAAATAACTTTGAATTTCCCTTTCATTCTTACTTACCTTTACTCGCTCCATTGTTGCTCTCAATCTCTTCTCTAGTTTAGGAAGTTCACATCGTAGATCAGCATTATCTCTGACCAGCTGTTTATGCACCTTGGTTAACTGATCCAAGTTGTTCTCCAGGAACTGAATTTTCTGTTTCTGAGCCAGTGATCCACCTGACTCATCACTCTCCTCTCCTGATGCAGACTAAACAGGTAAAAATAATTTTTTTTAGACATATCACACACCACAAAAGTATTAAATTCACACTCAAGAGTAGAATCTACAGTCACATAAAACTTAAAAAAAAAAAAAAATCCTGAATAAATTACTGACAAATATATACAGTATCAAGTCAATTAATCAGAGTTCACTTAAGACAAAATGGGATGGAAACAATGATTCCCAATTTGCAGGATAAGTTATAAGATAGCCAAAAGTGTAATATTCCTTACAATTTAGGTGACGGTCATGGGCATAACAGATCCTCCACTTAATGTGTATGACTGATGCTGCTCCCACACTAGAAATACTTGAAAGTCAAATAAAAATCCATTCTTATTACCTTCTTCACTCTAGCCTGGAGATCCTGTACAAACAGCTTACGCAAATTGTGTAGCGTCTGCAGTTCCTTTGCCACGGTCTCTTCCAAGCCTTTAAGGTCTTGTCGTGCCTGCTCCTTGCGCTCGTGGACAGTTGTCAACTCACTCAACTTAGTAGTCTGGGTAACAGGAAGAAATATCATTATTGAACAAAATTTATATCATCAGATTCTGCAAAATATAAAGGGTGTGAGAGGAAGTTGTGTGCCTTCACTTCAATGTAAAATTTCATAGAGCTGATCATTAAGAATACATGTTGCCATAAATTTTATCTTTAGTCAAAATTACAAGAATAATCAAGACAAAATATTGCTACTCTTATTGTTAACCAGAATCATTTCCTTGGTGTGAGAAATGATCCTCCTTACACTAAAGGTCTCCTCCCATTATAGCTATACAGTACATATCCATGCACAGTACAAAAAAATTAATATTCAAGATCATGAAGTATCACCAGAAAAACCTTGTGACAACTCATGCTGATCCATTTACAGACACAGTTCCAAGACTGCAAAATGAAGCTTTATGGGTATGTGGCTTAACTAATGAAAGATGGTCCTGCTCTGAGGGTTATTTCTATGATGAAAGTCTCTTGGTGGTATGGACTTGTCCCATGTTACACTAATTTGATGTCATATTCACAGATCTCCAGGCTCTTGTTACAATAAATCAATGTCATAGTCAAAGTCTTCAGCACAGCATGTTCTATTTGCATTCTTTTGAGGGAAAATAGGCTACAGTTGTACTGGTATCACATTGACATGAAAAGCATTTACAAAGGTTTTTTTTCTGTAAGTCTTTTCCTGCTACAGTACAGAGTGGCCAGTCAAATGCTGATCCCGATTCTTTTGGTATTTGACAGGAAGTGTGTTACACCATCCCCTCGATAGGATATTAGTCCATCAGAGCCTTATTCAATCAATGGCAAGTCCACCCAGCTCATTTTAATGAATGGAAGAAAACCAGCACCTCACTATAGCTAGGAATGAAACAGGGGCCCTAAGTTTGTAAGGCAAAAGTTAAATCATCTATCCTTTAAAAATAAATTTACATTACCTGTAGCATTATGGGTAAGAAATTCAATTTGTAAAGCAAAACTTCTCGTGTACAGTATAACTTAACCCTACCTTTTCAGCAACTTCAGTCTTAAGCTTCTCATACTCAGCCTTCAGTTGCTCCTCTGTGACTGCTCTCTTTTGGTTCTCATCTGTTAATTCATCAATTTGCTGCTGTTTTTCCGTAATTTCATCTCGTAATGCAGCCAACTGAAGAAAAAATTAAGAATTAATTTAGGAGATGATATAATTATTCATATTAAGAAACAGGAATGTTGAGATAAGGTCACACATCATTGATAAAAAAATTGAATAAAAAAACAAAAAAAACAGCAATTTGGGTTGTTTAGCAAAATACTGTACACATACTGTACTACTGTAATGCAAAACAGATCTATCATGTATAAAACTAATACCAAGGACTGCATGGCAGCAATATAAACTGTAGGTATGTGTTTAAAATTATCAGAAAACACTCAGCTGTCCATAATGTTAAGAGAATGTAGCATGTAACTCCATTATATAAATCTGAATCTTAGGTGAAGATCCTTGTAATATTTAGAAGCCAATGTTCAAAATATAAACACGAATCAATGGACATACATTTATTATCAGAAGCAAGATCTTTTCAACCATCTCCCTTTTTAGGATCCCTCAATACCATGGGCTATCCTTCAGGAGTCTGGTGTTATGATAGACATCTAATTTTAGAATTTTATAAATTCTTACATGCCAGTCATACAAGCTGGGGTCATGGTGTCTGGGGATTCAATCCCCTACACTTCCTTGCAATAGTTACTCAATCCTGATGTGTCATTATAATGTCAGCATTAATAGAGTGCCTTGTATACTATGGTGCAATGTTTCAAGGAGTGAAGCGTAGCCATAGTAGTGGCACCTGGCAACCTCCCACTACTCCTGGAGCAAGGTCACTGTGTGTCCTATGATGTCAAATATAATTTTCATTATCTGTTAAATCAGGCTGTGCAGATTATGTGGAACATTTAGCAACTTGTCTCGGGCAAGTGATTAATGAAATTTATTTGCCCAGAAATTTTTTGGCTTGCTATTGGCAATTTAGGAGGAAATATGATTGCCCAGTTTTCTATGGGAAAAGTTAACTAAATGATATGGCATCAAGTTAAGCATGCCCCATCCCCAACACACTCTCCATCACCTGGTTGATTGACGGTCCTCACAGGTTAACCCTTTCGCTGGCTGCAAATTGCATCATCGTCCTGTCTACAGGTGAGATTTGGACTGCACGAGCGGCCAGCAAAAGGGTTAAATATGTACGGGGAGGTGGAGTCGCGCAGCACCTGACAAATCACTGTCAGGGTATTTTCCTCCACAAATATTAAGCTATCTGCCAAGAAAGTGAATGGCACAAAGACAAAAAAAAACCCACTTGTCTATCCCTAATCTGGTCACATCCGGGCTGCCAGGCACGGCTACCATACATCAGCCTCTACAGTACTCGGCTGAAACATGTTTAGGAAAGCCCATTAAAACTAAAACCCTTCAATAATTCATACCTGTTTTTGATGTTGTTCCCTATGTTGTTCAATCTGCTTCTCAAGTGCATCCTTAACATGGCCATCTTGTTCAGAAACCTTAGACACTGCTTTCAGACGAGCCACCTCCTCATTCAGGGAATCCAACTAAAATTTACAGGAATGTATAAATTATTTATAACATTTATATTCAAACCAAAATCATAATTATGTAACAATAAATATGATGCACTAAAACTAAAGGTAAACACAGGTAAAATATCATTATAAATGAACAGTAAACATATTCAATATTATCTTCAAGGAATTAAGATTTTGAGATAAAGTGACGACTAATCATTATAGTATACGTAATGGACTACAGTACTGTACAGTACTGACGAACTGAATATTAATGTACAGCTTAAGCAATCAAAGAAAATATCTCCAAACTATGAACATGTTAAAATAATTAACACAGATGAACAATATTAATTTAGGTGCGAAGAAGCAAATTCCTTTATATATCTTATGCCTCTCTTTCCATTAACCTATACAGGTATCCCTCGATATATGAAAATTCGCTTGTACAAATTTCCTAAATTTTCACCCCCTTTTGTGTTATGAAAGCTTCCTCTGCTTATAAGAATTTGGGTCACACTGAAAATTCAAATCGCACACCCCCAGTAGTCAGCTGGGGCAGCCGCATCCCCCAAGCACTCTCCCTACCAGGCTCAGGAAGGCGTTATGGTTATTTTTTAACTTGTAATCTTGGGTATACGTACTATAAACATAACTGTCTTCATATTTTTTTTCATTCAGTTACATGCACACAATCCAACTTACAGAATGTGCAAAAAAGAAAATATACAGTATATATAAATAATAATAAATAAATAAATAAATAAAATTATTATCATAAGGTAAAAAACTTAAAGGTAGTAAACATTTCTTTGTGTGTGAGCAGGAGGGGAAGCGTTAAGGGCCGGCAGAGGCAGCCGGGCTAGTTGCTATGGTGATGATTCGAGGCAGCCATGCGCGAAGCAGCCAGCGTCTATGCAAGTGGCACTGCTGGCGGTTGTGTTAAACTTTGGTTTAGCTTTTCCTTAATAGTTTTAGCTGCATATTTTCATCTAGATAGTAATTTATTAATGTTTTCAATGTGTCATGTACAGTAGAACATCGATATAACACGAGATACGTTCCAAGAGAGGTCGCTTTAAACCGAATTCGCACTAAATTGAAGTGTTGTTTCAATGGAATAATTGTTTGGTACTTGAGGGAAACACAAAATACTAAAAAGACTGAGAGTCTACCCAGATGCACCTCAGTCCATCTCCTAGAATAAACAAAACATTGTTTTTTGTAGTATTATGTTAAAACAAACACTCATAAATCAACACAGCTAAAATTATGGGACGTTAAATGGTCTGTTTACTTGCGATTAGCTGATGGGAAGTTAAGAAGTGAGGTGATATGTTTGACAGTTGATGCCAAGGTCTAGTGTTTATTTATTTATCTGTCCTTAAGAGTGCCTTTAAGTTTTTCTCTTATAAAATGTCACTGAGCTGTCATGTTCTAATTAATTTTATTACAAAGGGCTAAAATTTTTATCTCTAGTGCAAAATATATGACATTTATGTTAAAATTATTAGCTGTCTTGCAAGGATTCTAGCAATGCAAATTATATTCTAACTTTAATCTGTGATATTTTATAAGATAAAAACTGTAATCCTACAACCACCTAACCCTGGCTGGAAGGATGGAAGAAGAGGTGACAGTGACACGTTTGGCAGTCGGAGCCGAAGGTATAGTGAAGTACTTATTTGTTTATTTATGTCCTTTAGATTAATTTTTTTTTATAAAATGTCACAGAAGTAACCGGGGAGAATATAATTTACATTGCTGGAATTCTTATAAGATAGTGATTAATTTTAATATAATCATGCTATAGTTTGCACTAGACAAAATTTTAGTAATCATTTAGTACATTATTTTGAGTACATGTACAGTACAGCTTTGCCCTTAGGACAGTGTAGCGTGCCCAGAGAAACATTAGGCGCGAATTCTAAAATATGATGAGCCAGATTTACTCGCACAAAATAGGAATATTCGCTTTAAATTAATTGTCCTTAATTGTGGGTGTCGCTTTAAATCAATAATCTTAAATTGAATCGCTTTAAATCGACGTTCTACTGTAGTACAGTAAATTACAGTAGTTGTGTAATATTTACAGAATCAGTAGTTACATAGAATTATTTCTTGTTTGTGAACCAATTTCGTGTTTGGGGTATGACATTAATTTTTTTGTGATTGGGAAACCGCACCCTATTTTTCCCATATATTCCTCTATATGATTCAAATATTCACCAAACGAATGATTTTTTTTTTGTTTCGGGGGGAATCTAACCCATTCGTATATTGAGGGATACCTGTATACAGTAAATTCTCCTACTTTTGAGCATTCCTTAACCATAGCATCCTACTGTGTTTACTACCATTAATCTTAAGCATATTCTTTTAGTCACCTTTTTACAATCATCATCACACTTATGTTCCACCTTAATGATTCATAGTTTCCATTACTAAACAACCACTCAAGGCACACCTCTTTAAAGCTTCTTGTTTCATGGTCTTAGAGGTCCATTACAACAGTTGTTGATTCACACCCTCAATGGGATCATAGTCCACTGGGTTTTCTCCCACCACTGGCAACCACAACTGATAGTGTACTGTACTCATTTTATTGTTAATGTTGCAAACTAATGTATATATGATACAAACCCAACCCTTCTATCCAACTGAGAGTCATTCCCAGGATCATTGTATTTGTGAGGACTACCAGTGGACCAAGGAGTCTCCTTCACTGTTTTTTACCTTTCTCTCCCCAGCCATCACTATCTATTCTGGAAACTTCTCATCCCACTCCTTAATAAGTTAATTGCAACTGCTTAAACACATTATTTTCACCAACATATATCAGAGTACACATACAAAACTAAACACAACTGGTCTAGGTGACTTAGCACTATCACTCAGCACCATGTGCACTCACCTGTTCTTCCAAGGTCCTCTTTTTATTTTCCCCTTCCTTCATGGACTGTGAGAGGGTTTTCATCTTGGCTTCATGTTGGGTAACTAGTAGTTTGGACTCGATTAGCTCCTTCTCACGTTCCTCCATCTGACTATGCATTTCCGCCTGCTTTGATTCTAGAGTTGAGCAGCGCTGGGACAGATTTTTCACCTCAGAACGCATCTTAGAGATGTATAGTCTTGCAACGGTGAATTCCTCCTCCACCTTGCCATCGACATCTCCAAGGTTCTTTAAAAACAAACCAACCAAAATTAGAAGACCTTTAACCACTTAAAAGGTATATATGTATTTAATTCACGGAACACACATAGCTATACTGTATATATAGAATTCACCAAAAATTTCATGTATAGTACAATGCTTTGGAACAGAATGAAACTTATAAAAAAAAGCCATGAAATAATTCAAGACGATGCATACTAACCTTCATGGCATCATTGGATGTGCCAATGATTGACCCCACTTCATTGAGATCTTTGAGGAGCGACACCAACATTTCATTTATGCGCTTCTTTTGATGTAATTGCGAGTCCTTTACAGTCTGAAGTTCTGATGTGGCTACATTTAGTGAGGCCTGTACAAAGGTATTCAAATTAAACTTTAGTTAACAAGAACCTTTAACAATATCATTAAATCAGGAGTAAGTTGTAAATAAAAAGTTAATTAAAATGGAATTCTAATACCTTAATGACGTATCTGGGTTCAAATAAATTTAACGCCATTATGGAAAATTGGCAACATCAGTACAGCCAAGACATAGTGAGCCTTTACCGCATATAATTTGTTGAGATTATATACCTGCTTCTGACCAAGTTCCTCTGTCAGTGACTCATTCTCCTTGCTCTTGCGTTCCACTTCTTCTGTTTTCTGATCATAATTGACAGCCAACTCCTCCAGGGCCTGTAATACTTCCTTCACTTCCTCCTTGGCCTTCTCGTTCTCATTAGTAAGCCGGGTCATCTCTGACTGCAGAAGCTCATAGTCACGCCGTGTCGATGATATCAACTAAAAATATAACAAACGTCAGGTTCTGTCCATCATCAAGTACAGTACATCAGTAACCTGAAACATGCTTGCAAAGCAATACTAATATATCCATCGTATGCATTTTACACAAAAAAAAAGGATAAATGGTCTGAAACTGAGCTGTATATGAAAAAAGTACACTATTTAATACTAACATAATATGATCAATTAACAAGAAAATAAGAAGTAATACAAACTAAATTTTTCCACTTAGATCATTATACTGGGACAACTGAAATAAAATATGGCCACCCAATGTCCACCAACAAAACACACTACTGGAGTCAGTTTCCATACCTCTTCTTGCTCAAGCATTTGTTCCTTAAGTTTCTCCACTAGTTGTGACTGATGATTGATCTCATCATCCTTCTCATCCAAATTCTGGTAAAGACGCTCTCTCTCCCTTCCCCATTCTTCTGCATCACCATCAACAGCAACAACCACCGTTGGAGCCAAAACTGGAGCTGTGGTAGACATACAAATCACATATCAGTACACAAGTGAACCAAGATGATGACAGGGGAGACACATGTCTCAATACTTGCCAAAGCAATGTTTTATTAAATTCTCACATTTCCAATTGTTACATTACTCATTTATTAATAACCTCTATATCACTGAAAACTATTTCTAAAAAGTTAAGATAGTATGGACATAATGGAGAACGGAAAATGAAAGACAAAAAAAAAGTATAACAAAACATCAAAGCTTTGACCAAATGGAGCAGTCATGGTATGCCATTAATCGAAAATGCCAAATAACCGAATTCCCCCCTCCCAACCCTCAAATTAAGCACTTCCAGCCTCACCCCAGTCAAGGCCTGCATCTCTTGCCCCATCCTGGTCTATCCACAGCAGAAATAAACAACCATAGGTGTTTTGTGCTGACACCTAGTTCCCTTGCTCCCAGCCTACATACAGTACAAAATAAATGAAATTCACAATAACATAAGTAATACCTTTGCAGCTGTGCATTCTATTATTGTAGCTTATTTACATTAAGTGTACAGTAAACCCTTACCAAACTGTAGTACAGTACTGACTCTTAATAGTTAAAGCACTAGGGCTGACGGGTCTGGCATGAGTGGGTGCATTATAATTAGGATAACAAATGGATTGTTAATTGCAAAAATAAAACAAAAAGGAAAACAAGGGAGAGGGATAGAGTGAGAAAGGGAGGCAAGGAGTGAGTGAATCTTTTTTGTGTGTGGGAGATGTTAGTAAGGGAATTATATGACAATTGTTCAGGAGTGCATTAACAGTTACTGGTTGGGCCGCTGCATCGACCGAACTCATGTGGGCTAACAAAGATTTCACGCAATTAGATGTTTGGTTGAAGGTCCACCGGCAACTCCTGCTCCCATGAGGTGTGTGCAGTACGGGAGGTTGTGCAAATGTATCTAACTTAGGTAGAATTTCAAGAGTTACTTCTGATGTTAACTTTGGTTATTGCTCTAATGATCTAATTTAGTGGTTTGTTCTGTTAGCTGATGTCAGTGTTGTGTGAGGGTTTGGGAGTGTGTGTGAAATGTACCCAGTTAATGCATAGTCTTAGTAGTAGTTTTCATGATGTTTCTGGATGTTATTTTTGTAAGGTAGTTTTAACAATCATGATTTGTTTGGACAGCTGAAGTGAGTAGCATAAAGCTGCATTATGGCAGTGTTTTATTTTACATGTGAAACATCTATCATCATCATACTGGCAATAAAATATCATATTGTTCATGTATGAGGATTATCACACATCTGACAACCATGGTGGTAACTCACTCACCCATCCAAGTGAAAACAGACTCATCACAGTCCACAGGTAGAGCCAGTGAAACAGGTGCCACACTCTTTCTGCAGTGCCATATTGGAATGGAGGAAGAAACTGATTTGTGGGCAAAGTATATCTTCATTGAGACTATTTATATTAAGCAGAGAACTGTGAAGGCATGCATGAGAGGCAAAGTAACAAAGGTCTACTGTAAAGGTTAAGTGGGATGACAGAAGCCCAAGAAAGAGATGGAAGGATGAGGTACAGGTATTCCCCAATTTACAATAGGATTTCCTGAAAAACCTTTCATAAATCATCCTAAATTTCCTACGCTTTGTTGACATCAGGGGTGAGGAAGTTTTTCAGGTCAGGGGGCCACATTAGACTTATGTCAGTACAAGAAACAGGTTTTTGTAGGAACAAATCTCCAATTAATTAATTTTTTTTGACTGGCCTTTCTTCAAATTAATCCTAAATTGCCAAGGTTTACCATACCACACTAGAAAAGAGGTAGACAGACACCTGGGCAGCAGCATACATAGCAGTTAGAGTGAATGGAAGATCGCAAGTGAGAATCTGTTTTGCTCTTGCTTCCAACCACCCTACAGAATATAGAAAAAGGGCTTGGAAAATAAACAAGTGGATAGAGACAATCAAAAGCAGATCATAAAACTCCCAAAAACATGAAGTACTGTACATTAAGGAGCCACACACAAATTATGCTCTGAAAAGGAGGCACAGGTGCTATTATAGTATAAAAACAGAGCCAAGAGGGTGGATAGGCAGAGTAGAGCAGAATGAATAAATACACAAGGAAAGAGTCTAAAGCTGCTATTGTTATATATGATTACAAAAAAGTCTACTTTATCCACAGACACTTAACTAGCAAGGATATTGTGAATCATTTTATGGAAGTAGTTAAAATCCTAGGCTGAGGAAGAATTTAGAAACACTTTTATCCATACTTTACCTTTGTTAAACTTCTTACCATTTAAAACAGCCCTTTTGGCCCTCACATGAATTATTGCTCTCACATGTGGGGTAAGATTCCAGAGTCCAATTTACCCATCTTATACAAAATACTGACTGCTATATCCCTTATTAATGACCAGTCCCTCACTTCCTCCACATCACATAATCCATCTTTTCACTTTCCCTTTTCAATTGTTATGAATTATTTCCAAATACATTGTGCTAACAAAACAATAAATTATTCACTCCACTTTTTTTCAAACCATCTCAACACATACCATTCCTTACCATGCTAACCCTATGTTGTGCAGGCCCCTTTGATGAAACTTCACAAGTCGCCTCCTTCATTCCTCACATACCTTGACTAAGGAACTCCCTTTCATCTTAAATCTTTTCATCAACTTACAACCCCCAACTCTTTAAATGAGAGGTATAACAACAACATAATTTTGAAGGCATTTTCACCTTTCTTAATTATGGTGTACTGTACAGGTAGGTCATTTCAGAGGATACATTATAATGTACACCTCCCTTAATTATACAGTATAAGAAAATGTGCATTACTTTCTAACAGGCTTACACACAGCTTTATTAATGGGAACTTTATACCTTTACAGTATTTACTGTAAATTTTAAGCATACAGTATTTTTATATGAACTTCATTCAAACTGTCTTTTTACATTTTCTTGGACTGCCCCCAGCTTTCCTCCTCTCCACATTCAAACTCATGCATCCCTGGAGCCAATCTGTCTCTTCCATTCTTTCCACATGCCTGAACCAACTCCAACTACCTCTATGCAAAACATCACCAATACTCTCAATATTCAACAGCCCTCTTAGTTCTGAAGAGGGTTTCATATTTTTTAATTTATCCTTGGATAGCCACTTCACACCCATTCTCAAAACAGTCTCTCAAGCCTGTATATGTTATCTTCTTTAACTGCCCATGTTTCACTACCATACAAATTGCTGACAATAAACACAGCAACTCCATAAGCTTCCTCCAGCTACTTCTGAATTTTGCAACTGAGTTAACATCACCACAACCACTGATCATGCCACACAAGTAGCAGAACTCATCAACTGAGTCCAGGGTTAAATCCCTTATGTTGAGTTTCTCCAACCTTGTTAAGGCCACATGATTACTTGCTCATACAGAACACTTAAAGTGAACAAAATTCTACAGTCTACCATTTACATCACTGCACCTCTTGTTTAACCACTTCCACACTCATTACACATTACTGAATTGCTGCCAACATCTTTCTTGTAGACAGTACATGGCCATTTTCCACTTTCTACTTCAGGTTCTTCACCCACACCACAAATCAATACTTTTGATTTTGCTACATTCACTCTCAAACCTTCGATTCCATTCCATCCTTCCATTTCTTAATTTCTCCACTACTTCAATATTATCTGTTGTATCAGCATACAACAACTTACAGGGCAGACAATACCTAAAATCCCCTGATATCACCTCTAGCACCATAATGAACAGATAGAGGCTCAAGATAACCCCCACTTTCACCTCATATTCCTAACTATTTAAATCAATACAAAAGGTATGCCCAAGACAAAAAAAATTTATTAGACAATGGCATAATACATCTTGTTTCTTTCAAAATGAGTTAACAGCATAAAAAAAAAATAAAATAAAATAAAATATATATATACTGTATATATATATTTCTGTATATTATGGATAAGCAAGACAACGAATTAGCTACAAAACAGAATACTGGGTTAGTAATGTCAGGGGAACGATGTTCTCTCAATTCTACAACTTTATCATACTCTCAGACACTTACCCAACTGTAGTGATGTAGTTGAGGCATCCATATCAATAGCCACCTGTTCATCAGTGCTCACAGATTCACCAGCACGCCATCTCCCAAGCTCCAGGTCCATCTTCTCCAACTGTGCTTTTAGTTTGGTCACCTGCACAACAAAAAAATACTTCTAGTTAGCATTCCTATTACTGTAATGCAAATTATACTTCTATACCACAAAGTGAAAAGTTTTTAATTGTGTATAACTTGAGAGTAAATCCAAATGGAACTTAATAATGTGTCCATGTAGCTAGCAAGAGGCAGGAAGTCATGGAAGGATTAAGATGAAAACCTGAAAGGGCTTATGAAGGGAATAAATACCCGGTACTGTATTAATAAAGAGGTGATTTGAATAACACAAATAACTCACTATTACTTCCTACTAAAATACACTAACAAGTATGTGAATGCCATTATAAAAATCAATTTAAACTATCAGGCTGGATAATACAAATTATCCCATCGGATACTGAAAAAAAAAAAATAAGTTGGACTTCTGTAAGTCGGAAACCCCCATTAGTTGGAAGAGCTCCGGCATTGGGTATCAGTAGGGCGAGGTATCAGTTCTTGTGTTTGATGTCACAACCACTGCTCCACTGTGCACTCTATGTTTTGTTTGTATTTGGTGCTTCTCCAGTGTATTATTATGGCCACTAAAGCAAGTAAAGGCAAAACAACATCACTGAGGACCACAGGGATAAAAGTATTGATGCTCAGGACCCTACCAGTGAAGAGAAACTGAAGATTTGTAACAGAATCAATGGTGGGCTGAAGCAGAGTATACTGTACTTTTTAAGACATCAGCCAGGTTTAAGAAGATACTAAATACAGAAATTTGGCAGAGAATGTGGAAGTGAAAGAAATGTTAGGGCAATAGTACACTAGGAGAGGAATGATTGTTAAAAAGAGTTACAATTTAGAGGTGGACGAGAGGAAGAAGATAGGGAAGACCATGGAAATGAAAGGCACAAGTGAAAGAGCACTAGAAGTGCGGGTCAGGGGTGAGACATTAAAGAAGCAGCAGTGAGCATAAGTGAATGAAGGTAGTGATATACTGATCAAGTAACAAGTTATAAAGACAAATACAAGAAAATCTGGCAAAGTTAAAATTCATTCCAGACCTTTTCTTTTTCCCTCTCATAACGGCGTTTCCATTCCTCAGCTGTTAGCTCCTCATTGACCGTCACAACATTCTTCACTGTCTTGGCTCTGGGAGCAGATAATTAATTTTCTCAATATTTATTCAAATTACCAAACTACAAGCCTCGTAAATCATTGTCAACAATATATGAACCTAATTCCTGCATACTCAAGACCCTACAGATTTCTAACATACATTCTATCTACAAATAATCAACATGCACTTTTATGATATCCATTATCAGAGAGTTTACACATATTAATAATTATTAAGAACCCTAAATCTGAATCATGTGAGAGGTAAAATATTTTTTGTATATTACCTCCTGCCAAAGTCAAGTGTGGACTTTGTTTCTGACTCATTGAAGGATGCCGGAGAACAGCATATAACAATTGTAGTTCGGGCATTACCACCAAGTGATTCTTGAAGAATTCGAGTCAGCTTAGAATCTCGATATGGAACATGGGTTTTAGTGTTATCAGCTAGGGCAGAGATCACATTGCCCAAGGCCGAGAGTGATTTATTGATGTTCTTTGCTTCATCTAAAACAGAACCTTCTGCCCCAGTCTTGCTTACCTGTAGAAGGAAAAGTTATGTTTATATTCTGCAACACAAACTTCTAATTCTCATTAAAACAAAGACAAATAAAGAATCCCTTAAAGGTGTTATACCTCCTTCAACTATACCAACTTAAAAATACTGCTCTTTTTAACTTCTCTTTCTTGTAACAATAACTTTCCTCTTTCTACTTGGTTAACCTCGGGGGCAGAGTTTTACTTGAAATCTCTTAATACAATAAACTCCTTCTAACCTGGACTTGCTTAATCCGGATCCCCTTGCAAACCAGATTGGGGTCCAGCACTAGACACATACTGTATATCCCCAACCTGGGAGAAAACAACCAAAATCCATTCAGTATGAGGGAAAGTTCATCTACGTAGGGGGGGGGGGACCTGCCACTCTGGTGGCACAGGATGGGAACTCAACAGAGGCCTCTCAGTAAGCAGAAGTGTCTAAGTAATATGAATAGTGAATGAAATTAGCAGTGAAAACATTACCTCCGCTCCAACTTCAGTGGTGTACATTTTGAGTGTCATACAAGCACCTCCTGACTCAACCGCCTCAAGACTCAAATGACTCGTGATAATTTAATAATTAATAAGTACAGTATACACTTTATTATTTACATTTACTGTGCTTCTATTTTTCATCAAGAGACATATTATAGTGCAGTAATAATGTATACAATAAGAAACACTCTTCTACATTGCACAATTTTCTTTTCATTCTCCTATTATATAATGCTGAGGCCACGAGTTAAAATATTTATGGCTAGCAAAAAAAATGTACTGCACTGTATAAACTTTTATCCATAGCATATTTTCTAATTGTGTTAGAAAGATGAGTTTGGTACCATAATGACCCTGAATAAATTCTCTACAAGACCGAGTCAAAAAAAGATCCACAAACAAAATATTTCTACACAATATATTTACAACTTGCTTTAATACTAGTCCAGTCTCATGCATATCAATATTTCCTGTGGGTCGGTGCGCATTTAAATAAAAATGTCATATATTAATAATAATGTATTACAGGTTAGGGAATGTGGTGCCAATTTAATTTTGACCTATTTTAACTCACACCCTAAGATTTCAAAAGTTTTATATTCCCTAAAGTTAAACTAAATTTCCGATCATAAGAGTCCAAACACATGAAAATCCTATGGTTGGTTACTGAGATAGAAAAAAGTATGCAAACTTCAAATGGCTTTAGAAAAAAACATAATTTTGGTTGATACGCTACTCTGTCTCCGAGCGCCTCATACATAATACCCAGATATAGATGCCAGATATTGCCAAGTATTCAGGGAATTTTGTCTGTAACTGTACAGGACTCTATTCAAATAAGGATAAATAAAAAGAAATGTAATGTACTTACCTTTTCACTCCCAGCTAAATCAACAAGATAAAGCTTTCCAAGTAGTTTCTTCTGAGACTCAATATTCTCTTGTTTAACTTGAATCAGGAAAACACTGTGACTTCTCGAACTATGTTCATTCATGTCTGCACAAAAATACATTTATTTTAAAAAGTGCCATCACTATTTTTAACATCAAAAGAAAATTTAGAACTTTATTAGGAAGACAAGCACAATAACACAACATTGCTTAGATATTTTGAGAAAATTAACAGAAGTGAGCACAGTAAATCATTTAATTCAGAACTCTTGTCTCAACACTTTAAAGCAGAGAAAAATGCTCTGCTACAAAGTAAATGTTATGAAAAAGTAAATGGGTAAATTAAATGTTACTGTCTCCTAAATTATCTATGCCAGGCATGGGCAACCTTTCATCAGTCTTGGGCCGCATTACGATTTAGGTACATTATTTTTCTGCGGGCCTACCCACCAAAATTTATATCCTACCTAACCCAAACGTAGTGTTAATATTAGCACAGACAGCGAAGCAGTTTATCATCACGTCCACCTTAAAATATTTTCAGTTTACAATCGAGTCTTTTTCCCATTCATGAAACAAATCCTTCATAATAATTTTTAAAGTAATACTGTATGTTACTGTTTCTTGGCATTTAACAGAAGATGAGTGAAACATTCTGTGAATATGTTGATTTTTCCTACAGTTACAACATTTTTCTTACTTATGACACACCCACCAGATTAATGCCAATGTTAATCTTGGCATATGAGGAACTACAATGAAACAACCTATAGGCACATCTCTCTCTCCGAATCTATGGTCCACGATTCAATTGCGGGGTAAATAGTGGTAGTATTGACGCTTGGATATTTTTAATTACATCGTTTCAATGCTAATTAATTGCCAACTATGGGTTTCCAGGATGGAATTTGGGTGTTTTTGTGTTATTCTGAAAGTACTTAATTAGTTAAACCATGTGTGACCACTGCCCATGACTCCACTTGGACTTACCCAACCTTAATTAATTCCCAAGTGACCCACTGCCATATAGCAGCGAATCCATCAATCAGTCCGCACAGAACTTGGCCCGTAATCTCACACTAGTTATGTTTATATCACTGATTATATATATATACTTATTTCATTGTTACATTTTCATAGTTACTTACTCTTAGGTGATGAAACAGTAACAAATTGTGTGTGAAGACTATTCTTTTGATAAATATTGCTTAACTCCACTGGCTGCATTTACCTGAACCGCAGGCCACATTCAACAGATTTTCTCAATCACTCCACAGGCCTCGCAAACACATGGTCCGGGCCGCATGCTGCCCATGCCTGATCAATGTAATTTCGCTTACTTTTCACTAACTCAACACACGAAGCCCTCATATAAAGACATTCTAGCTGCATGTTGCACTCAGACAAATACATATTGTACAGTAAACTACCTGTATTCAAATGGGATTAATGACAAGTAGCATAAGGATTTTCAGCATTCTTATGGGGGGAATTAACCATACCGGTACCTTGAGTGTGTATTGGGAAGATGGAAACTGCATGGATGGGAAAGTAACAGAGGTGAAAGTGAGTGTAGTGGGGAGGGAAGCAGGCTCAGTAGATAGAGATGTAGGTGGTTATAAGTGGGAGGAGTGTCAGCTATAACTAGCAAATGATAATCCTCTGGTAATGAGTGTGACTTTTGTCTCCAGTGATAAGGAGTGACAAAAGAAAAACCCTTACTCCTTTAGTTCTACCTCCTTATATACTCACTTGTAACAGCAACATGGCGATTACTCTTGCCCATTTCTATTACCTCTAACACTTCTTCTGGCGATGACACAAACCGTTCTGTGGCACCTTTCACAAATGGTACACGATTTTTATCCTCATGTACAGCAAGATTCACTTTGGACACTGTTGGGAATAAAATTTAATTAAGATCAATTAACATTTAGTGGTTGAGCATGACTTGAGAAGCAAGGCCTGAACTAGTTCCTAGAGTATTCAAGATGGGGGCCTATTGGACTTGTTTGTAAAAATTTACAGTCAGGGGGAGATTTTTAATCAGTCAAGTATTTACAACTGCCAGTGTATGTTAATTTGCTACTGGCCACCCTATTTGATGGAAATAAAGAAATACAGTATAATAAAAACTCTCTGCAGGATAAAACTGCTTCAGGGGTAAACTGTCTAAGGGGTCAGTTAACCCCTACAACCACGAGCCACTCATTTACACAAGGCAATAATATCACGGAAGCTTGACTTCTACCATGGTTTATTTTTGCTAAAATCACAAAGCTAACAAGTACTGTACTATATGTGAATAATTATGGTGATTAAGTGTTCTTGTTGTTAAGGGAATTGTCCTGCTGGAACCCCTTTTTTTTATGAATGGATTTATATGAAATTTTAACAAAATATCTAGACTCATCCAACAGTTTCCATGAAAAATTTCAACAAATTCAGCTGATATTTATTATTTTTTTTAATTAACCTTCTCATGCACATAATAAGTTTTTAAGTTTCTGTATCACATCAAAAATCATGTGGGACCACTCATGTAAAGTCTGGTCATCTTCTTTCTGCAGCTAATTTATCCCATAAATAGCCTTTTTTTTGCATAATTTATACATCACTGGCTTCATTATTGTCTTGGCTTTAACATAAGCAGAAATAAATATTTAAAAGAAGACTACATTTTTTCCATCCAAATAAAGATAAATTATCAAACACCATTCCTGACATCTAATACAGTATAACTGAACCAGCATATGTGTTTACCAAAATAGCCATGTGTGCATAGTTTTTGTAAAAGACTGAATGAATACCTTACACTACACAAATACTGTACATCAAATGGTTTCTGAAACTTGTAATTCTTTTATCCAACATACAGAAAATTAGCACAGAGCAACATTCCTCGAGACAACTACTTACTTACCATCTAGTAAATCTCGAATTTTATCCATGTAGATTTCAAAATAGGATACCTTGATATGGAACTCAAGGTTTTCTTCCATGTTATAGATATGATTAAAGATATCTTGGATGATGCGAGGTATGATACCCTGGAGATTTGGGTCTCCAATAACACCCTCCATGGTGTGTGTTTTCCCCGAAGAGGTCTGCCCATAGGCGAAGATTGTTCCATTGTAGCCATTGAGCACATCTGTGAAAAAAGTCACTATTAAATATGATGCAATTTAACACCTAGATGCTACACAGTAGAGGTGTTACTAATAGAGAAGTTCATTTCTAGGAATAGGATATCACTCGGCCAAAATTAATAATTCCAGATGTACGATCAGTTTTTACATTTTATATGCCTTTAAGGAGATTGTTTTCCTAGGACCGTTCAGTATAAGCCTGGGATACCAGGAGAACATTGTGCAGCCCAAGAATCTCACAGGATTCAGATGTAATTGGTATAGTTACTGAATAAATGTGTTGTTATTACCACCGTTTTAAGAGTCTTCTGTACCTGATGGCAAAAAGTACACTATATCTTTTGTTTAAAAATTGGTGACATTCTACAAGAACAAGGACTAGAATTTCAGAGAGAATAAATGGCAAATAAAATTAATTATAACATTTGTTTATATTAAAGGTCATTAGGTGATAATGTAGCTCTAAGCGATAATATGCAGGATAATGCTAAATCTAGCCACGTACTTTTACGGGATTAGCTCTGATCGTAGCTGGTCACCCATCCCGTATAAGTGCGGGATTAGCGCTCGACGGGTTAAATATCATCACAATCACTATCTCTTAAAACAAAACTTTCACAGAAGTTATTCATGTCTTCCCTGCTCTCATTACTTGGTGCATATACTACTGTACACACACAATAACTGGTCTTACAATCCCTGCTTCTTGTTTGATTCATAATATTCTGAGACTGACCCCTTACATTCCATCACACAACTCCATTCTTCACCATTAGACAACATTGACACACCTTCGTTCACTCTTTCTCTTTCCTCTCCTGATTTCAACCCATTCACTTGTTCTAAGCTCACCATCCTTTTGCCTTTGAATTTTATTTCACAGAAAACCAGGATGTCTACGATAATTTCACCTTTCACAGCTTCAAACATTTTTTTCTTAAAATTTTTGTGGCACCATTATGCACTGAAACAGTACTTATTCACTGGTTTCCTTTATATAAATAAAAACAAGAATTAAGGGTGAGGTTACCAGCTGCACTCTCCTGAACTGGGCGGGAGGATATGTTAAGCCAATGCATGTGACCTCTTGTAATTGGGATATACAGTATGAACAAAACTTGTAAAAAAAAAAGTCAAATATACAGTTCCTTACCTTTTACAATATCTCTGGCTGATGTGTTGTAAACTTTTTCTTGGGTTACGTTAGGCTTCAAGATGTTATCAAACTGGTAGACTTTGCCCTGTGATAAAAAAATAAAAGATGTAAAAAATGGTTTCCCGAATGACAGCTTTCATAAAAAGGGAGTGATAATTTATGTGGATATCACTTTGGCCACAGCATATCCTACTAAGCGTATGAGTATGTATTATAGCATGAAAGTAAGTACCAGTACAGTAAATTTAGTTACAGTAGAGTATTTGGTTGTAGTGATAAAAAATATAATTTGTAAATAAAAAAGTTTAGTATTAATTAAAAAAATATACCGGTAGCAGCTTCCTTGAGTACAGTATATACAAAGACACATTTGTTGCAGCTTAGGAAACAGCATTACAACTAGAATACTCCAGTAAATAATGACATAAGGAAATACAGTATGTAAAACTGATCTTCCAGGCATCACCACCTATGCATGCAAGTTGGCAGCCTCAAGCAAACCCCCCTGCAGACAGCCAGGCTGACTTATCACCCAACACTTCTGTGACTTCCTTCTCACCTGCATTAACCCCTCCGGGTTTCTTTACTCCTTTCACTTATTTTGCTATCTAAGGGAGTTTTATTTCCATTGTTTATTCTCACCACAAAAAGATACCATACTGTACAACTTGTTTCTTTGAATATTTCCTCTGTTCTTGTGTACACTACAATCTTTATCATCTTCCCAAAAGCATGGTTCCTCGTTCTGTAAAACAGCTGCTTTTTACCCATCAACCATTCTTTGAAAATCCATTTGTAATGTACTGTATATTAAACTAAAGTGTCTATCTCCTTATGTCCAGAGTTGAATCATGCACAAACACACAAACTCACAACATACTGGAACCAACAAGAACCTATGATATGTACACTGAGTTACTGTAAACTTACTACAGTAATTTATATTCATAAGTGTGCTTGATAAATAAAATTCATATTTCACATACAATAACAATCTCTAACACACAATATGAAAGTTACAATACAGTAGCAGTATCATTTTTATGTCATTCTGTTTTACACAACCCATGATCACTCAATACAAACTTTCATCATCCAAATACCAGTATCCTCCTGAGCAATATGTGTCAAGTATTATGCAGTATTATACATATCAAAGGATTAACAGTCAAGACTAACCAACAAATGAAAGTCAATCACTGGAGATCATTGACCAGTTTACACTCCTAAGATATATGTGCACACTGATAAATTCAACTACATTCACTTCAGACACAAAACTAGTGTGTCTTGGGTTCTTAAGTAAATTGTTGTCCTTACTCCCTCCCACCACCAAGCTTGTTTTCTATGCAATAAAACATAACACTGGTGAAGGCTCCATTAAATATTTTAACTACCGTATATACGCGTGTATAAACTGATCTCACATAGTACAGCTCCTCCCCGACTTACGACCGCCTCAGTCATACCAAAATTTTGTCAAATTACGTATTTTCGAGTCCCAACGTCAGTGATTGCACTGTGTACTGACAAAATTTTCGTTTGTAATTCACTTTAAAATGGCTGGCAAGCTTAAAAGTGAGAGTTTTGTGGTGCGGAGAAGAAAAAGAGACATCCATTTTAGAATTTCTATCTATTATTTAAGCATTTTCGACTTACGACCTGGATTTGGGTCCCTAACCCCGTCGTAAGTCGGGGAGGAGCTATAGTTTGGACCCCGATTTTTAAAAAAAAATCCTAGTTTTCATATATTTCTTGTATAATTCAACTCTGACTTTTGAGAAATATGTATTAGGTATAATCCTAAAGATAATTTGTAGCAAGACACAGATTCACACTGCGTCTTGGCTGTGACCACCACTACACCAGTTGACGGCATGAACGGTGTTACCAACTCTGAAACTGTATTCCCGTTAGTCACCAACTCTTATGAGGAATAAGATAAATTAATACATGCAGTACAGTAAATGTGAGGAATAAATCAAAATACCTGTACTGTACTAATAAATAAAATAAAACAAAAAATACTCTAGTCTCATTTGGTTGCTGGATGACAAAATTTGTCGATCATTTCACTACACAAAGGAGACAGCTAACAGCTGAGATCCCTCACTCCTCCTCCTACACTACAATGTGCGAACTCTTATTTTTCTCTAATCACACATTTTCTTTTTCACAACCCTCCATAACAGCTTATAATTATAAGTTCAGGATATAAGGCCCCTAATATATTTCATGAGTATCAAATTTTGGTATTACAGTATTGCATTGGTGGGCCCAACTCAATTTCTTAATTAAAAACGTTTTTCACATAGTTCAGACTATTCTAAGACTTTTATATGGCATTTCCGTCGGAAACGAGGTTACCAAAATATCGTACAATTTAGGTTGGAATGTGGCCCACTTATGCAAATTTACCCAATTTTTTTCGAGAATTAAACAAAAAGAATCTGGCAGTTTCCTCAAATTTCCTACTAAGCACAGGCACCTCTAAAATTTACCCAAATATGTTTTGTAGATCAAAATATTTAATACTGATAAGAACCTTACATAATTAAAAGCTAACAATATGGTGATTTTGTTTAGATAATAAGAAATATTTTCATATCTAACTAATTAATATAAAATTTAAAAAAAGCACACACAACTTTCCATTACCACCTGGACCTTGTATATGGTTAAAGCCTTTACTAGGTTATGTCAACAATTTCCTGGTAGAAAGTTGTATTCTAACAACTGTCAAAACATCGTAGAATATCTAATATCTTCCATAAAATTCTGTAGAGAGGATTGATAGAGGTACAGTGTGAAGTAAGAGATACTCACCCCTATGCTCACTAGCTGGTCATCTTTGTTTTGAGGGAATGTGACTATGAACCTTGATCCAGCTCGCTCCTCAGAGTCATTCAGCGGCCGGAATCTTGCCACTACCTTAATAGAGTCCTCATTACCTTTTTCTTGGGCCTCACCCGACATGTTGCCGTCCTTGTAACACGTCTTGCCACTATTTTAACAACGTAAATGTAAAGTTTGGTACATCATTGGGAAGGAATATTGACTATGGTGTAGTCAGCTGTGTTTTGGGTGGATCCTGCAGGTTCCTCGCTCTATGGAGTTATAGAAACGTCCTCAATAAGTAAATCACGCTGATAATGGCCAACAGATCCTGTAGGGTAATTTTACAATTTTTAGTGGCTCACAGGCACAATGAAACACGGCCTTGGTAATGTAGGAACGCCCAAGCAAAAGTCGCTACTCCCGTGCGGCCATTTTCTCTCTCTCAGCCTTACGGGAGGAGACACAGGAAGTTGACTCACCGCACCGCGCTCTTTAACTAATACAATGACGGAATACCTTTTTATAACCTAATAATACCTATGATATTCTTTAACTAAGACAATGACGGAATACCTTTTTATAACCTAATAATACCTATGATATTCTTTCTTCGAATAGAATCATAATTATAATCCATTGTTTTATATCATCTCACGAGCTAAAAGAGATATCTTATATCAGTTTTTTTTTTAAATAAGACTCCGTTTAAATATGCTTTTGACGGTGCTACTACAGTATAGTAGGCTGTCTACCACACTGTAGCATCCATTAACCTAATCTAACCTGGTTAATGGATGCTATACAGTGTAAATATCCTGGTAGACCAGCTCCAGCTCGGTAGACCGCATACTATAGTAGCATCCCTTTGATAACTAACACTTCTATTATACTACCCAGGGACAGATAGTTACAGACTCAAAAAATCAGAGTACCGTGCCGTCCTTATTCTGAGAGTTGGCAACCACAGTCCTCCACTTTAAACATTTTCAGGCTGTTCTTACTAATCCTTCAAGAATTTGTATCTCTTTGGCGACACAGTTTTTATGTTTAATTCATTCATCCCAGTCTCGCCTTGCTCTGGCCCTCCTACCCTTATCCGAATCCATTTGGGCAAACATTTTGGAACTCTTGGAACAATTTACGTACTAACAACTCTTGGAACAATTTACGTACTTGGAACAATTTACGTACTAACAACTCTTGGAACAATTTACGTACTAGCAACTCTTGGAACAATTTACGTACTAGCAACTCTTGGAACAATTTACGTACTAGCAACTCTTGGAACAATTTACGTACTAGCAACTCTTGGAACAATTTACGTACTAGCAACTCTTGGAACAATTTACGTACTAGCAACTCTTGGAACAATTTACGTACTAGCAACTCTTGGAACAATTTACGTACTAGCAACACTGTTGTATTGTCGAAATTATAAGGCTGGGACTGAAATTTTAGATCATTGTTAGTTTTAGGACCGCCCACTACTTTTGGGGCGAAATTGTGTTTTTACCTGTATAATTCGATGACTTTTTAAATGGATTTCGCCATCATTTTTTGGGCATATACATAAAAAGTTTACCAACACAACCCAAATTGTATGGTAAAGGCATATGCAAAAAGCAAAGCAAACCAAACCGGACCTAACCTAACCAAACCAAACCAAACCAAACTTTACCTAACAAACCTAACTTTAGTTAACCTATCTTTACCTAACTTAACTTTATCTTCTTTTTGTCGGTGGTTTAAATTTATTATTCTGACTCTAAACCACTTTATTGTGATTTAAGCTTTTTATTCAGTCTAAATCACTTTTTGGTTTAAGCCCATCAATCAGTCTCGAAGAAGTTTGTTGATGGTTTGAGCTCATTAATCGACTTCTAAGCCTACCCTCAACTTTGGGATCATCCAAATCTATTTAGGCAAACATGTTCAGAGTGAGAGTTGTGAACTCTTGGAACAATCTGCCAGTGTTGTCACGGCGGTGGACGGAAAAAAGAGTCACAGGAAAAAAGTCACAGAAAAAAAGTCACAATTTTGGCTAGGAAAAAAGGTCGCAGGAAAAAAAGTCACATTTTATTTAAATTAAGGTAATAAAACTAAAAATATTTTAAAACAGTTATTAACTGACAATACATGACTTTTACATATTGACAACACAATTTATATATGATGCACGTAGGTTAGTTTAGGTTGGGTTAGGTTAAGTTAGGTTTGGTTAGGTTAAGTTAGGTTGAGTTAGGTTGGGTTTGGTTAGGTTTCTTCCGTGCCTTTTTTTCTGACTTTTTTTATTGTGACTTTTTTTCCTGGATACGTGACGGCAGGAGTTGAGCTTATTGAAGACCAGACTTTACCAGGTAGATATATTATAGAGCCAGTACCAGTGATATGACCGACCACCCAAGTAGCTAATGGGTCGATCAATAGCTAAAGAGGATAAGAATAAAAATAAGTAAAAAGTGACCGACTGCCCAAATGGCTGGTCAGTGGTAAAGAGGATAAAGTAAATACGGTGGATGGAAATAAAGTCCACAGGAAAAAAGTCACATGACTTGTACACATTGACAACACAATATATATATGATGGCATTGCACGTAGGTTAGCTTAGGTTAGGTTTTTTCCGTGCCTTTTTATCTGACTTTTTTTCCTGGATTCAGTAAATACAATACCTGTACGGTATATCTAACAAACTGTCTGATATTCAGAAAAAAACTAAGGCAATTAAATCATTTTTTATTTATATATTTTTTTATACATTTTGCCACTTATCAGCTTACTAGCCATTTGGGCAGTTGGTCTATCCAATGTTAATACAGGAGGAAACCGGGGAAACTTGTGACATTTGGTAGTGAGGCCGTGAGGGTCACGCTGGGTAACAACCTTCTCATATTGGTGACATATGCACGTTACCATTGGTAGTTCAGTGTCAACTATAGTTTAGATTTTAGATTTATTTTTCTCTTTTTACTGATTATTTACAGTATAAGGTTAATTTTAAATAATATTTTGAGTTGAATTATTTATTATGCTTCCCTTACAAGTGTAATGCATTCATTTCTATATTTTGGACAGTCTGGACTTTCTGCTAATCCAGACACCCCCCCCCTCCCCAAATTAGACTGGATGACCAAAGGGTTCATTGTAATATAAAATACAATTGAGGTTTTGTCCACACTCTCCCTCACGGCTATGTTAACTGACAATCCACCACCATCAACGCTCAACACCCAGTTTACCACTTTATGACAAAACTACAAGCATGTAATAAAAGTAAAAATGCATTAAAGAATTAAGTTGTGGTAATGAGCAATTTACTGGGGTATTTGAGTGTTACTTTCACGGCCATGTGTCAACTTATGCATCTTTGCATTTACAAGTTTCAAATTTAAGCTTCTCAGCTGGAAATAATTCATGTGCACAAATTTACAATAAATGAGGACTACGGTACCTGTACTACTAACATATTACCACTATTTTTAATGGGAGACATTGAGGAGCAACAAGAGAGCATTTTTTGAAACCATAACCAAAAAGAAGCAAATTGAAGACTTGCCGACATCTGTTCCTGCACGACTGAATAAAATGACATTGGAAATATTTTTTAGGTCATACAATATTTAATTGAAAACAAGTTTTTCTTTAGTAAAAAATATTCTACCTGTATAGTAAAAATTCTATCTATGAAAAATTTAGGCACTGCACCTAAGGTGACGGTGCATTGTCAGCCTTCCCTTAATATACAAGTCAGCCAATATGGTTATAGCACTTTTAATACTGTACTGTATGTCATTTTAGTTTACAGATAAGTTCAATCTTTTTATACACTATATACATTATGTATTGTATTCTCTTTAATGTTTAGTGAATTTCTTGATGTGTTAATGATTTATGCATACAGTATTAAGGTTCAGATACTTCCAGAAGATTTTCCACTTATGGGAATTTGTTGTCTTTTACCCCAAAATTCGTTCTATACTTTATAGATTCTGTTTATGTAAATTTACATAATTCCAGCTTTCATAGCCAGAAGGATACCTGTATGGACTCATCCATTTTGGCAGGATCATAATTATGTATCCATTATGATTTTAGGTTTTTGTTTTTTTGGGGGTTAGCAGAAAGAAAACTTTGAAGTTCATGTACATAATACAGTACTGTACCTACCCTTCTTAAAACATTTTAGTTATTTCACCAAATACAGCAGGTTAGCATAGATCATTTTATTTAGAGATCAAAGTTTCATTTATTAACAAATTATTGTGATACATACAAAACTAAAACATCTTAAACATCAGTAGAGTTCATACTGTCACACATCACACTTGATATTGGCAACAATAATGTCAATATAACCACACATGACATAACAAATCTTTATACATCTCTTTACAATTTGTTAAGTCTGAGTATACAATTGATGTCACACAGGCACCACATTTATATCAATGCCTTTTTTTTAAACACCACTTACAGTACAACTTCTTAACTTGCTCTCTTAATGGTTCTTAAAAGATTTAGGTAGTCACATTCTTACCTTGATAATACATGTGGAATGATAATATACAAATACAAGCCCTGTACTATACAAACTGTATTATAAAATACAGTGTATACAGTTACATTTTTAAAGATAATCAGCAAGAGAAGGAGTTCCTAAGGTTTGCCTTTACCTCGTGCATTTTATACCATACATATTTTTCAGAGCAAATGGCCTTTAAGATTACTTGGTTATCCTAATGTGGTAAATGTTAATTATACTGTAATTATTAATGTAATCATATGCTTTCTAACTGGAAAGATATTGCTGGGAACAGCAAGGCTACCTGTAATCACTTTGTAATTAAAAAAAAAAAGTATATTCACAACAGAGTATTAGGAAAGCTTTAAATGATTAAACTCTGTGATTATATCAAGTTAGTTTGGCTGATCGTAATTGGAAATGTGACAGGCAGTTATAACAAGGAAAAAAAATATACTGGATATGAATAAACAATTATTAACTTTTTTACTGCCTATCATTACCAATTATGTCTTTTATTAAACTGACAGCAAAATGGAATATGCTAAAACTCGTACAAATAATTAGACTGCTAGCTCACTTCATATCTGAATGTATCCACTATCTAAACACAATGAGGACACTTGTTAAATTTATGAACTTTTGTTTGGCTATATCTTCATGGACAGGCACAACTTGTCTGAATATTAAACTATGTGGAAATATGAGAGCTTTCTTTAGTACAAGAAAAAGTAGAGTAAAGAAGTATGATAAAACAAAAGAAGTATATATGTCAATATATAATCAATCCCAAAGAGTCTACATGACTGAGCTGGAGTTCAGCCACAAGCAGGACTGTGAAATCTCCAAGAGGAAACAGCTGACCAATCTGAACACAAATTTTAGTAGATGTGGGTATAACATTTATATCACTCGGTTCATGCTGTAGTTTTATCAAAGGCATTATG